ACAGTGGATAATTTTCCTGTCCTTATTTCAATCCATGAGCCCATTTCCATAATATTTTCTCCCCCTCTTCCTTTGAGGAGGGGGGAGTGAAAGAGAGGTGTGGTGGAGTTCAGTTGCCCATCAGCGTGAACACCAATTTCTTAGCTAAAAATACTAGTTTGGTTTTGGGGTTGGAAGAGAGCAAAGTGAAGGGTTTTGACAAGAAAAAAGATTTTTTTTTCAATAGAATTAGATATTTTTCTTGAACATTCCTTGGTTAAAATGATGAAGTTGAACTTTGCCTTCTCAGTTCCACCTAAGACCTGCTCTAGGTGTAGGTAAGTGCCTTTTATGATCTACTTCTTGTTTCCATGGGTCATCTTGGCTCTCCAGCCCATCCTTCAAGTGACACAAACTCCACCTTTACAAAGGTAACACATGAAAACCCACCAATAGTCTGTTTGAGCAATAATGTATCTTACAATAAGGCAACACAAGTGCCTCTATACCTTCAGATGACTCCACATCAGTGCTCCTCATTTTTATTCCTAGGTAGAATATTTAAATAATTTCCTCTTGCATTGCTCTGCTAACATCAGGAGTTGAATGAGAAAGTACTAATACTGAAAGCACAAACCATTCAGAAAAGCCACTTCCACACAGACCTGGGCTTCTGACTGTTCCTTTATCAATTCTTCTAAACTCCCTACTGCTCTTGTAGACATCTTATTTTGCAGACATACTCTCTACAAAGTACAGAGCTTGTGTCTACTTGCTTGGGAAAATATAGCCAGGAGAAATTTTGAGCAACAGTCAGAGAATAACACAAATCTTGGTGTGGCAATAAATAGTACATTATCTAGCTAGTATAATCTTTTTTCTAGATAAATAAGCATGAGCTTCACACCACTACAGAATGAGAAGTTTGCTCTTGGATACAGGTGTACACATAGAGATTTGCTGTGTTTTTGCTCTAGGTGGAGAGCATGCATTTTTTTAAGCAACTTCCCAGTTTCTGAGAGTATACAGTTTGTGTATCATACCAACAGGCTATTATCTAGCAGAAAAACAACAGCAGCAAGCCAAGCTGCCACCTAGTGGCGTTCTGCGGATGAACGGCATCCTTTATAGCTGTGTTCAACCCTCATTCCCTTGGCAATTCTGGTCCATCCTGCTCTGAACTTGATAGTGTTCCTCGTTTTCCCGGAGGAAAGTACCCTTGGCAGAAGAGCTCTCACCACAAAGCTAAGAGAATATATGATGTTGATGGCTGCAGAGCTATGGCTCTCCATCCCTTTGCAAAGCTGAGCAACTTCAAAAACCTCATTCTGTTGCAAGATGTTTGGTATTGAGAAGGTGTTTTCAGGTCACTATATTCCACGCAGGCAGAAAGGGAAGCGGAGGAAAGAAACAGAGGAGATAGAAAGATATTTTGATATTACTAAACTATGTCTCCCCTTATCTGCCTTTGGTGTATCAGATGAAAAAGCTGTCTAGAGACCAACAAACAAACAAAGTGTGATAGATAGTGTTTCAGGGAGAAGCTTAAGAAGGTTTAATTCATTAGGGCAATATAGAATGTAATCTATTCCCATGGAAATGGGACAAAAGATATCTCCTACAGAATAATCACCTAGCAGAAGATTTTGCACCATCTTGTAGAATTTTATGATCTTCTGTTGAAATCCATGAGATGAATTCAAGCAACTGAGACAGGTTATTGCATGCCCTTTTATAGAGGCCCTGTACATTGATGCAGGACCAAAAAGTGAGTAGAAAGCAGCAACAGTAATTGAAAGACACTGAACAAATATGAATTAGCCACTAAAAGCTACAACGTATCAATGAAACTACTACTACATCAGTGTTTCCTCTCAGAGGTGGACACAACGACACCGAGGAAGAATGAAGAAAAATGGTTGGATTGTGACATGAAGTCCAAGCATGTCCATGACAAACACTTTTTGATCTGGGAGCTCAAAAATGAGAGAAGTGAGCAGCAGACTGCCAAGGCTTTGGGAAGGCAATGATGGATTAAAGGGGGCAAATGACTGCATGTGGCCTCTCAACTTCTCCCAAAATGTTTCCTGTATGGGGATATATTCTCTGCTGTTAATGATATTGGTACTTAGTAGCTGCTTTATGGGTAAGCCAAAGATTCCATATGCATATATGGAAACAGAAATTACAATCATGACCTTTCATTAATTTAATCATTTGTTAACGAGTCAGGGGAAATAGCAGAAAGACAAAATATAAGAGCAACTTGAGTGACTTTAAATGTCACTTTGGTCTTTTGGAGGATATTTTAATGCAGTAATTATTTCTCGTCTGACTTTGATGTTCCCCTAGGAATAATGCAAAAGCCTGCAAAGATTGCCTCAGTTTTCTGACTTATCATGCCAAATTGATAAGCTTCAACTTTGTCATGTTGTAATGTTGAATTTAGCCTGCTTTGTTGCCTACCTCTCTCTGATTTTTATGGAAAAGTTTTCTCAGAAAACTTCTCTAAGAATGTATGCTGTCATGCTAAGTACTGAGAAAACTCAGCACTACAGAGGGGAAAAGCACTTAAAACATTGAGTCTCTCTCTCTCCCCTAAATCTCTATGCACTGTCATCATCCAAGCACAAACTCCCTACAGCATGTTTGGCATTGTATAGTAGTACTGCTCCTCTGCTATGGAGCACTATAGTACATGTACTCTGTAAAGAAAGCAAAGATATACCAGTAATGACAATAAAAACATCAACTGTAGTAGTGCACAAATGTTCAAAAAGGACAAATAGCTTACTTTGGACCTAGCTAGAACAGGCCCCTTGTCACTGCAGCACCAGGAATGAATGTGAATGCCCCCAGCCTGCTCAGCACAAAGCTCACATGCCTGCCTCATATCACCTGACCACAGCCCTGTGCTAGGACAGTGGCAGCAGAGTCCCCTTCAAACCAGGGCTGCCAAGGCTGCTGTGGGGACTATCATTATTTTATATAATATAAAAAGCTGCTGGAGAGCTTTAAACCTGTGTCAGCAAAAATCTAAACGTATCTTGGCTGTAAAACCTGAAGTCACTAATTTAATGAAGATAGAATTGGCACAAAAGCACATTCTCTGACTGAGACTGGATCTGCCATGCAAAATATCATGTCATGTTACTATAGAGAATTTTCATAATGTAAATAATTAAGGGGATGGAAGCACCTACTATTTGTTTTTAGATATCTGATTTGACCCAAAGAAAGTACTATATGGCAAAAATAAAGAAATGCAAATGTGGTTAAAAGGTAACCATTTGATCAATTAATGTAAATAACCTCCAGCTGTTGAAATGCTCAGTGTTTTATCTAGTAGAATAATCTCACCCACACACATTGACTTAATGGTACTTATAGCCAAATCCTTTTTCCTTTGACAATGCCACAAAACAACCAAAGCGCCTTGTAAACCAGATATTTTCCTAAAAAGAGAATCTTTGTGCACATGCTCAAACCTCTCCTGTGGATATCATGGTCTAAATGACAGTGCTTACTCATTTGAATATTGTTCTCTTGCTCAGCATCAACATATGTACAGCAATACTCACTCTTAGGGAGGATAATGGCATCTTTGAAGATTTTACTTTAGTGGTTATACTTCTTTATTAACAGATCCAAATTTAATCTTCCTTAGCTATGAGGTTCATCATATGAATATTAATATACAACCCAAAGGGCTCTGTCTCATGAATATGAATTAAAGGGAAGACTTAAAAAAAAAAAAAATAGAAAACCATTTTAGGAGAATTGTTTTTCAGAGGGACATGGGTTCTAAATTAATCAGCATCTGATGAACACATATAACATTAGCACTGTAGGCAAAAGCTTGTTTAATAAAGTAATTTCAGTTGTGCCAGAAATTGAGCCAGGAAATGCCAACTGTGTATAGTTTATATTGCTGGAAATATGCAGCTGGACCCAGTAGGTAAGAAAGTAAAGCACACCTCCAGGAAAACTTAGATCCCATCATTACTATTCCTACCAAAGAGAAGGTTTGAACAAGTAACTTTTATGGGCACCCAGTTGGTCATCTAGAAGAACATGGTACTTTCCAGGCAATACAATTTGATTCTCTACATTGTGTTCAAGAGCAAAGTTATTTGCCCTTGCTTTTCATCACCCACATTTCAAACTCATTCATAACCCCACACCCACATTTCAAGCTCATTTATAACCCCATAGTCAAGGTGATTTTGAAAACTGGCTCAAAAATACTTCAAACTGCTGACTTTTGAAACACATGTGAATGCAACTTATAGTGAATTCACCACCTCTTTGGTACAGCCTCTTAGTAAATCCCTTAACAGAGCTGCAGGCAAGACCTGAATAAAATGTCTGGTCACCAAAAAAAAATAATAATTAAAAAATAATAATAAAAATAATAATAAATAGATTAAAAATCTGTTTTTCTGTCAGAGTAACTCAATTGTATTTCATGTGTGGATGGAGCAAAACTGAACAGGCAGGAGGAAGAGAAAGAGCTGGGATATAAGAGAAGGTTTGTTTTGCCCTCTGAACGACTAATAGTGCTGGGAGCGTCCCCAGTACAGTGCCTAGAAAAGAAACACTGGACTGACAGAGAGCTGAAGCCCTGAAGCTCTGGAAGGAGCTGGAGGATTCTGGGAACTTTGTGAGCTCTCCATGACCTCAGGATTTAACTCATATTTCATTTTGCTCAAACACTTTTCTTCAAAGCATCCTTTCTTGTTAGTACTAAGTGTTACAAAGTCTGCTAACTTGAGATTATCCACATCTCAATTGGGTTTACAACCATTTTGCAATGGCTTTACTCTGCTTCACACAATTCCTCAATCTTCCCATCGTGCAAATGAGTTTCATGATCTTCTTAGCATCTGGTAGGCATTTTTTTTTCCTATACAAAACATCCATAAATGAACTTACCCAACTATTCTACACTTATAAATAGGTTTTGCAATATGATCTTGCATTAGTCACATTTTTTGTCTCCCTCTTTAGTTCTCATTTACCTGCAGGCTCCTGCAGCAACGACATCCACAGCTTAGAGAATCTGACTTCACTCAAAGATATCCCAAAGAGCACATGCCTTGCCTGTTAGGAAGAGAAAGATCTGTTTAAGGTGTCTGTGACACAAATCTGAACAGCCCTCCAATGGTGGAAAGCCTACATCCCTTGCATGCAATTTAGCCCTGTTTCTCCCTCCTGCTGTACTGGCAAAATAAGCCTTTCCAGCTGGAGCTGGTTCTGCTCCGACATGGAAGTGAAGCTCCGCAGAACCCGCAGGAGCGCACTGAAGAGACGGCAGCCCCAGAGCTGAGGTGCAGCGCGCCATGCCGACGCCTGGGGGCCCCAGGACACGCTGGTAGAGCCACGCGCACCTCCGGCAGCTGCAGTACCGCCTTTCAGTCAGCGGGCGGCAGGAGCGGGCCCTCAGGGCTCCGACCGGACGCCCCTTGGAAAACCTCAAAAACGCGTATAAATCCGCTCGCCCCCGCTCTGACACGGTTGCCGCAGCTGTAGGAAAGACTGCTTCGCACTCTGCCCCTAGAAGTGCCGGCCGTACCCTGAACAATGACACTCCCCTGCGCGCCATGCCGCCCAACATGGCCGACGGGCACTGCGCCTGCCCCAGGCCCACCGCTCCCAGCATCCCGCGTGGCGCGGCGCGGAGCTCCGTGGCGCCCTGCCCTGCGCGCCGCCACCGCCTTTCCTTCCGCTTCCGGGCCGCGGCGCTCTCACATCGCGCAAGAGCGACTGAACGCTGCGGCGCGCGGGGAAGAGGAGAGCGGAGCCGGGCACGCAGCGCCCAACACGGGTAGAAAACCGAGGCTGTCGGGCTCCACGGATCCACGACGGAGGACTTCTGTTTAGCAGGGTTTCACCGTCTCTCCCATTGTGGTGTTCAGTCAGGGCTGCATCCAAGCAAGGGCTGATTTTAAACGCGGTAGGCTGCAGAATGGACGTGGATGTGCTGACCTCCTTGCAGTGAGCGTTCCCGTTGGGTGGAGGCAGAATCGGGCAAGCTCTGTCGCCTGTCGGCATAGGAGAGCCAAAAACTAATGAGACATTCTTCATCTTTGTTTCCATCAATATTTCGCTATCGTGTGTCCAGCTCTTCTCACAGTTGGCTTTTGAATTACGAGCCACTTCACCTTGAATATATTTCAATGGTATCACTGTAGGTCTTTAATCCTGCTCAGACGCAGCTCAGTGAGCACAGCATGACACGTCACAGTGTAACAGTAGCGCTCCCACCAGCCCTTGGACAAAGCTAAGAGAAACTTCTCTCTTTGCTCTCTGAGTACTCTGCTGTTACAAAAACTAAACAGCTTTTTTCCTTCAAACGCTAATAGTATCTTTAGTTTGCTTGTGCTGAAGAAATTAAGTGGAAAGGCAGAAACGGGATTAATTTACTGCTGAGATAAGGAGGTGGAGTTGTGATGATTTCAGCAGAGCCATGCTTTTATCAGTAGAGAATTTGGACCTGAGGTTGAACGTTCATTTCTGAAAATGACAAAACATTTCTGTCGAAGCTAGCCTAGCCGTTAGCATGTACATCTAGCTTCAGTACATTTTGTGGGGTTTATTTGCCCATGAATGAGCATTGTTACTTGGTACCTCAACTACCGTAACACCTCAGAGGCATTTATTTTGTTCTTGAAAAGCAACAGCAAGGAAAGCTCCTTCATGTTTCCATAAGGCTGCATGATGAGCTAACAGCAGTCTGTAATACATAATGATGCAGAGATCTTATTCTTGAATTCTTTTGTTACAGCTTACTACAAATTACTATAAGTAAAGCAAATACGCTTACAGTTAAACAGAAAGCCTATAATAAGTTACTGCGAGGTACTCCTAAAAGGCAAATGTATTTGCACAGTAGCAATCCATATATGTTTCTGTGTTATACTGAAAATTACCACCAGTAAAACAACAAATATGACTACCTAGATATGTGCCTTTATGTCAAGGGAGTACTAGTACAGTAATTCCAAAGGTGACCTGTGTCACTAAGCTGGGAGTCAGCCATGCATGCCTGACAAGGGTCCTGTCTTGTCTTGGAGATATCTAAAAATTCTCTGCACAGGGAGGCCCCAGAGAGAGGTCTCATTCTGGGTAGAAAGCAAGTCCTTTCTATATTACAGGTTTCATAGGACATCACTACCTGGAATTTTTAGGTATCCTGCTGCATTTCAAAGATACCAGTTGCACATTGCACATCTCAAGGATACTTCTGATTCCTCAGCCAGGCTCCCCTGTTACCAGACATCTTCTGACAGTGTTTTTTTCAGACTTTTTCTGTATTTTTCCCATTAAGACAAGATCAAATTTATGGCTGCTCCCATCAGCCCCCACTTTACAGACAAGAAACAGACATAAAACCATGACTAAGAAATATAACAAGGACTCAGCCATCGTTCTGAACTGTCTCACTGAAGGAGATCTAAGTTATACAGCATACCTCTGATAACTTAGAAAAAGAGTTCATAATTGCAACTGAACTGGCAAAACACACATCTTCAACAAAAAGAAGAGCAGTCCTCCATAAATTACCTGTATCTCAGTGGCAGACTCAGTTCTGGTTTTTCTCAGCACTGTTCCCCTTTATTCATCCAGCTTCTTATCCCTACCACACTGTCTCCAGGGATTAGCATCTAGATAACACACTAAATTGATCTGAGTTTTAAGACAATCACAAATAGCAGAAGATATTAACAGCACACAGTCTACAAAGGCAGAATCACAGCAACAACTCTGCACCCCAGATTCCAAGTTACATCAATGGGCTCATACAGAATGTTAATGGCACAGTTGGCAAAGATCACACAGAAACACTTTCTAATTAACAAAGATTACACAGTGCTGAAGCTTTCATCCAGTGCACAAAAGCGTTCCATCTTCCTGTAGACCCATAGTCTCATCTATGATGGGTCGACATGAGGGCTCATAGAAGTGCTTTAGATCAAATTCTGTAAGCAGATGGGAGCGGAAATTAATTAAATCTGTTGATATGATATAAGACCTAATTTTGCATTTGAATTCAGTAATTTTTTTAAATTGTGTATTTATTTATTTATTAAGGACATATTCTAACTTTAATACTGTCTCAGGTTTTGTCTCACAGGAGAGGCATGGATTTATAATGCTCCATGCCTGTTATATCCTTTCTTCCTATTTGCTCTTAAGATGAAGCGGTAGCCTTCCCATAACACCAGGCTTTGTTTGTATTAACAACAACTAAGCAAAGATGAAACAGTATCAGTAGGAAATAAAATTTACTATTAGGCACAATAATGACTGGTAACATACTGGTATCTGCACAGGTCTACTTAAAAACATGAATAGTGAGGGCAAATAGTAACTACTGTCAAAAAGCACACTCTTATTCCATGCAAGTGCTAGTTAAGTCTTTATCTTGGGATTTACAAAAAGTGAAGTATGGGCTAGCAAGAAACTGTTCCTACCAATCCTGATGGCAGGCTCACCTATGGACATATACTATCAGAATGCTCTAAAGTCCATAAGGATGCTTGCCACAGACTACCTCACTTCACTGCTCTGTTTTACAAGCGACCACTAGAGCCCATCTCTGAAGTTCAACACATGAGCCATTTCAGATCAACAGCACAGACTCTGGGAGTCATGGGCACTAGCATTCCTTCTTTATTGAATAGCTACTCCAGTTTTAGATCAGGCACAGAAAAGCTGCCAGTCTCTCAAAGCAACACCCTGATTTCATTTTGTTTAGTCATCTATTGGTAGGACCTGGGATTGCACACCACATGCAGAAAGCCAGACATCTGGTGAGCCAGGGCAGAGCAAAGGACAATTCTGTGCTGAGCCTTAAATCCCAGATGTCAATAGCAAACAGGAAAAGCAATCCAAACTGGAATAAGTAAATAGTTGTAAAGCTTTGGAGGAGTGCTGAAGTGGTGCTTCTTTACGAGTCTGCAAATGACTTTCCAGCAATAACACTGTTCATGTTCTATATTCCTGCTGATCCTTAACATTCAGTAGGAGGTGGTATCCAAGGTAACAGTAGAAAAGAACAAGAGAGGAATAAGTGCTGTGCTCAGTTAAGAGCTGTGCTTGATAATTCTAAAAAGTGATCCCAAGTCACGATCTTTCCCCCCCTTTTGGGCTGGAGCTTGTAGGTTCACAAGAAAGGGGAAACCCTGCTCCTCACAGCTGTGGAGGGCACACAGCCAGCAGTGAGTGGTGCCAGCTCCTCCGCCCATCAGGGCTCCTATGCTCTGCCAGGAGCAAGAGGTGTGTCAGCTAGAAGGCCTGGCAGCAGCCTGCCAGCTCCTCACTCCTTGCTGTGGGACCGCAGGGTGCCATGATCACCCAGGGCATTATTTCCACTTGTGTGCCTAGTGCTGCACAGCTGAGCCACGAGCAGCACGACTGAATGTTTTCAAGTATTGCAACTTGTAATGTGCAATGCTTCACAATGATTCCAGTTCAAGGGCAAATTCAGATTGCGTCACTCACGTGCTATAAATGGAGAGTGCTAACAGCACAGCGTGAGCCGCTAGGAACGTTCTGTCCTGGCTCACTTTGTTCTGTATCTAAGATCCTTCACTAAGAGAACAAAAAAACACAGCAAAAATCTACTTCTGTTTCCAAATAAACTACTTGAATAGTCAAAAGCCATTTAAAGTTTCAGGATGAGCAGAAGATGGGGCGCTAGGCAGGCTGACCCGGCAGGGGCAAGCAGCCCACAGTGGGGGTTGGGGCTGGCTGTCTTTAAGCGCCCTTCCGCCCAACCATCCTTTGATTCTATGATTCTATGAATAAATATTTAAGATTAAGAAATATTAAGATTAAGAAATGAAAGATTAAGAAGGCCCCTGGATGTGCTGAAGGCTGGGTGTCCAAGAACGCGACAGCCAAACCTGGACAGGTTTTGTCTAAATACTGGCTCCACTGGAAGCTGTCGGATGGAAGTGGAAACCACCCGACGTTCCGTGCTTATTGGAGCGCCAGGATCCGACACCCGCGTCAAACACGAGCAGAAGCCAGCGCGAACAGCACCGCGGCATCCCACAGCCGCCCTCCTCCCGCCCCGCACCCGGGCCGCTCCCCTCAGGGCGGGGTGAGGGCGGCGGGGGGGGCTCGGCCGCCGTCTCCAGCGCCATTGGGGCCCGCGAGGGGCTGGGCAGCGCCGGGACGGCCCCCAGCGCCGCATTGGCCCGGCGGCCCCGCGGAGAGGAGAGGCGGGGCGGGCGGGAGCAGCGACCGGAGGGTTCTGGGGAGGTTCCGCCGCTCGCCGCCGGCTTCCCGGGTACGGCAGGAGGACACGGAGGAGAAGGTAAGGCCTCTCCTCGGCGCAGCGGGAGGAGGGAGTCCGGTTCGGCCGTCGCTTGTCCTCCCCTACCGCTGGCCGCGGCCCTAACGGGTGCGGCGGGCGGGCGGGGCGGGCGCGGTACGTCCTGCGGCCATAGCGCTGTGCTGGATGCTCAGCGTGCCTTGCGCGCTGCGGGGCGGCAGCCGCGCGTCCTCCGGGGCACGGGTGGGCTTTATGCTCTTTTCTCCTGTCGGTATGGAACATTTCCATCTGCCGTGAGGCAGCCTCGCTGAAAAGAGGGTCACCCCACAGCTTGGTCTACGGCTTAATCATTAACGCTAAGCGCCGCGTTTCCTCGTCTATGCATGCGAACCATTCCTTTAGGTTAAATACGCGGAGGCTGACAGGACCAGACGGAGCCCCCCGCAGCAGGTTTCCCCCCGCAGCCGGCTCCTTTTGGCTGCAGCACCCACAGCCTGTGCTTCCCACATTGGCTTTTCTCAGTGTCTGCAGGCGTATCGGTTTGGAAAGAAACAAGCTGTCCCCAGCCGAAAGCACAACCATTTACATCACTGCAGCCACAGCATGGTTTCATGTTCCTCACTTGCAGAGACAGCTGAAGAGCCCAACCACCGTTGGGATTCAAGAATCATAGAATCATTATGGATGGAAAAGACCGTTAAGACCGCCTAGTCCAGTTGTCAGCCCATCCCCACCCCGACCACCAGTAAGGTGGAAAAGGGCTTTTAGGAGGTATATTTGATGGAAACAAACCCGTTAATTAGCTCTGGATGTATCTTCTGATTCACACTATGGATTCTGGGAGCTCTAAATATAGCTACTGTTTCTTGCTCATCTCTCGAGCTGACAGAAGTGCAGGTTTTGTGAATTGGCAGGCTTTCAGTTTTGTTGAGCTGTGCTTGGCAGGAGGAAGCAAACGTGCTGTTGCTGCGAGTCAAGGGCAACAGGAAACAAAAAGAAAATCTCAAGGAAGAAAATCAGCTATTAACTACCTGCGAGTATAGTGCAATAAGGGTGAGATGTTGCAGACGTCCAGGAGTAAAATGGAAAATCACTCATGGTGGAAATGGGCCAGTTCACATGGTGTCTAGGCCAAATTCATCCAGTGCAACAATATTGATTCCCAGCGTGTTTGGCATTGATTGAGTTGACTGTTGCTCTGAAAATGCTAAATAAACAAATCTTTCCTCACCTAAGATACTGCATTAAAGATAAACCAAGAGCATCCAAAACAACATGTTTTGAGCTGTGCAAGCTTACTGTATGCCTACAGAATGTTCACATCACAGCCACTTTCTAATTAAACAACTGCTCACCAAGTTACCTTTATGAATGTTTTTGCAAGCACCCAGTTTTTGTCTGTGATTTAAAGATATTAGTGTAAAACCATATTTCAAAATACAGATGCAATTATGATTTGAATCTGGAAAACACAATGGCAAGGCACTCCAGTCCAGAATTATGTATCTCTAGGGTATGCATATTGCTCACTCTTTGCTGCTGGATTATGTCAGACCATCTGCCTTCTGCCATCTTATGTATTCTTAATCTCTTTATTATGATACGGAATACTTTTCACTTACAGTTTTGCTCTTGGCAACTCTCCAGTACAAGCAAACATTTAGCAATAACAAGAGCAATCCCTCACTTAACTCTTAGCACGGTTAGTTATAGCAATCTGAAGGTCTAGGTCAAATCTATCTGGTGCAACAACATGGGCTTACTACCAAATGCACCCCAGCCCTTTTGAGTTTCATCATTTGGGCTGTTATCTGCAAATAACTAAGCAAATCTCTCTGCATTTTTCAGCTTGCTAGTTGGATCAATGTCAATGAATTATATCTGTGCTGAGCCAACTGGTATGTTTAATACATCCAAGCTGGAAGAGGCATCTGAAAAGTCAATGGAAGATCTTGCTTCCTGGGATAGCTCAGGGATTTCAGGGTTGGGTGGTGAAGAACAACAGGCAGAATAGCTAAAAGCTGCATGGACAGTGTTTTGTGAAGCTAAAGTGAGCAATTGTGCATATCTACAGATAGACTTAGTTGCTCTTTGCCTTAAATATATATATATATATATGTTTATATATATATATAAAACATATATATATAACTGGATATATATATTATGAGATATAAATATATATCTCATAATTCCCTTTCCAGTTCTGTTTTGAGAAGTCTTATTCAGGTCCTAATGAAATGGGACAGAACTGAATATCATGTTTCCTGTGCAGGAATCCAGCTCTTTAAAATCAAAGCAAGTATATTTTTTTCCCACCCTCCACGATTCACAGCACATATGCTATAGCAATTGCTTGAGCTATATGCATGATAAACTCATTCAACGACCTTACCTCATATTTCAACATTTTCCTAGTTTTGATGAGATAGAACAAAGTCATTATCACTCTCATGAGCTCCATCACAACCCCTGTCACCTCTGAAAACAGTGGAGCTGCCTCGCCTCAATTTATCTGCAGCACTCCTCATCAGAACTGTAACTGTGGGCTGGTCTGTGCAGGATTGTTTCTCGATGAGTCATGCAGAGGTTCTGTAGCCTCTTCTAGGCAGAGCTGTGCTATGCACGATTAGCGGGCTCCCACTGTGAAATTGTTTCCTGAATGATGTAACTGATAGTCCTCCTTCCTGTGCTGATTCTTGATCAGTTTTCTCTTTGTTCTTGAAGACATTCCAGCCACTGCATCTCTTTTATCCCTACGAATCTCTGCGAAGACAAGTTATGTCAACAGCTGCTTTAATCCATCTGGTAAGAAACGGAGGTTATCAAGTACGAAGGAGAGCCCTGCTGACATCCCGCCTCTTGCAAGACGAGAAGCGTTCGACAGCCGAGTGCTACATTTCCACCTCCGAACGCCGGGCATCCCGCTTCGATCCGGACGGGAGCGGGCGGCCCGCCACGTGGGACACCTTTGGCATCTGGGACAATCGCATTGATGAACCTATTCTCCTCCCACCTAGCATAAAGTATGGAAAGCCGATTCCAAAAGTCAGCCTGAGCAAAGTGGGCTGTGCCAGCCATATTGGGAAGCGGAAGGAAAATGAAGACCGCTTTGATTACGCTCAGCTGACTGAGGATGTCCTGTACTTTGCAGTATACGATGGACACGGCGGGGCGGCAGCAGCAGACTTCTGTGCTAAGAACATGGAAAGATATATCAAGTAAGTGTGCATCAAGTGAACGCGTGGTTAATGACTTACAGTAGAGCCTCCCTACTTACAACCAAAAGGGAATCTGTGCACCATATGTTGCTGCTCATCGTCCCAGGCTGTATAGCCATCTATTCCAACAGGGACAGCAGGAACACAGCAAAGGAGTAATTCCCATTACAACAGATGTGGCGTGATGTAATTCTCTGTATGTTCCCTGCCCAGGGAGCAAGCCTGGAAAGACAAGAAAAGAAAATGTGATTGTATCCACCAGGAGAGAGCAGGGAATACAGAGCACGTGGATTGCCTGTTGTCAGATGGGGGTTATGTGATCACAGACTCAGGAGTTTGCTGACACTCCTCCATAGCTCTCTGGTATGTGCCTGAGTGTTAGAACAGGCACTTTATCTGTTTGCAAAATTAGAGGGTTGAGCTTTCAGTGCAAGTCATTAATAAAGCAGTATTACCTTTTTACTGTTATCTAGCATTATTCAATTATTCAATGCATGCAGGGAGAAAATAAGTCTGTGAAAGAGATTGATCAAGGTGAACACTTCTTGGTAAGAAGTCTTATTTTTTTTTCATTGTTTGTACCCAGGGAATTTGCTGCTCAGGAAGAGAACTTAGAAAAAGTTTTGAACGATGCTTTTCTAGAAATAAACAAAGCATACGAAAGGCATGCTCAGCTGTCTGCTGATGGTAGGTAAAAAAATATTCTACCCTTATGAATGTGGGGAAAAAGGGTTTGGTTACTTGCTCAGTAGTTTTGTACTAAGACTCTGAAAACAGCCTGAAAACTGTTTTACTTAATATAGGTTTTTGCTCTAATCACTTACCGCAAACTAAACAACTGTGCTTTACTTCCCTAAAAATGAAAAAGCTATTAAAAAGTCTAGGTCAAATTTACTGGGGAAGTTATTAATCTGAGCTTCAGCATAATCCACACTGAATTGATCTTAACATCATTCTGTCAAGAAAGGTGTTTGTCAAGTTAGCAAGGATGATTTAAATTGGCAAGGAGCATAATCTTCCTGTGTGAGAAACACTGTCTCCTTTGGGTTGTTTTTTTATGTTTTCTTTCTGAAAAGTTGCTATTCCTCTGAGTGGAACAGAACACTGTCCAAAGTTCCCCTTTCTTTCTTGGCTGCTGCAGCTGAGAAGGAATATCAGCCAGAAGTAATACAAACGATACCACTTCTGCACAGGGAGAATCTCCAGAGCAGCTGAGCACGAAAGGGGAAACAACAGTCAAGAGGAAAACAAGATTCACTGTGGTAAAGCTGGCACCAGCCCCTTTAGATTTCCTTAGTCCTGGCTGTTCACCAAATTCTTATGTATATATAGAGAGAGACTATGCACATCTGAAATTCCAGTCACAGCAGTTGGAGCTTATAGAGTGTAATTTGGGAAGGAAATAGAGGAGTTAGTTCACCTAATGTTTAAATAAATAAAAAGAAAACCAAACCCAAACAACCTGTCCCAGTGCTGCTGCAGATACTGGCGATGCAACAGGACCTTTAGGGAATGAAGTTACACTGTGTCCTTGGGGCTACTTCCACTTCCTTTAAACAATCAGTGAAAACAGTCTAGTAATGGAGTGGTTTCCTGCTCTTAAAGTGCTAACCAAACCTACCTAGGCTCAAGTATTTCCTGGCTGGACAAGTTGCCTGACTGTTGCAGCACTGTGAGGGATGTATAGCTTTCCTCTTACCTGGTAAAAGCTAATGTGTCAGAAAGACAATGACTCAAGTTCTGAAACACAGCCCTTAAAAAGGAGGAATTTAATCTGTAAAGCTCATTTTTCCATTATAACCTATTTTATTTCTAGGTATTGAAAACCAGTCCTGTTGTTTAGAAAGAATAATAATGGGGTAAAAAATCCAAAGTCATTTTTGACCTATGAAGTCAGTTTTAACTGAGAGTCTCCTTGTAAGCCCAGATTTAAAACAAAAACAAAAACAAAAAACACCAACAAACACCTACAGGCTTATGTGCTTCCCTAGACCACGACCTCTTATTTTCTGTGATTTGTTTTATTGCATCCTGCCCAGTCCATTTGTTATTAAGACAGCTCTTTATTTTGCTCATGTTTAAGTTTCAGAGCATTTCCTTGAGAAGATGTTTGGGAACTGGGTATACTGTTCTGTTACTCTGAATGCAGTTTCTGATTATAGCATTCTGTACTTGAGACATAAGGAACTGAACAAGAAAAATATTTAACAAACAAGCTGTACAGCAAGCTGGGCATTTTGGAATTCCTTGTAGGATTTTATCATACCATTTAAGTGACTAATCGGGGCTGCTCACTCACAGAAACGTAATGCAAATGCCAGCAAATTTATGTAACAGTCATCAAGATACTGAACAAGCCTTCTGCATTAAAAAAGCTTGAGGACAAACAAAATAGAAGGGAAAAGCAATCTACAGGGGCCACGTCCTACAAAGTACTCAGTGTTTCTTAGGGAGGCTGAATGCCTGCATACACTTCCCACAGGAGCCAGTGGGATCTAAAAGTGCCCAGTGCTCTTGTCTGGTTGCCCAGCTGAAAATAAAGCTAAAAGGCAAAGAGTGGAGTAACAGGGTGCACAGACAAGTGCAGTTTTCTGAACAAAGCAAGCTTTTTGCATATCTGTTGATTTAAAAAAAAAAAAAGTTAAATGCTTGATTGACTGTTTGGTGTGGATATTTTTGTCATTGCTGCTCTTTTGAAAGTTATGTAAAATTCAATGTTTTGCACGCGTCCTTGTTAGAAGACTAATACCAAATTGATTTTGTTTGCCAGCAAAAATTCTGAATGATTGTGGCTGTTCTAGATGTGATGGTCAAGGTTTCTCAGAGATGGCGGTCAGTGGTGTAACACAGGTTATCTGTCGTACACTGGATGCTCAAGGCCAACCTCCTTTTGAATCCCTGCCGCAGCTGATGAAGTGCAGAAAAATAACTTACTTAGTCTTGTTCCCACAGACAGCCCTGCCAGGGCTCCTTTCACTGTGTTCTGTAAAAGACAGGGTGGATGGTCAGGGTGTCCAGATCTTTACTAACACACAACCAGCTTTGAAAATGAATGCCTGTGTGTTTGAAGAAACGTAATTGCCAGGACATAACTACAGGAAATCCCTGTAACAAAAATCCATTAAATTTTGGCTAACACAATGCTTATGATGATATTTAGAGGGAAAAAAAAAAACATATTGTGGCAAAAATTTAGCAGGACTAGCATATGAATTGTTGGAGAATATAACTTTGTCTTCCAGGACACTGTCCTTTCTAGGACAGTTTACAATTGAAAAATATTTGAAATTAGAGTTGAAAAACAAGTAGAATAATGCCTCGTTTGAGTTCTCAATAAAAATAAAGGTCTGTGCATGTGTTCCAAAACTGCTGCCATGCTTGGTGTGCACATTCACTAGTGCTGTTGGACTGCTGTATTGACCTGCAGGCTGTTCCTGTATCCCCTCTGACAGTTTCACACAAAGGCATAAGAAACTTTCTTTTGGAAGCTATCTGCCACATAAATAATTTCTAATCATTAAGAGGTCAGAGATATGCCTGAGTCTTCAAGCATGGTGTTCAATATCTCTTCAGAAACTCATTTTCATTCACTTCCACACATTCAGATATACCCAGTCACTGTTGAATCACTGCTAAATTAACATACAGGACACAGTAAAGGAAGTTCCCAATCAACAAATACATTATTATCCAGGGAACAAACGCTAACAGAGATGGACAGTTTTCTGTTACATTGGACCAGCAGTAAAAATCTAAATGTAAAAGCTGAAGAGCTTTCTTGAGTAAGGATGGGTATAAACAACTGATCGTGCTCGAGGAAAACAGGACATTGCCCTGGAGAAATGGAAAATAAACCCTGCAGTGGTCTAGTGTGGTCTTGTAGCGTAAAAACTGCTGCTTCTGTTCACTGCAGGCACCATCCACCACTCTGGGAAAATAACAGGCAGGCAATGTTTCCATCAGTCTCCATTTTCAGTGCATCTAGCTCTAATCAAGTTGACCACTCACTTCTGGAATAGCCATCTTGTTAAAACATAGCCAGGTGTTACCTGATGTGTCTATGATTGAAGGGTCTTCCTGGAAATTTAATGTGCTGAGCAAACACCAAAAGTATTTTTAAAATAATTATATTTACAAAGTAGTATTCAGACTTTTTTAAGTTATTGTTTGAACATGTGATTATTTTTTCTTTGAATATGTTAACCTGCAACACTGAGGAAAAGGGAGAGCTGCAGAAATGGTTACTTACGTATTTCACAATGCCATCAACATCACAAAGACCACTTTTTTATCCAAAGGTCTCAATTATTACCAAATCAAGTTAGATGATACTAATTATAGTATGATAGTATTATAGTATGATATTGCATGTTTGCCCATGGATCAAAAGGAGTCATTCAGTGTCTTCATTAAAATGGCCTCAATTTAGGTGGCACAGGTTTGCACTCTCAATTTTTATTTTATATATATATATATATTTACATATATAAACTACCTTGGGAAAATGGGCCATATTATGTTTTGAAAGTTTTCTGTAAGGTGGCCACTGTCATATGAGACAGTCATATCTGGCATCAGTACATTTGTTTGGTTGACTTTTTAATTGGACACTTGCCATCAGCCCCGCAAAACCTGTCTGTGGCCAAAGATGCAGTCTCTATTATGGCCAAATAGAACATTACACAGCTCATATAGGCCCTTCCTCTGTAGAAGACACTGTGGGCAAACCCAAAATGACTACGTGCCCTGTTTTGCAGCCCTTGTCCTTTCATCTCCAGTGTTGCAGGTTTATTTTGTTTGAACAAAGTCCCTGGGTCAATTTCCTATTTGCCTCTGTGTACGTGTTATTTGTGGCAGACACTGTACCTGGTCAGCAGCTCTAGAACTGGAGGCCCTGGACACTATATGCTGGGCTTCAGTGGAAAGAGAGATCTGCTTAATTTTGTCCCAGGTGAAGGAGTCCGGCGGTTCCTAGCCTGGACTACTGGAAGGTTCCCACATCCTCTTTGTCACATTAGTTGAGATGACTTGCAGTAAAAAGTGTCCAGTGAGTGTTAAGAACCTATTGAAAGATCTTAGTTTTATAGTGATATTGTTAGGTAAACAAAATAAACTCTTTTAATTGTAAAAATGAGTACACGTGCTGATGCAATATACTTTTGTGTTATTAAAGATCCTAGCAGCGGTCATAGTAAAGCATTAGAAATGTTATCCCATCGTCACTGCTGTGTTTTGGAACTGTGAGAGAAGTCACATAATCCCTTCAGTCTGACCAGATCCACGTTCTTTCACCCCTACCTGATGATGATTCAGTTTCAGAGAAGAAAGCATGAGCGGCATTTGTTTTTCTCAGAGTGCAACTTAAGAAGCAAATGTTTATAAGACACAAGTTGGTACAGCCGTTACCACAGCTCTGTGTTGTATCTTCAGTAGCATCCTCTGCTTCCTGATAGCAGGTCTGTTGGCTTTAAGAGTTGGCACTGTAAAGATGCACGCTCACCTGAATGACCAAATATTTGTGCTCAGTCATGAATTACAGACCTTAGATCAACCTATTCTGAAACCATATGTGTTTGTAAGCATAGTTCCAAAACAAGTGATGAGATGGGAAACTAGTGGCATTAATTTTAATGTCTAAGTAAAATATATTTTCTGCAAAGTAAAAAAGGCAGTTTTAAGTAGGTTCTTCATTTTACTGCTTTTAGCTGTTGGCTAAAACAGGTATTTTACTGACTTTACTAAAATTTCTAATCACACCACTACTTGTTATTATCTTATTTTATAAAATACCTCAAAATGAGTCTGCACTTGCATAGTCCTTGCTATAAAGAAGAAATAAGATGTCAGTGCTCACCTGAATGCTCAAGAGGCTACTGGCATCTACGTGGTTTTGAATCTTGTAGTCTGTATCACAGCTGTAACATAGACCAAGGTGCATCCTGAGTCACCATGGTGAACATTCACTGTGGACTTGTTGGTTAAGTCAGTTAATCAAGTCACCACAGCAGTAATAATACCTGTTTTAATTAATAACACAAGCTTAGTTTAGGTGGCTTTGTGAGGTATTTTTGTTGTTGTTTCATCAACTCACTGCTTTCATCTGACAGCAAGGCTCCATGCACCCACCAGGGCGTTGTGTTGCCCACCCCAGTCCCTTCCACCATCCCAGGTCAGTGCCACAGAGCCAAAGGCAGGAGCACGTGCAGTGCAGAGCTCTGCAGAAGTGGTGATGGGAAGATCTTCAATCGTTACTCATGTGAAAATAGCAATATAGCTAGGGATTCTCATTGCTAAATAAACCCCAAACCTCTATCTGGAAGCTAGCTTTTAAAACCTGTTACTGGAACACCTCAGTGTGCAAGAGGCCTCCAGAGGGCCTTTCAGAGGCACTTGCATGGGCTGTGAGTTCTGGTTAAGAGCTGTTCCCAGCTTGGCTTTTTACTGTAAAAGTTCAAGTTAGCAGGAGCTAGTGCTTTCCAGCAGAGAGGTTGCTCTCCCTAACCAGTGCAGCATGTTTCGCAGGAGGAGATGCTATCTACAAAAGTAGGTTCTTCCTTTTAAACAGTAAGCAAGCAAAAAATGAGGGCTGGGCAATTCTTCTGGCATTTCTTTCACCGTGGATAAATCTGCACACCTTTTCTGAAACAGGCAGACAGACTTGTTTTTCCCCTTTTTAAGCACAGGTTTTATTTCTCCTAAGCAAGTTTGCTTGCAGTAGTCACTGCAACCAGGTCCCTAAAACAGTCAACTTAGATCACTCCCGTGCCCTGTAAGAGGAGGAAGCCAGCAGCTAGGGCTCCAGTTTGCCCTCTAGGCAGCAAATGTCAAATGATCCCACCAGCATTGAAGGGCAGATTGCCCAGAGGCAAGCATGGCTGCCAGGTGACTTGCACTCATTTGCATTGCAGTGCAAGGCAAGGCAGAATCCAGCTCTGTCTTAGTGCTGCAACCTCCAACAAATCTGCAGGGCTGTAAGAGAGCAGAGCCCCCTTCTCAAAAAAGGCAGCACTTATTGGCAGAGCCCTTTGTCTCTTGGCAAGCCAAGGGGAATGAGAGGGAGGTTATTAATAACAACAGCAACTGGAGAACCCCGCAGACTGCAGCCAGGAAGCGATCTGGAGGTTTTCTTCTGCTGAACTACATGCAGCTCCAATTGCAATTACTCAGCCACCCACTTCACTGCCTCACAGGAGGGGAGAACCATCAGCATTCTCGTGGGCTACCAATGCGCTCACTGTGCATAGGGATAAAGACAAGACCTGTACCTTGAGAGGAACTAGTGGGACTGAAAAGGTATTTGCTACAACCTGAAAAGAACCCACTGTGTCTCATCCTGCTTTAACTCCACTCGCCCTCTTGCATGGAGCCATGCTGTTGCACAAAACACTGACACTCTCCACTTTTCCTCCATCTCTGTCTCCCCATCCCAAGTCCCATATGCATGTTTGTTTGCTATTTTTTATTTTTTTTTTTACTTATCTATAGGTTTAGTTTAAACTTAAAAACAATTACTTACTAGTAATGTAGAGCACAAGTTGTCTTTTTGTTAACCAGTTGACACTGTTGCTCTGTTATAAATGGTCCTGTGCTTTGAGGCAGTGATAAAACCTCTCTCTCTGATATGACATTTGTAGCAACTCTCATGAACTCTGGGACCACTGCAACGGTGGCCCTGCTGCGGGATGGTATTGAGCTGGTAGTGGCAAGCGTGGGTGACAGCCGTGCCCTGCTGTGTCGAAAAGGAAAGGCCATGAAACTCACCATTGACCATACACCAGAAAGGAAGGAGGAGAAGGAAAGGTACCTGTTGGCTCGCGTTGTGGCTTTCTGGGGAACAGCCTCTGTCAGGCTGTCCTGCTGCCAGGTTGGTCCTGGGAAAAAGGCTAGAGCTGAACATAACAGTCCGAGCTGGAAAGAGTGGCACAACCCCAGTTAAGTAATTTAATTCAAGAATTGGGGATTTATAAAGTCCTACATGAACATAAACTGTCATTGCAGTAAAACCAGCAGAACTAGGACTGGGTATTGAGCTGTGACCACATGGTTCAAAGACTCATACAAGAGTTCCAAGAGATATCCAGGATGTGAAGAAATGTGCTGTAGTTCCCAGGGCAGCACTCAGCCCTCTAAATCCTATTCCTTCTGTGGAACCCTTCAAACATGGCCTCTCAGTTCAGGTCCTTGGTACTCCATCTCACATCAGCTGATAGTGAAAGAAACTGCAGCTACAGACAGGGGGAATGATCTGAATCTGTAACTCATCTTCCTTTCTCTCTTGTGCCTCCGGACAGGATTAGGAAGTGTGGTGGCTTCGTTGCCTGGAACAGTTTGGGACAACCCCATGTGAATGGTAGACTTGCAATGACGCGGAGCATAGGAGATTTGGATCTCAAAAACAGTGGTGTGATAGCCCAGCCAGAAACAAAAAGGGTTCAGGTAAAAGAAAGCCTGGTTCACAGGGACGGCAATTGGATTAAGGGGCAACAAAGCTATCTGAAGCAGTTGGTGGTACCCACACAGTTTGCTCAGGTGGAACCACATGACCAAGCTTTGGTTTTCACTTGTAAAATAACCCACAACCAGCTCTACGTAAGTTATCTCAGATTAACACTAATAAGATAGAAGAGAATCTAGTCCTGACAGTAAAGTCAAGAAGGTTAACTTCTGAATCCTTGTTATCACAGTATAACCTACTTTCAATGTTACTTGTATAAAGCCACCACTGAGAACTAGGTGGGATTTGGAAGAGCTGGGTCACCGAGGAGAGCAGAATTTGTAACGGGTTATGTACTTGGGAGGAAGGGAGAAGGAAAGGAAAGTTGCAGGCATCTTACCATAGCTTTGCAATTGTCCAGGAAACAGATCAACCACCCATAAGGTATTCAGCACAACTGCATTCATGTTTTCATAAAGAGAAAACAAAGTCCCTCCTCTCAACTCATACTGTTTTGACATTTTCCCCTAATGGATTTCCCAGTGCTCAGGGAACTTACAGTCATTTGTTCCCAGTCCAACACAAAACACTGTCCACGAGGCCTGAGGGGCTTAGGAGGTGACTGCAGTGGTAACATGTCTTCCCTGAAATCCTCATGGGTAACGTATGGCTCATGGGTCTTTTGGCCTCACTGTATCCAAAGGTCTGTTCCCTAGAACTGTTAGTCCTCATACAGAAAGCAAGAGAACAGGCAGCATTCCCAGAGAAAAGTACTTTGCAACAAAGGGTAAAAAAAATAAATCAAGGCAGCAGTTTTACCTTGCAGCACTCTCTTTACTGTTCTGTATACTTATACCTTTATTGCAGTTGCACCATGCAGATGACGGCTTCCTAGTCCTTACTACAGATGGTATTAACTTCATGGTGAACAGTCAAGAGATCTGTGACTTCATCAACCAGTGCCACGATCCCGCTGAAGCTGCCCACGTTGTTACTGAGCAGGTAACTCTAAGGTTTCTTGAAGCAGCAGAGTGCCAGATCCTTGCAAAGACACAGGGACATCATTTCAATTAATGTGCTTAGTTCTTGGTCCACAGACCTGCTGAGTATGTAATCAGCATAGGTGGAAATCACCAGTTTCATACTGGAGGTTTTGGACAGTGGTATATCCATAGAAAGCTCTGAAGCATGCAAGAGCCTGCAGCGTTGGAGCTGGGAAGAAGCAATGAAGTCTCAGAGCATGCTGTCCCATGTGGAGTCAGACAGTTATTTCCCTTTCTGAGCAAGACTGTGATGCTGACAAATTGTTTCTTCCTTCAGGCAATGCAGTATGGCACTGAAGATAATAGCACAGTTGTCATAGTGCCATTTGGAGCGTGGGGAAAGTATAAAAATGGCGAGATCAACTTCTCCTTCAGCCGCAGTTTTGCCTCCAGTGGGAGATGGGCGTGAAGATCTGACACAGCTCTTTTCCTGCAATAACATGGATACAACGTGCTATAAGAGAACACATCCATCTGTTCATAGGTTGACTCAGTGTCTTGTCCATCTTTTCTGTTGCCAGTTATGGAGGATGCAACTGGTCCTTTGGTGTGTAATTGCTGCTTACAGCTGATCACATTTTACTGTGTTTATTTATTCAGATCAGCACTGGGTTTCTAGTCCCAGCAGCTCCACACATCATTTCATTTGCACAGACAAGTCTCTGGGCTTGAGTTATGACACATCGGTTTCATCCCAACTCTTGTTACCTAGTTACCTGGCAGCTGTGAAAGTCCTAGACTGAGCCATGCACCATCTTCTTTGTACGTTAATACACAGGGGAACAAATGCAGTGTTCTTAGCAAGACAGAAAGGGAGTCTGTTGTTTTCCTATACCATGCAGCCATCCAAAGCTCCCCCATGTTTCAGGAGAAACAGGTGAAATACAAGGGGGAAATATCAGAAGCAATTAGCCTGTGGTTATGTTCTGGTGCCAGGGGCATTCCATGTAGCTGAATGGCATCCCAATAGAGCACTTCGCTGGGCTTTAGGCTCTCTCTGCTATTACCTGTGATCCTTAAGCTCCAAAGAGACAGAGCAAGCAGGAGCCACGTGCTGTTGGACAGATGGGAACCCATTGGGCCCAAAGCCCCTACAGTCTCGGTGGACCATGCAGCATCTGTATGGTGGACCATGCAGCCTCTGGCACCATGCTTCCTTCAGCGTGTTGGTGCCTGACAAGAGCACGTAGGAGGAGAAAAAACAAGCAGCCCATTTTAGCATTTCAGAGATTCATCAATTTGAATGTCTTTTTTTTTTTTCTTTTTCCTAAGAAAAGGAAATTGTTTCAAAGAGCTTTCAATTCAAGATTTTTGGAGGTGTGAGACAGTAGAGTTTATTTCTTCATATGTGAGGATTTTCCTTTTTTTTTTCAGCTAGGTACAGTCTCCCAGGGGCATAAAGACAGCTGTAAGATGCCCAAAGCGAGAAAGCTAGAGAAAGAAGAGAATATTTTAATAACATATGGCAATTTTTGTTAAGTTTTGGGTGTTGTTTCCACCAGGCATCAAATAGTTGGTCACCAAAAGGTAGCTTTATACTTTAAAGATTTCACTTCTCTTTCTGGTGGGAGGCTGTGTCCAATGAGGCACAAAAAGCCAGAGCCCTGAGCCAGCTTGGTGTTGCTGTGATACAAACTGCTGGTGACACATCAACAGCAGGTCCAGCTGTTCCACATACCTCTTTCGGCCCCAGTTCTCCCTCACTCAAAATTAGTCGTGCATCTCCTGTAGCCTCAAATTGCCCCATTGTGAGGAAATACGGGCAGAGAAAAGTCAGGCTTTTCCTATGTAGATTTTGTTCCATGTTTCCAACAGCACAATTGTTTTAATTAAAAAAAAAAAAAAGCCAACTGACAAGAACAAAAGGTGATGCCTGGTCTGATTCTCATTTTCCAGTGTATCATAGGCATCTACATCTTTTTCTAGCCCCTTCCAGGCCCATGATTACAGCACAATCATTCCATGTGTTCTTCTGGCTACAGGCTTGCGAACACCCTGCAGGTCACGGCATCGTACTGACAGCATTAATACTCTACATATAGACAGTACCTTGGTTGTGTCCCATCACCTGGTGTATTTATATGGTGTACGTAATGTGTATATTCAGTTTATGAGTATAAAGAGCTTGTGACTCAATATTTGTAAGTCTCTATTGTGTTTGGTGCTGTTGCCCAGGCAGGCACATTTAACGAGCACATCCATCACTGGTTTACAGTTGTAATATCTTCTTTCTTCCCCAGATTTCCCCCGTTCTGTCTTCACTTGAGATCAAAGTGTTCAGTCCTAGTCACTGCCTTGCTTACTTGAGGCAAAAGGCACTTTTAATTGATAACTGGCAATTTTCACCCTGCACAACCTGTTTGTAGCAAAAGCAGCAGAACACATCTTCTCCTGAGCACTTGCAGAGAGGCAGCACCTGACAGAGGGCTGTTCCAACAATGCAGTTATGACCCGTTTGCACTGCACAGCTGACTCCTGCTGAAATAGCAAGCAGTCCTAGCTAAGGGCTAACCACACCACGGTCTTACTCTGGGCAAAGAAGGGTTACAGTCAGCTTTGGTTTCAAGTGTCAGACAGGCATGAGCAGCAGAGCAAGGATTTGGACGTGCCTCATCAACACTGCTTTGTGCCAAATGCTGCTCATTCCTGTTTGGCCATCCATCCAGCTGGCCAGACAGAAGATATCAGCCTCCCCCCCACCCCCCCCAAGGTGTTTATAACAAGTATACATTTATTTTTTTGAGCTGTGCTGAGTACTTGCCAACCTGAATACATGATATCAAATGCAGGGCGGTAATGAATAGCACTGCAGGTGCTGTGAGGAATGGCCTGGGCTGATGAAGTAGCTTCTGAGCAGTGATCAGTATATATAAAGTAGTAATTTTTATACTTGAGGGAGTTTGGGAGCATTTTTTTTGTTTTATCCCTATCCAGTTCAAGGCCAGGTTGGATGGAGCCCTGGGCAACTTGATCTCGCACTTGGCAACCCTGCCTGTGACAGGAAGGTTAGAACTTGGTAATCCTTGAGGTCCCTTCCAACCTGAGCCATTTTGTGATAGCCTAATTTCATAAAGAATGGAAGCGGTTGGGTGCTTCTATTTCCTCCAGCAGACTGACTGTCCTCTCAGAAGAAGGATCCATCCATAGCTGCACATGTATTTTAGAAAGGAAGGGATAAGACAAAGCTTTGCAAAATAGAAGGTGGCTAGGTAAGGATGCATTGGCAGTTCCTATTAGTGCCTCTAAACAATCACAGAAAAGCTGTGGTTGGAAAGGACATGGTAATGTCATCCATCCAGCTTACTGCTCAAAGCAGGGCTCATTTCAGAATTATGTGCTGCAGCAAAGGGGGCATGCATCTACTGACACTGGACTTTAGAGACTGAAATGGGATGGGAAGAAAGACTTCGGCATGAGAGCAGTCTGCCTGCGGAACCACCAGAACACACTGAAGTTGAAAGCTTACCAGTATGTGAAAACCTGCAGGTACTTTGTACGGCTACTAATAAATATCACAAATAAATTAGCACATTCATCTAACAGATATGAGCTGTTTTTTCTAAACAGCAATCAGACAAAAGATTACAAAGACACATTTCTTATTCCCTGGCTGTTCCCTGCACTTTTCTGCATCTGTCTCTGAAGTAAACAAGCTACTAGTGAAGGCAGATTGCTTTGCCAAGTGGCCCAGTAGTCCACCCATTCCTCTTACCATTGCTAACAGTCGCTTTCACACTGGTTTGTGAATTTCTGCCTTCACGCTGTGCACTGCCAGACTTCGAGTACGTCAGAAACATCATTTGGTGCAGACCCTCTGTTACCAGAATCTTTATCTTCCCAAACAACAGCCCCGCCTCTTCTTGCAAAGGCAGTCATCTCCCTTTAGATTTATCTGCACCAAGTCTTGTTTTTCTCCAAGTCATCAGGAAAAACCTGCACTTTCCTGGGTGATGGGTTTTTCTGTCATTTGATATTTCTTAATGAAGAAGCATTAGGACAAGTCACAGGAATTGCATTTTAGTCATGGGGCTGTTTTGGCACTGACGTTGGCAGAGTGAGCCATGAGTGTAGGTGTATGGCACTGACATTCCCTGGTGTGAAGTATGAAGTCGAAGGAGTAAAGCCATGCCAAGGCAAATGGAAAAAGCTTATCAAAAGTACTCCCTTGCCTGGACACTCCTTCTGGACCAGTGCTGTTTTTCATGGTAGAGGTGCTGCAGGAGGAAGGGGCTGGAACAGCTTGAATACACAGCATCCTCTGAACAGTCAATCCCTTTTTGTTCGAAAAGCTCAAGGTTGGTGAAGAATTGTGGAGCACAGTTTGTGGTTGAGAATAAGGGTGGGGTGAGAAATTGGCAATATTACCACTTTTTACCAATTTGGAGAAATGAAAATTCTGAAGATCTGGGACTCACTGCAGGATTTCTGCTTATGGAGGAATCAGATACTGGATCAGCATTTCTGTCTCAATACTCAATGTGCTGTTTTCAAAGGCACAGAGGTTTCTAGCTAAAGCAGTAGCACAAAACAGATACAACTTACGGTGGTTTAATATTAATTTCTGTGGAATAGAATCACGTAGTCACTTCTAGGTCCATTGGTCACTTATCCAATAAGCTGAGGATACGATATAGCACTCCCCTGCATTTTCCCAGTTCTGAAGCTGCTGTTCTCCTCTTAATGCAGAGGTACTAATGGGGATTCCCCTTTGCCTGGCGTGTGAAGTGCTTGGGCAGCAGAGCGTGTCATAACTTTTACAGACTGAAGTGCAATTGTGTACATTCACTGCATACTTTGCCTTAGGACAGTCTATAATTCCTGATGTTAAATGTTTATTTTTGGTGTAATCAGTGACCATAATTAATCTACTACTTCATTTTACTGAATTTTTTTTTTTCTTTTTAAACATTGTCTTCAAATTTGTGACTCAAATCTACAGTGGGATACAGATAAGGCTGTACTGAAATGCTTAAATAAAGACCTCTAAATAAAGAATCGGCTTTTCACTATGAATGTATTTTTGTTTTCCAAACATGCTGCCAACCACCAAAACTTTGTTTCTCAGGCTCTGCCATGACTGTCCTGTGAGCCCTCTGCCTCTGTCATAAACACATTCACCAAGGCTCTTGCCTTTCAATGAGTGGGTGCTGAGGCACAGGCTGCCCAGAGCAGCTCTGGATGCCCCATCCCTGGAGACACTCAAGGCCAGGTTGGATGGGGCCCTGGGCAGCCTGAGCTGTTGGGGGGCAACCAGCCCACAGCAGGGGGTTGGGACTGAGTGGGCTTTAAGGTCCCTACCATTACAACCAATCTATAGTTCTGTGATATGATATGATACAACACAAAGGCATTCACCAGCAATAACTGGTGCAAAGTAACCATCTCTGTGCTCTGTCAGCCTTCACTACAGCTGTGCTTCATCAAGGCCATGTGTTCTAACTTGATATTTCAGACTTGTATATTTTGATATATTACAATACCAAGAAATCAAAATGCCATCTCTCTATATACAAGTTTGCCTTAAAATATTATGTTGTGAACCAGGAAAGCACTTGAAGCAGCTGTCAAGGAGAGCAATTTCACTCTGTGACACAGTGAAAGGAGATAAGCTGAGCCCTCCTCAACACGAGAAGATGTTTTGACTGCTACATCAATTCAGTCATGGTGGGGATGGGCTGATAGTTGGATCTGATGATCTTAGTAATCTTTTCCAACCTTAGTGATTCTATTATTCTATTAATTCAGAACATTTCTGTTAGTCAAAAGCAAAAAAAAAAAGGCGAGGAAGCAAAGACTGGCCAAGAGTTTTAGTTTTGCTGCAGAAGCAACACTGTGGCAAATGCAACAACTTATTTTCAATTTTTACTGTTCCTACAGCTGAACTCAAATCTACCTTCACTTTCTTTGAAGGAGACTTGAACAAAGTCCTTACACTTCTCTCCCATTTAGGACTAATGCAAGTCCTTTTCCATTATCCTTTGTTGCCATTCCACTTCTCATCTCATTTAGGACTTTATCAGTTTTAAGATACCTGCATGTATTGAACACAGTGCTAGGAGTCCTGCTGCTTCTGTAGGTGAATTTTCATGCTCAGGCAGCATGTGAAGAAACCTGCTGGACAGCTTTAAGCTGCTGCCCTTTCCTCACCATTTGGCAGCAGTTGGGAAATAGCTACCGGGTTACTCTGTAAAGGTTACTCTGTAATCAGAACATTTGTCCCATAATGAGTGTCCCTGTGACCTGCTGGTTAATTCACACCGGCAGGAGGGGAAAGGCTGTGCACCGGCAGCAGCATGGCAGTTCCCTGCCATATGTCTCCAGGACAAGCAGAGGAGAGCAGCCAGGCATTATAGTAAGCAATGCGTGCTCTGGCATGGGGTGCTCAGGGAAGCTTTAAGCCCTCTGCAGCCCTCCCCTAAACTGAACATCTGACACTCTCCAATGCTGGATGTTGTTTCTTATTTTAAACACTACACCCCACAAGTTATCTGTAAATATATTAAATAGCTCTTTGCAATTCAGCACCAATACAAATTTCTACTAAGACCTTTTCCTCCGTAAAATTGCTCTCTGTTCCTGCTCCTAATATTTCTGATTCCAACCCTTTCCTGCTTATTTGAACAAACAAATGCCAGCATGAGCTACTAGTGAAGATGCAGACCTGTGTTGCTTAGAGATGTGAGCCAGTTCCAGGGAAGATCAAAGACATCTCTCCTCCTTGGACATTATGAGTAAATCACTTATAACTAGCAGATCCCATGACTGCATCATGCAGAGTGTCTGCACTAAGCCTTTGGGCTTTTGTTCTACAGGAAATAAAATCTGTCAAAGTCTCCAGTTCCCAGAATCTGCAAGGCAGCAGCTGATCCAGAAGCTGACAATATGCAGTTTCTGACAGGTCTGGGAAGCCCTGGAAAGCTGGCTTAAGTAGCAGCTGCCTGTGGCCACATCCTGGCTCACGCTGAAACTTGGTTTGCTTTCTCCACACTCAGCTCCCTCTGTGCCTGTTAGCTGAAAAGAGCAATCCCAGATGTATTCCACAAACAATGCATGGAAAGCCTACTGCATTTGCAGACTAACCTGCTGGTGAACTTCTTGCTACAGGAACCACGCACGTCAAGATCCTATCCTCCAGCGACCCATTCTGAGGTGCTGCACATGGCCTGGCACTCGTTGGGTAAGAGAAAGGAGACTCTGCAATCAGAACAAAGGGATCCCTCAGCAGACAGTGAAGCAGCACCTGTACCAAAGCTGAGGGGGAGGTGAATTTAAATGCAATGCACATGCTTTCCCTGTCTTCGAGACTCAGTCTCGACAGAAGAAAGCAGAGTTTTCAGCTCTCAGAACAGCAAGTGTAGTCCATGGCAAGCCTCAATCTACTCTGAACATCTTTCACTTTCCTCTTCCTTGAAAAAAGCTGAGAAGCCCGTCATGCAGAGCCTCATGCTTTCCTTCCACTAATGCCACATTCTATGTGAAGCTGGGCAGCCACAAAGAGCCTCTGCTGATGGACCAGACCAACAGTCATCCTCTTGTTCTACAGGCAGTCCAGCAATGCAGAGTCACGCACTATGCCTCTACCCCTAGCAGAAACACCCATCTGCATCCCATTGGCATGGCACAACCTGGGCTAGTCCCCTACAAGCTGGCAGCCTGTTCACCACAAAGAGCTGCAGCTCCAAAGGAAATGAAACAAATTCAGTGTGGAACTGCACTAGCAACACTTAGAAACTGCTTCCAGCTGACTGCAGGTGCATTACAAGGGAATGCTGAACACACCAGCTGCAAAGGAAGAGTCACTGCAACAATAAGGGCCTTCCAGAGCAGGCATTAGCCCATCTACATTTATCCTTATGTGTTCCTCACGTTTATCACTGAAATTCTAGTTATGGGGAAGACCCTTTCTTAGGCAAGAAATCATGAAGTAACTATTGAAATTTGATTGCAGGAGTTTGTTTTTTTCCCAATAACTTCTTAATCTGACGGATCTCATCAGTATGATTTTATACTAAGAAAGTTTACAAAATACATACCACAATATTCTTTCCCACATCTAGAAAGGCAACATTTTTAAAATGTCCACTATAACGCACTGAACCTTTCTCAAACCTGTCCTTTTTTTTTTTTAATTTTATTTTAACATCATATTCTGTAGCTAGTGCAAATGGTGATAATTCACACAAAGGAGACTACAACTCTTTGTGACTGCATAGGAATTACTTCTTCAATGTGTTACCTGTCCACTCCATCACTGTTTGTTCTGCTGCATTACTGAGAGAAGCAGGAGGAAACACGTAGCCAGACGTCTCCAAGCCGAAGTTTTTCAGCACCAAAGCTTTACCTATGAGCAGGTTTGACCAAGTTATCATGTTGCAAACTTTCAAAAGAATTAATCTCCTACAGCAAGAAACAGAATGGAGGCTACTCCTGAAATAAGGCATACTCACTAGCTATAAAAACTGAATCAGTGGGACCATGTATTGGAGAGATGGAAAAAAGTTACAAAAATTACTCATGGCACTAAAACTACAGGTTCTTCATATCATTCAGAACACTACATGAAATTGAGCACAGGTTTGCTAACTTACTATTGTATGGATCCATGAAGAAGGCCAGCACGTTTTTGCCAGTGAAAAGAATATGCTGCACAAACTAGCCTGAAGCTGCAGATAAGAGGGCATTTCTACTTGACAACCCCAGACCCAGCACCCTGACTCCAGAATGCTCTACTGGCTCAAGGTGCTCTCTGCTGAAGCTGCTTTGTGACCTGTTCTGTGGCACCAGAGTAGCTGGGCTAACTACAATTGCAAAGCACACTTAAATACACTCTAAACACCCACCTCCCACCCCACAGAGCTTTTGTGAAATCAGTTTGTGCTGAATGCAGTAAACACAGATGCTTAATAACATCGCTTGAAGGTACTTTTAACTTACAGCTAAAGAAATCGCTTACTGACAAGCACTAAGAATGCAGTGTGAGTTCTGGTGTTAATCAACCAAGGAACATGGCAGGTCCAGCTGCAACAAAGCCTGTTTTTTAACTGGAGAAAAACTGTTAGCAACCAGCACTGCCATGCAAGTAACCATGACAACAAAATCCCACCTTCTTCAACACTACCAAATTAGAAAAAACTATACAAAGGCATTGAAGGGGGCATGATGGTGAAGAGTTGGAGGTTGGACATGATTATCTCTTAGATGTATTTTCCAACTGTAATCACTTCATGATTCTAAGCATTAGTAAAATATTTCAGCGTTTGGGGATCTTAAGCTGTGTCTCACCAGATGTCAAGTCCTGCTCTAGCAGTTGTCCTCTCTCCTTGGAAAAGATGATTTAAGTTGTCAATACTTCCTCCTCTTGAAATGTCCTTATGGAATATGACTTAGATTATTCTTTACTGTCTGCCTTCTCTGTATCAGTACAGCTTATTCTTCTAAAACACTGTCAACACTGCTGGCTTCCCACTCTCTACAATGACACTCTTAAAGAAAAAAAAAAAAATTAAAGATTCACAATTTTACATTGCATCACTGCAGATGACTGTACTTGGGTTCAGAAAGCAAAATGATATCAAACAAGTTTACTTATCCAGAGGATAAAGAAACATGGTACTCATCAACTACCACTCCCATTTTAAAAATGTTTATTCAGCTGCAAATGTTGCTTATTTCCAACAAATGCAAAACAGCTTTTTGGTGGTAAATAGCAGGTATTTATTTGAAATGAAAAAAATACTTAAGTACCTGAACTATTGCATTTAATCATGTATTGTAACTGTGTTACTCTAACTTTTTGCATTGGAGACAAATATACAATGAACATTCAGATATCACAGATTGCACACTAGATAGTAAATCGTCAGGCCTTTTACGTAACCACCAAAAAACAGATATTGGATTCTGCAATATAGTACAAAATTCCACACTCCAGTCTTAGCCAGTTATCTTCAATTTACTCCCGATGCTGTACAAATAAATGGCCATTTAACTAGGGCTTACAAGTTAATAACAGGACAAAAAAAATATACATTGCACTGACACAAAAAGTCAGCTGTGTTAATAGTCATGCAACAAGTAACCAAACTTGCTGAAATTAAAAATACTGTCTAAAAACAGTTTTAACTGCATAAATATTTTATACACAGTTCATTTACCGAAACAAAAGGAGTCTTTAAATGATACAAAGCAAATATAAGTATCTACCAATTTTATACATAAGAAAGTGCAAAATAACTTATCTAAAGTGTTCTGCTATTGAACCGATGACTGTGGGCTGGAGGCAGCCAGCCCCCTCTCGTAAGCATGACATTACAGTTGCACACTACATACGAATGTTAAGAGTACATGAATAAGTATACTACAAAGAACAAGGCAGGAGAAGACATGTGAGGTACTTGCAGAGAATACAGTCTACTGATGTTAGTGTACATGAGCATATTTTTGCGCAACCCATTTCTACATGGAAAACAAAGCAAGTCTTTGCATTAGAAGCTTCAATGAGAAAACCACTCCCAAGTGAACGAAGCAGTTGCCCACAGCACCAGCTGCCAGAGGAAATACGAGCAGGCGGGGTACTTCCCCCTCCACCTCCTACCAGCACAAATGTGGTTTTAGAACAGTGCAACTGAGAGATTAAGTCAGAAGGCTGTGGTTATTGGTTTGCAAAACGCAAATGTGGTCCGACCTCTATGCTACAGACTCGGAAAGGAATAGTGATCCTGATTTTAGTAGGCTGACAAAGGTAAAAAGCACAGATTGACAATGGTGTCGTGTGCCTGCATAGCCAAACAACAGCCAACTACATCATCACTGACAGTGCACAGTCTTCATAAGCCCACATTAGTCATATATGCCAGATCTTACTTCTAATGTTCAGGTTATACCAAAGTTACTGCCAGCAGCTCTGTTTTGATTAGGGTTTCATTGGAATCAATTCACGGAACAGAATTCTGCCTTAAATTCGGTTTCGTTTTGAAAACTAGAGGCAAGAGGGGAGAATCTCTGAGGATTTAAAAGCATTTAATGGTTGTTAAAAGAGCTTTCTCTTCAATCAGTAAACATGTTGGCCACCAGCCCATCTTCGAACTATGCTGGCTTCGCATCATTTTGGGAAGGGTCAAGGCAACGTTAGAGAACATCTGAATATAGGTATTCCGGCATTCCATGCACGTTTCACTGAGGGCTTCCCCCCTTCTATTTTCAACAATAAATCTGCCAAGGGAGCCATGCAACGCAGCTACTTATCACAGTTTGGATCCGAAGGGATCTATTTGGGTCAGCTAACCTAAACAAACCTGCATTTACTCAACAGTGTGCAAGGGCTCTAGAAAAGCCTTTCTGCTCATTTGGGAATCTAGTATACATACCAGAACAGGAATTTCTCATTTTACAGACCAGCACATACTTTATAAACAAACGTGTCAAAATACATATTTAACCTTCAGTGCATAAACACGTGTTACCAGGGTAGAGAGTAAGTGGTTAGGATTAACAAATGGATCTAGAAGGTCCAGCCAAGAGAAGACAAATGTGTCTCCAAGGTACAGGAACCCACTGTCACAGAGGGGCTGGCATTTCCCACACTGCAATTCCAACAACAGCTTAAACCATCTTCTTCCTGGGGACGGAGTCTGCCCAGTGCCTGCCAGTGCAGGGTAACCTCTCTGTCTGCAGCCAAATACACACACTGATGTTCTGCAGAGCAAAAGTAGGGCTGCCTGTCTTCTGTTGCTTTGGGTCACATCCGTACTGTTGTTTTGAAGAACCCAATGTGAACTTACCTAGATCTAGATCAGTTTGTCACACATTTACAAAATATATACACGCATATTCAAAACAAACAAACAAACCCACTGTTAAAACCTCCTTCGGAAAGTCCACGGGCCTGTGTGGTGAGCGTGTTCCAATCCCAGTGGATGTCCATGTTTCTACTTCATCCCACATGTAGTGCAAAAGAAGTGACAGAGTAGTAAAAAAATACTGCAATTCAATTCATTTTAAAACTTAAAAATGGTAATGGAAATCTACCACTGTCCTCAGGGTCATGCCATTTGCTGACACACGGAGACAGCTCTTAAAAGCATCTCTGGCAGAACAAGCACTAACCCGTTCCAGAACGACTACGTTGTTCCAAACATTTTTATTTTTTTAATTTTTTTTTTTTTTTCAAATAAGCTACGGGACAACAGTGGTAAAATTCTATGCACAGGAAAATTCATTCTGTACCTGTATGCAAGCCAATCGCTACTGACTTAAAGAAGGTAAAAGCTGGTTCTTGCACTGCATGAATCAGCTGCTAATGAACACTAAGTAATTAACAAAACTGCAGCTCTGACATATGTATAAAACAGGCCTTGTTAAATATGAACAACACTGAGGCAGTAAATAGTTTTGGTATAAAATGCAACCAAAGTTTACAATTTAGTTCCTGGTTATCTTACAGCTAGAATAAAATACTCCAAGTCCTATTCTCAAAAAAAGTTTTCTTTTGACAAAAAAATCCATGTAGTTCCATGAATAGCCTTATTTAAATTAAGATACTGTGGGCAACTGAAGAACGAATGTGCACAGACTGGATTTTTAACAGAAATACACATAATGCCTTTGAGTTTTCTGTTGTTTTTTTTGTTGTTGTTGTTATTATCTAAACATTCATATTTAAGTTGATAGATGAGAAAGATGCCACACAAAGTATAGTGGTTAATCTGAAGTCCCATGTAACAGGCAGTTAGGTTCATATTTAGATAAAAAGGCCATTATATCTATTTACAATATACACAGTTGCTTGCGAAGAAGGCAGATTTACAACTATCTTCTAAAAAGCCTTCCCTTCCCTCCCACCCCCCACCCCAGTACAGATGACTAGCTCTACAAAAACAAGACAAGAACCGGTGTTTAGGGTAAGTGAGAATTTTCTTCATAGCCGTGTCAACATTGTTAGAGGTTGACAGTTCTACTGTATCTGTGGTTATTAACCATGTCTTCTTGGGCCTGGCTCTTCCAACGTGCCATTCACCTATCACACACCTTCCATCAACACAAATCAATTCAATGATCCCTTATACTTTCAGTGCTTAAAATGCAGTATAAACTTAAGTGTAAACAGACAATATTCTACTCCCTTCTGATCGCAGCACAATGCTCACATTAGTTCTCAGGGTGACAGCAGGACTGTACAGGGTCTCCATTTACCACCACCTCATCAATTCCTGGGCCCTTCCTCTAAGCCCCGCTCATGCTGCAAGTTGTAGAAACAGTTCTGGCAGACTCTGACTGGCGATGAAATCTTCAGACGCTTGATTTCAGACTGAAACCGACTGCACCTGCAGAGAAAAACACCACTGTGAACATGTGTCCTCTCCCAACCTCACCATTTTCTTCCCAGGTGTGTTAATTATCATTGTGACTTCAAACACTCAACGCCATCCAAACAAATTTTGACACCGTGTTGTGTTTGTAGATTGATAAGATGAACTATTTGCTGAAAAAGAAACATTTTTTTTCTCCTTTGCTAACTTACTTTGTCTAGGATTCATTACTTGATTTCATTCTCAGTTGGCACTTACGTTAACAGCTTCACTGTTTATACAGAGGGTCATGTCTGCTTTTTCTAACTCTTCCCTGGAAATTTTGACAGCACTAATGTTTGGTTTTCTTTTTGTTTTTTGTTAGTTTTTTTTTTTTATCAGTTCTGTTTTGATTAGAGAGTGGAAAGAGTAGCCCGTTTGTAGAGTTCAGTGGTATGCAATAGCCTAAAATTCTATATGGGAAAGAATCTAAAGGAGGATGGTGCTAGCTTACTTCTGGCAGAAGAGCTGCCCACAGTTCCTGCAGTGGTGACGCCTCTCTGTGAGTGAGAACCGGACTGCACAGCCTGAGCAGCTGTCCCCTCCCTCATCCTTCACCCAGTGGTCGGCTGCTGACCGGCCTGGCTGATCACTCACAGACCAGCTGAACACTCGGCCACGGCCATCCCCAATGAGAATTCTGCTGTGATCCCTGGAGGAGAAAAAGAAAAGCATTTCCATGACAATTATTGGCTCAGTAAGGTACAGACAGTGATAGCTGATTTTAGATATCAGAATATTTAATGACGTTTTAATGACCAGGATATTAATCAGTGCTCTCAACAAAAACAAACAAACACAAAACAGCATTATGCAAAGAACAGTATCTGCATCCTTTGACAACACTGAAAAAATGCACTGAGTGATCACCTGTGAGCTACTCACTTGGAGATGCCGAGGGCAGTGATTTCTGCTGGATGTGCGTTATCTTTGCGATCAAATGCTGTGTGCATAGTTAGTTTGCTCCTAAACACCAACTGACGCTCCCATCGGTATCCTAGAAGGGAGCAGGAAGGAAAAAAGGAAAAAGACAAATCTGCTCGTTCTCATTTCTATATCCCCCTCCTTCCCCAAAATATCCATGTGCATCAATTTGTAGAAAGGAAACATCTTTATCTCCCCGGAGGCTGATAACTCTCAGACTCACTTCCCACTCAGGGAAAATACACTCTCAACTGCTCCCCACCACATCCAAGGAAGGAGAAAATGCAATACAAAGCAGAGTCTTGCATTTCACCAAATGCAGCTGGCATTTGTAGAGAACAGTGACATTCAGAGTGGAGCTGGCACTGAAGACCAGCAGGACTGAGAGTGCTTCATTAGTATTATTAATTTTGTCTGTAGCCACGGTTGAGATTTACAACTATGGTTAATTTTTTTCACACATCCCCTACAGTGCTGTGTTTTGGTTATGTGACTAAAACAGCGTTGAGGACATGGCAGTGTTTGAGGTACTGCTGAAGATTACTTTCACAGCGTCAAGGTTTTCTTTTTTTTCCCCACTCTTTCTCATCTACCACCAAGTAGGCTGAAGGTGTACAAGAAGCTCAGAAGTAACACAAGTTGCTTAGTAGACTATCCTTAGCTCAACTTTTGAGTTTTTTTGTGCTTTTGCCCTTTTGCTCCTCCTATTCTCTCCCCCCAACCCATTGCAGCGACAACAAGTGAGCAGATTAGCTGCCAGCCAAGGTAAACCCAACACCATTTCTCACGAAAAACTCCAACAATGTGCAACCTCAACACAGAAATTTTTTCACCAACGACTTTTGAATTTATCAGCCATCACTGCTCAAAACTGCAGAGATACTGCTTTTTAGGTCAGTGCTAACAGCAAATTTATCCTTCCAAGGAAGCATACTCCACACTTCTTTTACCTGGTTTAAGCTTACTGTAGTGCCGTGCTTCAGCATAGCTGGGGTGCAGGTGGTTAACCTGAGCGTGGGGATGTATTTTTGCTTGTCCTTCAGAATAATTCACAAAGATAAAGCCATCTTTCTCATCCAAGCTAAGCTGGTCTGACCAACGTCTGGAGTCATCCGAGCCACTGTCTGCCGACCATGCTGCTGCCACTCTGTTTGAGGCTGACCTCGGTCTGTGGCTGGTGCTGCCTGGCTGACTTTGGCTCTCCTGCAGTTTCACATCCTGACCAATGCATGGATCATCTGCGTCAGAGTCACTGCTGTCTTCTTCATGGGCTTCCTGTCCTGAATTCATGCAACAGAAAACATCGTTAGCGGGATTGCTTATAGGCTATCTTCCTTTCTTGCTGCTACACTGCCTACAACCCAACAGGTGCCACCATGGCATGACTAAAGGAAAATTACATATGGGAATCTCAGAGCCTTTGCAAAGGATCCAGCTCCCACCACAGCAAACAGCAGCAGAAATCATCACATTTTTCATCTCTTTGACAATGGAGGTAGTTCCTACAATAGTTGTTCTGAGGTAGGCTGGGAAAGACACAGTGAGTACAGCTTTCAAAAGTGTTCAATTTAAAGAAAAATTGAAAAAATTAAAAATTCCTCCTGTCACTCAGGAAAACAGTAAACAGTAGTGATGAGACTCAGAACAACTAAAACACATGAGGCAGATGTCATCAACAGGCTTAACATGATGCGAAAACACAGCAGTTCAATACATTTATATTCTGTTACAGAAAAGCTGAGCTGTGCAATTAAAAGCATCCTATGAGTATCATAGGATCCACATCCAAGTCTAGATCATATCTTCAACACGAAGGTGAAAAAAGGAAGATGAGATGAGCACGGACCATATTCTTCAGAACAGAGAAAACACTATGGCATGGCCAGCTCTGCTTGTGTAAAATTCCACTGATGGAACATCAGGTTGTTAACTCTGCTCTTAGGCTATGATTTTATTTCAAAATAGAGAAATACATAGCTTTAGGACAATGGTAGTATCCATTAGGTTCACTGATAGCAGAAGCAACCACAGGAAGGACTTTACTCCTCTCAGAACAAAAGGAAGGATAGCTACAATTTTCCTTGCTCACAGTAGTATGATATGACAGTATGAAGTGGTGAATGAGAACTGAGACACTTCATTATGTCCAATGGATGCCTATTCTCCACTGAGAGAAAACACTTCTGTCATTTTCTGCCCTGCACAACCACAGGACTTTATCTGTGTGAAAGGGAAATAGGATAAAAGACAAATAGTAAACTGGGGGGTAGGAGACGTACCTATCTGTGCTTCTTGGCAATCCTCTTGCATTTCCAGCACCTCTGCAGGCTCTGGAGCCGGTGTTTCTGGTACTTGCAAAAACTCCATCCGCCAGAACTGGAGGGACAGGGGACAAGCAAACTGGCATATATGGAACTCTTTGCTAGAGTTAAGAGGCATTATTAGAACTGTACAATCACACCAGCAGTACAACAGGCATGTCGCTTTTTTTTTTCCCCCCAAGGGGCATAGGAGGTCAACTACATAAATGCCTGAATGACAGCTGAACAAGCCTTGTGCTGTTATTTAACGCTTAAGCTATTCAAATAAAAAACCCACTCCATACTGCAATCTGACCACCAGACTCTGGTTAAGACAGATGCAGGCATGCACATGCCAAAATAATGAAAGCCAGGATGGACTGGCAGTGAACAGAGATGCTCTTTTTATTTTTCCTTCTTTTTCCTCTTTTCTTTCCAAGCAGCAAAATGAATTACCTAAAAGTGTGCAGAATAAAAGCAGAAAACAAAAGCTACAAACTCCAGGCATAGAAGCCAGTGAGCAACAAGTGGCTGAAATATAATATATATAACGAAGCACCCCAGAACAGCAGGATCACTTTCAGTACCAGCCAGGATGCTGTGTTGGTAGAATTTACTTCTCTATTACAAAGGCGTAAACTTATTTTTCTAAGCAGTGGTTCCAAGTACGTACCCGTACAACTCCATCTGAATGTCCTGTCACAATGACATTTTGGGTATCCCATTCATTCATCTCTGACACGAAACAACACATGATTTGCTGGCTTCGACCAGTGAAAGTGTTCACACTTGCAGTGGGGCTGCCATTAATACTCCATACATGAATGTAAGTGCCAGCACATGATACAATATCCCCCTGAAAATACAAGTAACAACTCCATATGTGAAAACAAATCTCAGATTCTGTTTCAGCAAAAACATAAGCCAGGTTTATTTGCACAGGTCAGTGTTATCCCAAGCACAGATATAGGTTGGGTGGAGAACGCCTTGAGAACAGCCCTGAAAAGTAGGACATGGGAGCATCAATCGATGAAAGATTCAATATGAGCTGGCTATGTGCACTTGCAGACCAGAAGGCCAACTGTAACCTGGATTGCATGAAGAGAAGCGTAACCAGCAGGTCAAGGGAGGTGATTCTGCCCCTCTACTCTGCTCTTGTGAGACCTCACCTGGACTACTGCATCCAATTCTGGGGCCCCCAAGAATAGACAAGAAGGATGTGGAGCTGTTGAAGCAGGTCCAGAGGAGGGCCACAAAGATGATCAAAGGGGTGAAGCACCTGCCATGTGAGGACAGGCTGAGAAAGCTGAGGCTCTTCAGCCTAGAGAACAGAAGGCTCTGGCGGGACCTTATAGCAGCCGCCTCCTACCTGACGGGAGCCTACAGGAAAGCTGGGGAGTGACTTTTTATAAGGGCAGGTACCAAGAGGATGAAGGGAAATGGTTTTAAACTGGAAGACGGTAAATTTAGACTAGATACTAGGAAGAAATTCTGTACTGTGAGGGCGGTGAGACACTGGAATTGGTTGCCCACCGAGGCTGTGGATGCCCCTCCCTGGAAGCATTCAAGGCCAGGCTGGATGGGGCTCTGAGCAGCCTGGTCTAAAGGAAGGTGTTCCTGCCTACAGCAGGAGGGTTAGAACTAGATGATCTTAAAGGTCCCTTCCAACCCAAACTATTCTATGATTGCAACAGCAACTTTGAAGTAATTCCTGTTCAGGTTGTTTGAGACCCTAAATAAAACTGTACGATAATACACTTCTACTTTTTTTTTTTTTTTTCCCCAAGAGTGTACACAGAAAAACAGACTTAGTAACAACCTGTCTTCAGAATTTATAGCATTTAATAGGTAGATCAATTCCTTTATTTTTCACCAATCCTACAGCATATTTTAAGTACCTTCCCTTCCCTGTTTTATGGCGCAGCTCAAACCTCCAATCTTTTTCACTGACACATGCTACATTAAAGTTCATATGATTCCTTCCTAATTGAGAAAATGGCAAGAAATAGTCCTTTCATCTAGTGCAGAGGCGAAGTAGTAGCTGTGGTCTAAAACACCAGCAACACTACAACAACTGGATGAGCAGCTAACAAACCATGCCTCTTACTACCCTCTTCTTCTCATTACAATTTATCCCCTAACCAGGTAATAAGTTTTAATGTGAATTACGCAAGCTTCCCCAAACCAGTGTAAGAGCCTAATTTGTTTTTCTTCAGTTTAACAATTCCAGTTTCTTGCTAACACTCCCACTGCACATGCATGTTTGCTTCTTACCGTTAATTCATTTATACAGAGTGCTGAAACTGGAGCCCTGTGACCTCGAAGCTGTGTAAGAAATGAGAGCTTATTCAAATCCCAGATGATGCAGGTGCGATCCCGTGAGCCACTCACGATGATGTGATAAGCTAGTGATGCTGTCAAGCACGTGACAGTGTCAGTATGACCCAGTAATGCCTGCAAAACAGAAGACAGAAGGAACATGCCACAACCAAGAGAGAACACAAAAGTTGTTGTATTAAACCTAAAGAGATTCAGTCAATGTGAACTCAAACACTTTATCAAAAGGCCCAGCTGGACTGAAAGTATTTAGTTGGCGACTGCTTCCATAACTGAAATTGATAGGAATCATTTTCCGAAAACAAAAATTCTTTGTAAATAAGAACTGGCTCCTATTTAAAAACCTGTTGGTGTTTGAGAAAAGACAAAGAAAAATTACAACCAAAAAGACAAAGTTCACAGCAAGGAGGAGAAAATTACAAACATCTGCTTTGAGAAGACCCCTTTTCTACATTTTAGGCCTGAAGTAACAATTGGATAGAAGTCTGGAATACAGCTGGATTTCTACTGTTTACGAAGTTAGAAAGTCATCAGATAAGCTACAGCAACTGGCCTTGCACTTACTCTGTCCTCACTGACAAAAGCAGAGCAACTTAAATATGTCACCCTGAAATTCAGGATACAGTGTCTTATCTTGCAGTAGCTGTTAGCAAAACACTCCTGAAATACAGCTTCAGACAGTCAATGTTGGAGACCAGTGGTGAAAAGTTAATTAATAACCCTCCCTGTCATCTTCAGATGGGGTATTTTATAGAGATCACTACAGTAACACAGCTTATTCCACAGAAAACACATCTGCATACTTTTGTGTGTTTTTTTTTTAAATAAAAAAATATTAAAATTTATTCTAAATAAAACATTGCTATTTTATTTCCCATCTTTACAACAAGCTCCACATGATCAACAATCCTCAAAATGATGAAATTTTTATGATACATTTTACCTATTTTCAGTGTAGATCTCTACTGGGACTACTCAGATTTCCAAGTCTACTCAACTCAGAGTTGCAAAGCTTACAAACTTCCTTTGATCTTGGAATATTATTTCCCTAATCGACATCTCTGTTGTATTTTACCTGTTTCAATGTGAGGGCTTTAGCTTTTTCTTTGGAGATGCCCATTTCCCACACACACACCGCTGTGCTTGTTCCCCCAGTGATAACCAGCTTGGGATTGGGACAAATGGCACACAGTATCTGACCCCACTCTGACAAACATTCATAAACAATTACTGCCTGGAAATAAAGAAAACAGAGAAGGATTACTTGCAGGATTAGAATTAGGTGTGAAAAATATAAAAGCTCAAGTATCATCCTGCAAACTGAACCATTAAGTTTTTTTTTTTTAACTATTAACCAAGATTTTGCTGCTGTCCTGTTTATTTACATGTTTTTCTCAAACGTAAATAATTCCAGGCTATGCATAAGATGCCTCCTGAGGGAACACAAGAAGTGACATTACATGATTTAATTGATTTGGGTTTTTTTTCTTTGCAGTCTTGTTAAAAGTTATTATAAATCGGCTTATGTTATTCTGCTCATGTTCTGATGAAGAAAATTGGACTGGGAGGAAGAAAATACACAGCACAAAAAATGTTATCAATTCATATGCAAACTAAGTTTTCAACTTTCGATTCCTTTCACTATTAAATAGTGATTTCTTTTGGTAGATTCAGCACTGAAATGAATTTCAGAAGACAAACCTTGTCCGACTCGTAGGTACCCAGTCTACAGCTGAGATCTGCATAGCCCCAGGCAAAAGTTTTATTCCATGTAGGAGGGATGAGAACCTTATTCTGTTCAACAGCCAGAATACCCTTATCAGTACACACAATCTGTCCCACAGGCTCCTTGAGCTCTAAAAAAGAAGATAGAGTTATCTTTTACTGAAGAAAAAAGACTGATGCTGTCCAATCCTATTAAATACCAGATGTTCCACAAAAAACAAATATCTGCATCGCTTAAACAATTGCTCAGGTCCCACCTACAATGCTGCAGAAGATATCTTTTAAGCCAAATAAGGCACAGATGTAATCCCTTTGATGCTTCTGGGCATTAAAAGTGATTGTGCCATTTTCAACACTATTAAAAGTAATTTTTTGGTATCGATTCCAATGTCTTGGCCAAACATTTCCACAGGTTGTATTCCTAACCAGTGATCTATTTGCTGTTTTTAATCAAGTTCTGCAAATACTGATAAACACTTTTTTGTCTCTTATCCTTGAGTATAGCCCTGCTACGTTTTGTGGAATGGTACATCCTTTTCTCTCCAATTCATTTAATCATTTAAGAAAGAAAATACCAAATAGCATTTACCTACTTTGCTGACAGTTAACTTTTATTCACTTCAGTGTCAGAGATAAACAATGTCAGAACCTACCCCTTTGGCCTCAGTGCAGCTACCAGTATCCCTTCCTGCCAACATTCTCAGCATTTTTTTGCATTGAAAAATTGGAAATAATGCTCCAAATACTGTGGCTTTACCTTTCACTGGTGTGAGAGATGGCCGCAGGTTGTCCAAATGATGGAAAAAAATCTTGTCACTTGTGGAACCTGGGGGCACAGAGGTTCCTGCAGCCTCCCCATTCAGTCGGCTTCTAACACGCTTTGGAGGGTGTGGCTTTTTGAAGAGCTGAAAGTCATCAAGAAATTACAGGTTTACAAGAGCACAAGCTAAAGATCAGCAGTGTTTCATTCACATTCTAAAAATTCTAGAGATCAGCAGTCAGAAAGCACTACTTAACTGTTCTCTGCATTCAGGATTCACTGTTAGGCATCCACTAATAAATTACAGCAAACATTTTGGTAAGACTTCAACAAATAACACAGAATCCAACTGTGATATGTAAGCAAACCATTTTTTGCAGCCTCCACACAAAGGTTTATCAGATGGTAAATTATTATAAACATTTTGATGGCAAGTGTTATGTACTTACAGTAACTAACTTATGAGTATAAATCTTTACCATATTTTGTAAAATTTCACCTTCTTTGACAACAAAGTTGTAAAAACAGTAAAAGAAGAGCTGCAATTTCAAGGCTGAAAGTTATTATTATTATTATTTTAACCTATAGCATATTCAAGGTACAGGGAACATACACGAACCTGACGTAGTTGGGCTGTGAGGATGCACAAATGTTTTTACTGCTCACATCAAGGCAATGGGTATGCAGGGCAACAGCAGGACTGTTTGCCTCAGCCCTCCCTGAATCACCCCACACCACCACATGGCTGGTCTAATGATGTGAGAGAGGGCACTTTTTTTTTTTTTTTTAAGAGTTATTATAGAAATTAATTTATCACAGGAAAATGGCACTTGCACTGTTGCACTCTGTCACATCAAGTGTTACATTTTTAGCAGCAACATACTTATTTTTTCAATATTTATTTTTTTCTAAGTTGAACAATAATGTCATAATTCTTTTAACCTTCACTTTATGAGTGCAAAACAGAAAAAAAGACATTTCCCTTCTTGTGAGCAAAGCCCAAATTCCTTCTTTGTTGCAGAAACAGATCATTGCACATCACTGGAAGAATACGAACAAACATTCTCAAGAAGTTTAACTCCTCAAACACTTTTCTCTTCTGTTTCAAAACATTTCAGCCCATGTGCAATCTGGCAAATAGAAATTCTGCAGATGGTGTACCTGTTTTGGTATCTGTCCAAAGTTGTTAATAAATCCTATAGTAGCTGTCTCTTTTAAGGGATCATTGATGTTATATATATCCACTTGCCCCTCATAGAAGAGATGGTGAAAGACATTTACAGCTTCTACTGCAGCAGGACCTTGTTGTTTATAGCCAAAGATCAAGTCAATCCACTCATGCAGATGTGCACTCACAAAGTCACATTCCAGAGCCTGAAATCCAAAGGACACGCACTGAAATTCGCCACGTCAGTCACCAGTTGAGTCTACTACATGTGCCATAAAGAAAAAAGCAGAATACACTGATATATTCTCAGTATGTTTCGATAAAGCTTTTTCATTTAAACAACACCTGCCTCAACTTACTCTCTAGCCAAAAAGGAAGAGAAGGAAACGCCAAGTCTGCAGCTATTTGTAACAAATAGCCATCACTCAGAACTCATGGACCAGATAGCAGCTGTGACTGCATGAATCAAGTCATGTTTAATTTGCAGCATAAAAGGCACAATTGAAGTTTTCTACTGCCATTAAAACTCAGATTACCTCCCGGTGAACTCTGATAAATTCACGAGGGTCTCCTTTTGCCCACGGAGGGAGTATTACATCTCCAAGCTTAGTGCCATTTTGTTTGCAACCTATAAAACAAATTAAAAAATTTGGAGATACACACTGAAACCACACAGCAACAGCAACGGTTTTTAAAGTCAACAACAACAAAAATGTCTTTCTTTTATAAGGCAACATCTTTCAGACTTTTCATTTAAATACTGCCTTATCTTTAAAGGTCAGGCAATAAAACCTAAACATTTCCTAAGTAGTTGTTCATATATGGTATCTTCCAAGAGTAGAAAAATAGGAATCACTCAAACATTCCTTACTAGGGTTTTTGAAGATGACAATACGGTTTCAGAGTTCTGTTAATACAGCTTGCACTGAAACAGTGATACCCAACTTATACCCAAAGCAGCTGTGGAGCTGGCAGCTAAAGCCATCATTGCACCAAGGCACATTTCTCATCTTTTCTTGACCTCTGTGTTATTCACGATGTAAAAATGAGTAAAATGCAACAGCGTGAATTTTAGAGAGGAAAAATTTGCTACTTAGCATGTATGTAGCAGCAGACATGTCAGCTGGGTGTATTTTGAAGGACAATAAATCCTGGTACTTGATGGCTTATCAGCAAATCGCACTGACAAGCCTTGGTGAAACAGATTTATGTCTAAGGATTTGTTTTCTTTGAAATAGAAACAGTTTGTGTCAAACAACTGAAATGTTGTTTTACACACGAGAATAACTACACGACAGTACAAGCTAAATATTCATGTAGTGACACTGATGAACTAACAGCTGTGTGCCAAAAGCTTCACATCCAAGGACAGTGGTGAATGCCCAGGGCACAGTCTGGCCACATACAGTCATCTGGGTACCAGAGAGCTCAGTTCTCACTCTGAATATGTAATGCTGGCATGTCTGGACTACTAAAAACCTATTTGTTAAGACTTCTCAGTTATATTCCTGTGTTGCCATCTGTTGCTGAGAGACAATCCACACTTCTTACTAGCTCAGAGGAACACCAGCAAGCTTCCAAGTTTACACAAGTGTACAAGCAGTACAGGCAGTGTCCTACATTTCTTGCATAATCTCATTAGGGTTTGAATGTTTTCCTCTCTATTTGGGAGCAAAGAAATAGAATGGGAGCAGGTTAAGTATGAAATAACACAAACTCAAGTATCACACCTTACTAGTTCAGAACAAAAACCAATTCCTACTGTTGTTCTCAATATTGGTTGAAAAATTTCTTTTGCCTGATGATCACAATCTAAATTTATCAGATGTTGAACTAAACAAACAAGACCAATACTGTTATGGTCAGGGCCATACCCTCTTATGTGAAATACATTTAGAAGATGTTCTGCAGCTCTTTTTTCCCCCATTCGTTATTGCTTTCATAAGGTTGCACTTCCAATCTCTAACAATACATTCTGAACAACAGATCTGAAGCTGCTTAAATGTACCACTCAATCTTTCTTATGGCTATTAGACTCACAGCACAGAACTGAGAAAAGCTTAATGCCTCAGTTATGTGTGACATATATTCCAAAGAATAGTCAACTTCTATGGCAAAAATATGTGGAATTAGACTCTTAAATAATTATTGTCATAAAAAGTAAGAGCCACATTTCAACAAAACTTTTAGAAACAGTTAAAGAGGAGGTCCTAAAAGTGAAAACTGTCAAACAGATTTTGCAAAGTCTGAAAACACTAAGGAAGATGATATATAATATAATGAAGTAACATACTGCATATCGAAAAATGGAAACCAGAGAACTGCAGGTAAAATGCGATGATCTGAGTGTTTCAAAGTGGTTTAATTAAAAACAAATAAAATTTAAAAAAAATCACCAAATCAACCAGCAAACAAAATCACCCCATCTTAAGCTGAAAACTTTTTGAGTAGTTAAATGTCTTTTTAGCAGTTGTCAGAACAAACTACTCATTAATTTTTAAAATGAACACTTCTGTTTGAGAAAATGAAGTAGATAAAATTGAAAGAAAAGGCATCACAAAAGTAAATGGTAACTCCTGCAATATTCTTACTGATGAATCAGTGAGCTCTGTATCACTCAAACTTTTAAAAATATACAAACATGGAGCCATCTATCCTTTCCTCATGCAGTCAAGTGAATCACATTCTTCCCACTTGATGAGCTTTTCTCATGTCAGACTGCCTGCAACACACTCACAGTGGCAGCAATGCTACCAGCTGCTTTGCTTACCGAGATCAAAATTGTTGGAATTGAGCAAGAACTCAGGGAGGTAGAAAAATTCTGGAATGAGCTCTTTCACGTCTGCCATGTTGTGCTTTGATGCTGAGTACCAGGCCTCTCGCACACTGTGAAACATTCGATCTGCCAGGTCAAAGTGACCGCCCTGCAGGACAAAGGGAGAACCATCAGATCAGCCCACCAGAATACCTTGGCTGAAAGGAGGAGAACCAGAACACACGTACACAGAGTATCAAGATAGAGATATCTTCAGAATGTTAAGAAACACACTCAATCCTACTTCAAATTTCAGTGTGGGAAACATCGTCCCAAAGAAAATACATTTTTCTTTGCTTGATGACTTCCATGTAGGATCACTGTTATGATCCCAGCTCCCTCTCAATCTGCCAAAAAATCCGGGCTCTGCAAATTTTAACACTCAGTTTATTTTAACACTCAGTAACAAACTCCTGGGATAGAAGTACTGGTTTTAAAAAAAAGAACCTTTTAATTTTGTGTGAAGATGTTAAGGAACTGGTATACAACTCTTTCAACAGCACTCTAATAAAGCTTGATTAAAAATGTAACTGTTTTCACAGCAAAATCATCTTTGGTTTTTGCCTTGTGTTATTTTGTTCATACATTTATTCAAAACATTCTAACTTTATGAAGAAATGTGAATTTCATTGCATCTTCTACTAAGTAACCTTAACAATTTTTGGACCAATCCAACCTGTAATCACTCAACTGATTTTTTTTTCCTAACATGTTTTATGGAAAAAAAAAAAAAAAAAGGAGATCTCATTTTCTCACATAGATCTCAAATGCACAGCAGGAAAGTGATATAGAAAGTGAGGTCTTATACTTTTTACCTGTAGTCGTAAGAAAATCTGCGTAAAAGGCTCCATCCGGACAAGATAGGAAGCCACTATCATGGCAGATGAATAATGGGTCCCATAATGATAAGCTGGAGTTTCACCTGCAGAACATTAAACATCATGCACATAGAAGAAATAAAGCAGTTAGATGAAGCAATTACTGGTGACAGTACTAACCTGCTCTGCCTTATATTTAGCCTGTGATCGTGGACACGTTTAAAATTGGCACTTGTAACTTTCATTCTCAAGTCATCAAAAACTGTATGATTTCTCGTGGCTATTTCAGTTAGAGCTGCAGTGCAGTACCTGTAATTCAATGGGCTTCTGCCCAGCAGGACCACATGGTCAGTCTTTTTTTTTTTTTTTTTTTTAATTTAAAATGCGTGAAGCATTCCAATACAGCTATGGTGATTTCTGCTGATGGAACATTTGTTTATTTTCATTCTTCTTGATAACTCTGGAAATAAGGCTTGGGAAGAAACAATTCTCAGAAATTCTGGCTACAGATTTCGTACAACCAAAATAACATCTAAAATGAAGAATACATAACTTGATTGTGATTCACTTTGAAGCATTACAAACTTAAGAATTTCTAGTGCCTCTATTTCTTTTGGATAGTAGCAAGAAAGTAGTACTTCCTGAGCAGGAAATCATACATCAAACTCAGAAATGAAAAAGCTGAACTGCTGCTACTGCAGAGGTATTCACATTTCTCTGTACAACTTACAGCCTTCCAGCAGCGCTCAACCTGTACTAGTTAAAGAGACAACTGGATGTGTGTTTCTTCTGTACTTGCCCATTTCTAGCCTTTAGACATCACTGAACTGTTTTGAAAAACAACTGTTTTGTCTTTATTTCTATATATAAACACATGCTGGTCAGATTTAAAAATCAGCAGTGTAACAATAATCCTTTGCTTCTAATTTAATATTTGTTCATAGCCCACGGTAGGGCTCTGCATATCCACATCCAGAAGTCTTGAGACACGTAATAAAAATTCACATCATCTTCCTGAACTGTGGCAGGCTCGTGCCTGTGTCCTCTTCCTGCAGCATATACCACTTCTTACCATTGGGATCTTCCCAGTCTTTGTATCGTTTCTTGTACTGGGCCAACCTGTCTTCTGTTTGAGCTCCCATGGGCTTTGCCAAGTTTCTGAATGTCTTGGGATTTGTAAGATCCAACTCCTTTAAAAATAAAACAAACATCAATTCAATTTTAAAAACACGCGCTTTCCCTGTGGACACAACATCCTTCAAGATATACTTCAGAAAGCTAATGCAAAAACTTACTGCTGCACTCTTGCACGCTGCTACACAAAGGAGATGCAACTGCCTTAGTACAAAGTGAACGTGGGCCTTCACCTGTCCATTAGCACCCATAAAATCAGGATGGGCAAGGGCCTTCCTGCATGAGATTGCCAAGCACCTCCACTATCCTAACCACTGACCACGTGGGCTGGACATTACAAAACAGATGAAAATACAAAAAAGGCAATAAAGATACACCTTGGTTTTACGGAGGTAGTGCAAGCCAAACGTAATACAACTCAAACACGCAAAAAAATTACTATTACGCTGATTGTATGTTTTATTTACCTCTCAATCAAATTACTATTAGACTGATAGAACATTTTATTTACCTCTGAATCATAGTCTGCGAGGACCCAGGGAAAGACAGGGTACTGCATGAGATCATTGTAGGATCGGCCCGCCAGGGTGTTTAAGTGCATCAGGTACTGGAAATTACTGATTTCTCCTCTCTGAAGGAAGACATAACAGAGCTGTAAAGACTCCACTTCAATCAACTGGGTTGTCAAACTTCTCAGGTGCTTGCATTAGCTCTCTCCAAACACAGGAAACTTACTTCAGTATAACAATGTCCAAACTCTATACTTTTAAAAATAGAATCATTTAGTATTTCATGATGAAATATACCCAAAATTAAATATAATTTGAGCATGAAATATAACCAGTTACAGTACTGAGATACTTTTGCTAAAGCAGTACTTGTTCATAGGATGCAACTCAGGTGTACTGAGTATATACCACTACAAAATATCCAATTAAAAAAAAAATAATAAAAAATGATCACACTTACTTCCCATCTTTGAGTAACAGATTTCTCTCCCACTAAAGTGCTAAGCAAGCCAGACCTGGTTAGAAGAAGAAAGTACATTTTCTGACTTATTAATAGAATTTGAGTTGCATCTTCATAAGGTAATTCAAAATGCTGAGACTAAAACTTACAAATTTTACAATCAGGCAAAATAGATTTCATTCCTTTTTGCTTTAGCAGTGCACATTTTATTTTTCAGCACAGACTGTTAAAATAATGCACATTATGCATGCAATTCAGTGCACATTCAAACTGCTGAGGCTGCTACTGAGGAAAATATCTAACAACCCAGAGAAGCCAAATAGTTTTGGAACTTCAGTTCTTTCAAAATGTACCAATAACTTTAATCTTGAAAATATGTATTTGTAGGAATACATACCAAAAGCATCAATGATGCAAGAACATTTAGAGAAGTTAGAGCATAAAATTAGTATTTATTTGGCATTACCCAGTTATAAGCAGAGATTTATACAGGAACTTCCCAGTACATCTGGACCTTAAGGTAAACATTTGAAACCAAGGAGATAAAGAGCTTATGAGGAATGGCAAAGCTTACCCTTGTTCTACGCTGGTGTTTGGCCTCTGTCCAGACACTGACTCCGAACTGTCAGTTAGAGATGGCACCACAGCCAAAAACCTGCAACCACAGTTAGAAGATTACCATTAGTGTGTCTGACATAAGCATCTCTTCTTAGAAATGAACACATCTGGTACAATTACTTTGTTCTGAGCAGCTGTGTAACATCTTTAACAAAACCAGAACATCCCCTCTCTCCCCACATCCACACTCGCTGTCACAGCTCTCATACAGACCACATGCAGCAAGTTCAGCATACAGGCAATAGCGCTTCCTAGTGGCTCTATGGTGCCATACTGTATTTGCTACAGAGTTATGAACTGTCTCACACCAATCACTTGCAATCTTGTTAGCAAATCATTGCAGGCTCAAATATGACTCAAGACAGATACTTGCAAATAATCACATTAAATATCCTAACTTAAGTTACTTTACAATACCTCTGATAAACTTTATTTCTGACCCCTTTTTGGAACGCCAGAAGATAGTTTCGTCCGTCTCCTGAGAAAACTTCAATTGCAATTGGCTAAAAACAAACAAGACAAACAGGTCACCACTAACACATCTGTTTGTCACCTTCAAAGGTCAGAAATAAACCAGTTTGGCTATGCTGAGCTACACGTGACACAAAATGTATTGCAACGCACACTTTGCCTAGTGTGACCGGTTGGTCTCTTTTCAGAACACTAAAATCCACTAATTCACCCATTTAACTAAGTCACAGTAGACCAAAAAGTTCAAGATCAGATATTTAGACTTGTATTTCATCACGATGAATAGCTTTCACTTGCCAAATAATGACCTCCACCCAAGTTACCTGCAAAAGGTATCTCCTTTTATGTACTTCCTTAATATCTTCATATGCAAAAATGCTGCACGTTCTTTTGAGTTGACTTGGACCTTGCCTTGCCCCCCTTGGTATGATTGGCTCATGCATCCTGTAAAAGAGCATAAACAGGAAAGTGATTAAAAGAGATGCATTGTAAGAATCATTCTTTTCATTCATACGAGAATGCAAGCACAGAAAGAACTTGTTTCACAATAAACCACATCACGCTTAGTATTTTGTGAACACAAGAGGTTGTGAACTCCCGAGATTGTCAGCAATTTCAACATTATTTTGTAGTTGACCCCTGAAAAAATTTCATTAAATATCTGCTGTTTGCCTATTAAAGACTGATTAAACTCATTCACTCACTTTGGAGGCAATGTCTCAATGTCGCGTATTTCTCTGGTGGCTGTCATGGTGAATCCATCAATTACATAAAAGTGCTCTTTGCCAAAGAGGAGCAGCCCTTCACTAGTGTCAAGGCCCTGTACCCGAGCACAGCGGTACATGTGCTGAATCTGAAATGAAAAACAGGCACTTAGCAAAAGTAGGTCAATGAGCTGAGACTCAGACCATTGCTCTGTTAGAACCAGTCCCAGACACTGCTTTGTTATGCATAGATGCAGTAAAAATTTTGCTATTTTTCCTACTCATTTGAGAAAAACATAACCTTGGCAATCAGCAATTGAGAAAGTAGTTTAAAGGAAGTTTCCTCTGTATGATATAGATTGCTAAGTTTACTAACTTACTCATACACGTATGGCTTCTTGGACATATTCTACAAACTGTAACCAACTTGACTGATCACACATTTACTGACATAATTCAGACAAGATGGAACAATGAAATAACCAGAGCAGCCTTTCAATGCTGTTCTTAGGGATAAAATATTCACTGTCCAGAATTTTCATTCTAATGATGAGAACAACTGATCAGTTTGTAGAGTATTTACATTTTCAACACGCACTTCCTCTTTCGGTTCATTATGCCAACCACGTAAGGGGAGAACAGCTGTAGGACAAGTCTTATGAGGAGCGGCTGAGGGAACAGGGACTGTTTCATCTGGAGAAGAGGAAGCTCAGTCAAAACATTATAGCTCTCTACTACTACTTGAGAAGAGGCTGTGGTGAAGTGGGAGTTGGTCTCTCCTCCCATATAACTAGCAATAGGACTAGAGAGAATGGCCTCAAGTTGCAACAAGGGAGATTCAGGTTGGATGTTAGGAAAAATTTACCTCTGAAAGGGTAGTCAGGTGCTGGAATGAGCCGCCCAGGGAGGGGTTCGAGAAATGTTTGGATGTTGTACTGAAGGACATGGTTAAGTGGGGAGGTGTCAGTGGACAGTTGGACTGGATGATGTTGGAGATCTTTTCAAACTTTGATTCTACAATTCTTTGATTCAGTTCTAGGACAGGTTTGGTTTTCCTTAGTAGGTAGGAAGTTAAAAAAAAGTTTCCAGTACAGTGTTTGAATTGAAGCACACATTTCTTATCAAAGATATTACAAGAAGCACCTGATGGAATATTAAGCAGATGCAGCTGTAGATCAGGAAAAGCATTTAAAGATGTTTATTTTCTGCTCTCTACATGCAATGCAGAAATTCCAAAATAGTAAATGCTGTTTGTTTGCAGTACACAATACCTTCTCTCCTTCTTCAAGAAGTCGAAGCAAAGTTGTATTGTCAGTCTTCTCTTCTTCATCAATCGAACTGCCCTCGACAATTTGATCTTGTGACTGTTCCTGGTTCTCATCATCTCCTCCATCAGGAGCAGAGCGAGACCGTTTCAGGGGAGGCTTCACTAGGCCTAGAAAAGAAGAATGAAGATAAAATCTTAAACAATGAGAATTAAATGATCACTGTGAAAAACCTCTTCAAGTTTAAAATTGCTGATCCAATGCTAAGGCAGAAAACAGAGCCCAACATGTTTATCTCAGTGCAAATGTAATGGAATATATAAAGGCAGACAAATTTAAAAAACTGGAGCAGGACAGAAAAAGTGATCTAACCTTTGACTCTCGCAATTGTGTCCTCCCCATGTTCTGGCTCCTGCTGAGTGGTTTCACCCACTGTGTTTTCCTCTATGGTGTCCTGGAAGATGGCAGGGTTTCCAGATGCCAGGCGCATGTAGTACTCCTTACTGTCGTAACTTATAGCCCTTCGGTAGCGAGCAGGTTTCTTAGAAATAATTGAACACAATCACTTGGTCAGTCAAGTCTTCTCACACATTTCAGGGACGTGGTGTGCAGCATGGAGCATGCCTACAATGTGCTCTGTGCATGTGCAGTGGTACACCAAAACATACGAGAACAGGGACTCCACCCTGGATCCAATCTGATTTAAGAGGAGCTATTCAGCCACTGAATTAACAGTGGGTTTGTGGAAAAGCCTGCTGCTAAATCTGCAGCACAGGAAGTACTGAGTATGGCTATTAGGTAACAAACAACAGATGTCACAAAAGACAGGTGGGATACTTTTGCTGAAGCCTGATGGATCAAATGGATATTTTCTACCCTCTCAGCGCTCCCTGCAGCACATGCAGCTCATTCATTAGACAGCTGCTGCAAAACTAGACAGTGGTCTGAATAAACTCAACAAAAGATTAAAATAAGTGAAGCTGATACTGACTGAAAGAGACGGGAACCTGAATGTAAGGCTCAAAAATTAACTACTTCCGTTTTTTCTTTCATTAATACATATTTTGAAGGTCCTCATGAAACTGGCATAAAAAGATCCATTTAGAATTCATCAAGAATCATCAGTAACCACAATGGATTATATTGTATTTCAATATGGTGGTGGCATGGCATTGGTCTTTTGTTTAGCATGTTAACTCTTAGGTTCTTCATTTAATTACAGAGGTAATACTAGAAATCAAAGTAGCATCTAAATGAGGACACTGTCAGAAACATCACTGCAGAAACAAGCAGGGATAAGAGCTATTACAGAGCCAAGAACTTCTCTCAAATTAAAACAAACTGTTGCACTTGGATGGAAGAAAACCCACTGATTTAATATTTCAGTTGAAAGTTTTCTTCTACAAGAACTGTTTAACCCAACACCTCTAGAATGCTCAGTCCGTGAACACTTTCAGCTCTTCATAGAAAAAAGTTAACTTTGTAGCATAATTTCCCATTATTTCTGAAATTATATTGGGATAATTACAAAATACTACCATATGTACAGTCCAGTGCTTTAAATTATGTGCTATGGCAGAGTATCAATTGCCATTTCAATTATGTTTTTAACTTGTTCACCTCTGTAGTAGTATCTGGAAATACATAAAATGTGATTTTCTTTTGTTGTTGTTGTTTATCTGGACAATTATGCAGTGGGAAACTAAAGGACCCTTAAAAATAAATTAGCTCCATTACAAGTACATGCTTGCAATGACTAAGTGATTAAGATTGGCAAAATGGAGATTCATTACTTCAGGTCAAATTGGCTGCCTCAAAACTCAAAGATGTAAGGTATTGTGATTTATTTTGCAGACTTATGCTCAACTAAGCCTTTGCTCCTTTAACACTTCAGTGGTAACAACTGATGTGTATGCTAGAATGAAAAATCCAAACAAGCCCTATTAACATAAGGAAAGGGAAACAGCAACAATTTATATTGCATATTCTACATAAGAATAGCTTTCATTTATTAGTGTTAGTTTATTGTTGAATGTATTTTAAAAGGAGTGAGTACATATTACTTAGTGATGGGCAAGGCCGTGAATGTCACTTAACAGACAAGTAGTGTAACATGGAAACGCCCACAGGGCAGCCAGTTTTAAACAATTCTGTTATTTTTAAGCTCAAATTCATATTTTGAAACAAAGTGTAAACATCATTAATAAAAAATAAGACTTGAAGGAAAGAAAATTGACTGCGGTGCTAACAAAAATAGATCTTTCAGCCCACGATCAAAAAGGGGAAAGAAAAACTTGCTCAGCAGACCCTCTTCCTGTTGCCCATTACTAAACATTTTCTATAGACCATTAGTTCAGACCCCAACCCACAACTCTGTACACAGTGAGAACAGTGACAGCACAGCCCAACACAGCCCTGTTAGTGTGCAGCAAAGAAGGGAAAAGCTACAGAAAGCTGTATTTAGGTGAAGGCTGAGGAGAGCACAGTGAAGTCCTCTAATGTGAATACTGAAAACAACAACTTTAGGCCTGGAAATACATACTGAAAGAGCAAGTTGAAAGCCAAATGTAGAAGCCTTGTTAAAATTGCCCAACATGCAGGAGAAACAAAGAAGTTGTATTTATTTGACATTCTTTCAGTCAGTGTATTTGTTTCTTTACCTTTTGAGGAACGGTATCATCAGCTGTCTCAGGAAGTCTACTTGAGAGGTCAGACTGAAAACAGGGCATTAAGTATATGCATCAGAAAAAGAACACTTGAGAAGAAGGCATGATGTTCTCCATTGTGTGTGAACTTAACCATCACTAGAGCTAGCCTGAGTCAGATGGGAAGCAGACAAAAACATCTAATAGTGTAATGCTGGCTATACAGTGTTTTTTGTTCACACATCTTAAGTATGTTAACACTCACTCTTGGTTAGAGAAAAAAATATCCTGCATGCTCCATTCCTTAAAAGCAAGCAGGAACTAATTGCCAAGCTTTCAAAGGTTATGTGCATTTTTGCCTAAGTGGTCCATGTTCATGGTCACAGATTTTCAGTGAAAGCACACCCGAACCAATGCCCATAGGCCTGCTTGGTTTTTGCATTTTTCTTTGGATATGTTTAAGTGTTCTTCAGCACTAGGCCAAGAATTGAAACAGAAATCTCCCATCCATAAGTATGGCATTTTATGGCTTCTTGTTGGTAGTGAAGATGCCTCTGCTGCTCACCAACACGAGCACACCACACCATATTTTGGAACAGGCAGAGGTCTCAATTTCACTCCATTTTGAGGTGTGAGAAGTCTAGTCCATTCCCTAAACATACTGTGAAGAACAACCAGATCTTACCAATCATTTAGGACTTACAGATATGCTGATAAACGAATAGAGTAAAATATGCATCTTAAGAGCCACTTAAAAAAAAAAACAACTTTATTTTACAACAGGGCATAAAATTTCTCTCAACAAATCTTGAATTACTTACCAGCAAGTTTGTTTCCTGCTCAGCTTCAGGCATGTAGGGATACTGAGTGTAAAACATGTCATTTCGCACCATCTTCTTCCTCATTCGGCAGGGCCCCTCAGTCATCTCCAACATCCACTTGTCCAGATGGGAACCAATGGGAGGACCCCACAAACCTCGCTCTCGTAGTAACTCATATTCAATCTGAGACCACTCTTCTGTCACATATTTTAATGCATTCTGCTGACGCTGGATACAAACATGTTTATATAAAGCATTAAAAGCTATGTCTTTAAGCCCGTATCCAATATGAGCAGATGTTTTCCTTATACTACAAAAAGTCTTGTAACTGAAATTTCTAAGAGCATTAAAGAAATACTCATTAGAGTAATACACTCTAATGAGATTTTCAGTCTCAGCTACCGTAGAATCAAGCTTCATACTGTAATCCTCTAAACAGAAGAGGAAAAAAGAGGATAAACAAACTGCTTTTGATTTTAATCTGTAACTGAATGTATTTGTAAATGGCAAATACGAGCATATGCAATATTAATACATTGATTTTGAAAAGGGATTTTAGGAATTTTGGATGGTTTTCCTACAACACTTAAATAGAAGAGAGAAATTAAATAAAGCAAAGCTTATCTGGTGGAATTTTGCTTTCAGTAACTTATTCCTGCAGAATAAGCTACACTGAACCAAAGGACTTTGGGGACGCTTGGAACAAAACCCAGGGTACAATGATTTGCTTCTAGGAGGCACAGAACAGCTATGTTTTTATGCTACAGTAAAAGTTATCTTTGTGTACAAAGTTTCTCTATGCCTTCTTTTTCCAAGAATCTTAAGTAGTATTTGAAAAAAGAAATGGGATAGAAACACGATGGCTTTCTAAAACAGTGTACAAAACCTTTAAGATTTAACTTAGATAGCACTGCTGCAACAAAATCAAAATTAATTTTCCTCATTTATTTGACTGCATTAAGAAAGCATCCTTAAAATATCTGTATCTATACACTGAAGCATGTCACCACCAAGCTTCTAATACTTCATAAGCCATATACTGAGAAACAGGCGCTGTACAACCTCACGTGTCAAAAATACCAGTTTCAGGTACTTCTCTGAACCATACCTCCTGATATTCTTTATACTGCATATCAACGAGGTCTCGAACCACTGCGATGTGAGTAAACATCCATTGGGAAATTTCCTAATAGTAAGATGAGGAGATGGACAGATTCAGACTTCATAGAAGCAAGTTATGGAAAAGCTATAAATAAATAACCATTAGTTGCTCAAAAACTATCTGCTTAAAAAATGATTTGGACTAATTTTAAACTACTGCACGCAACTGTATTTTCAAGGCTGTTTTATGGTTTTGCTTTATCTGGGTGTTTTCATGGTTTTCTTTGTTTTTACAGCAACGAACTCATGTATAGGGATACCGTTTAAGAGAAGAGGGCAAACATTTGCTAAGAAATGAAAGTACGTGACTGATGGTACAGAACATTCCTAAATAGCTAAAAAAGGCAATAGCTGAGAAATATTACTACTATTCTCCATTTTCTAGTAATATTTTGTAGATGCTGACCAAATTTGATGGAAACCCTAACAACATCTGTCATATTGTATGGAAAAACACCTGCTTTCACACTTTGCCCCATGTAATGGCATGTCTGGTAACAGATGTTCTCTGCTGAGCTTGGGGATTTCTTCATTTTTTCACTTTAATGTGTGCCTGTTTACCAGGAAAAGGACTGTGAACATTAAGCATTCTTTATTAAATCAAAGCCAGTGTATAACTCCCAGATGAGCAAGTGAACTGGTGAGCTTCTTTTCCATTTACACAGGGCACAACTCCTGATGAAGTCTATAGGTTACACATTTTCTTAAGGCAGAAACACATCTGCCTCCCATGATTTGATGTCTCCTCACTATTTCATGTGGTTATTACAATAAGAACTCAATCCTCCAAAACTTTTAGTAACCCTCTTTCCTTTGTTTTCTGTCCCAAATACTTTATACGAACTCTTTACAATGTTCCATCAGGTTGTGTCCTACTGAGAGTACAGTTTTCTCCACTAGTCTTCATTTTTTAGACAAGCAACTACCTTGACATCTATTATAAAATGCTGTGATGAACCGAATTTAAGACTCAGTTAACTAGAGCAGTTGAGCAGAGAGCTTAAACTCTCAACTTACTGTTCCAGGTAGGCAGATACACCTGCTGGATTAGGCCACACAGAAGCAAGAAAGAACAGTCTCAGTATTCAGGAATGGGAAAACCAAGCACAAGCTGTCACCTTACACCCTAAGAGACACTTCATACTGCAACATTTACCACATACTCCAAACATATAATGCTGGATTTGAGACTGCATTTTATGAAGCAAAATTACCTGTGTAGAGAGATTGTGTTTGTTGAGTCCACTCTCCTTCCGGTTTCTCCTAGAACCTGTTAGTTTAGAGAGGCCAAACCCACTGCTGACTCGTGAAAGCTTGGACTGTGTGCTTGGAACCAAAGCCTCCCCTCTACTGATGCACTTCTTTTCGTGGGCTGAAAAACAAGGATGTTGTGTTGGTTTTTTTTTGTTGTTGCCACTGGTATTTCACTAAATAGAGAAACAATCTCCATTGCTCTCAAAAACTTTGTGTGCTTGTCTGAGTATTGTGTTGTTTTGTTATTTTTAAAGGCAGAAGTTGATTTGTTGTTGCTATTGTTGTTGTTGTAGCATTGCTGCTGTTTTTTAAAAGAAAGATTACCAAGAGAAATCTTGGTATTTTTTGCACTTAAAAGGATTAACAGATTAACTTGATTAACAGATCTGTGACTCCTTTCATCAATTATCAAAATCAAGGTCTATGAGCTGTAAGTTGTTACTTACCCTCCCTCCAAACACCAACTCGTTTCAGTTTTGCTGAACTACATTCGTTAAAAACAAAATGGACATTCCAAGGAAGGGAGACAGTATCTGTAGAAATCCCATTCCAAGGAAGGTCCAACAGGTCATCATAAGCAGTGTTCATGGTAAGGCAAATAAGTGAACCAGCCCACCACCACTGCAATCCATAAGGCACTCTTTGGTATATGCTTGCACAGAAACACAAGAAATCACTAGGATCTGCAAAACTATTGAATGTCCCATGTATGGACCTTGTGTAAGTTTTTCCTAGACCCAGTGCTGTTTCTGAATCATAGATATTGATCTTTAATAATAATAAGTATTTACCAATGCAAAAAAGGAAGTCCTATATCGAATCATCCAGTGCATGTGGTTCACCTTGGGGAAAGCTACCACTCAGAACAGATCTTCAGCTGCACTTACCCAAATGATTTTGCCAACACTTTAAACTTGCTTCCTCAATTAAAGGTCTTGCAACAGTTATATCCACTTGGCCACGGTCATTGACAGGCAGCGTCACTTTAAAAACTTCTTCTAAAACCTGTTTTTTACTGTGAATCAGCTCCGTCCACACTCTGTTTATGGCTTTTAAAAGAAGCTGGCGACCTGCAGCAGTGCAAGACCACAAACAGCAAGTTCTCTACAGTGCTTCCTGAACTGGTACTTTTACAGCAGATTGAATAAACTAAGCAATTTCACTCAAGGTTCTTCCCTTCTGTCTTGATTTCTGAAATGTCTTTAACTACACTTTTTTGTCATTCATATACTGTTAGATAGTATCTACAGATCGATTTTGACATTTTTCCTCTGTGAATCTGAAACATCAGCTCCAATTATTTGTGATTTCTATCCCACATTCATGCATAGACTAACAAAACAGGATTAAAGAGAAGTTTACAGATTACACATTTATACGCACAAATTCATACATATACAAATTACTTTTTTTTCTGTCTGTATTAATACACACATGCATAAATATTAATATATAAAAAGATCAAAACCACAATCCTTTTTCTCCACAGACAGTTCATAAATTCCCCATGAAAGAATGATCCTAATGATATTTTACACCTTATACCAGTTACGTCTTAACTATGCTCTTGTAACATTCAGCTGATAGAGAAGCACGGGGCATACTTAAAATGAGCCATTTACACTGCATTCAATTCAGTGCATACAAAGTGGTATCTCTAATTCTAGTGCACATCCAGCAAAAAATGAGGACCACTTGCTATTTTTACCAAACAGTTCTCATCCCGATTATGTCTGTCTTGGTGTTCAAAGTGTTTTCAAGGTTTTTTCTTTGTTGTTCTTACACATACACACACACACACTCCTGTCCAAAGAATAATGGGAGTAAAAGACTACTGATGACAATAAAGAAGCAGCATTAGCAGACATCCATGGCCTGATCACTTGAGATTACCTTCACTGACATCTTGATTGTAGACTCCATCTGGTTCTATATCTGAAGGGATCATAATGTGCCAAGTTGTCATCCTGGCTTCTGCTTCCAATCCAAACCCATCAACATTGCTACAAATACACAATGAATTAACAACCAGAAACAAATACAAACTAAAACCTTTGATTCCCAATGATTGAAGCACAAAGATGTGTGCTGCTATAGGAACACACTGAGTCCACCTGAGTTCTAAGGATATACAGTCACAAGGAAAACTGAATGTTTTTGAAAGAGGATATGATATGAACAGTGATGTTACTAAAGGAAGCAGTAATTACTGAAGAAACACAGTGTGGCCAAGGCCATCAATGGAGAACGTTTGAGTTTATGCTGATGATACTTCTCAAATGACTTCGGACAAAACTGAAGTCCCACAACTTTTTGGAAAGAAAAATAGAAATGCTAGTCAGGCATTTGGAGTAAAGACGACAATGGCTGTTATCAGCTTAGGTCATATCTATCTAATTTTATTCCTGACTAGACTTATTCAAACATCCAAATTAGTAAAACAAAAAATACATACTAAATGACTCTACAGACAGCAAATCTAGTGACAGATCCCTCTGACAAATACTTAGCACCAGCATTTCTTTCTACCTTGAAAACACATAATAGTGTCAAAGCATAATAACAAAACAGTTAGATATCTATTATTTTAAAATACCTCTGTAAGAAAAAGTAAGACTGTTCCTTAAATCTGAGCTCTTCAAATATCATTTCATTTAAATGAATCACTTGATTTTCCTTGCATTTCACTGGCTTTAAGGTTACAAATTGTCATCAACATTTTGCTTACTTGTTCACAAGGCAAATAAATTTCTGAGATGCTTACCTTCCCACATGCAGATTAATCAAGCAGTGAGCTAGACAGCTGATGAACTCTTGATCATGATTTCCAGGTCCCAAAATTAAATTTCTGTTCACAGTGAGGACCCTCAGAGAATCAAGGAGAGCCACTTGCTGAGGAACAGTTTTGTGTGCTCTTGAGAACTGATATAAGATAGTTCTGTTCAGGCAGTGATAAATAGCATCCAGCGATAGTCCCTGAGATCTTCTTTTTGACTGATGGTAAGGTAAGAAATAAAACAAAAAATACATCATCAGATGGCAGCATGTAAATCAATTTACAGGCAGATAATCTTCCCATGTGTTGATTCATGCTGCTGCTCCAATACCAGTAGCATCAATTCCAGTGATCTCAAGAGCCAAAATGATGTCAGTACATGATAATACATTTAAGATTTCAACACCTACGAATATCAAACTACTGTTATTTTCTCTGATTTCCAAAAGCAGAAGTAACCAACAGTTTCCAAGAAAAGAACAGGAGGAGACTTTCAAAATATTTTCCAAGGTGAATTTAGGAAGCTTTCTGAGGATTTCAAAAACACAATTTCATCTGAAAGTAGTTTTAACTCAATCGCTCCATAATAAAGTACTGCACACTAACAAGATGTGCCAGAAAAGCTCAGTGAAAAATGAAAGAAGAAAACACACTTCTGTGCTGACTGGAGACAGTCCAGTAGCATGTAAACAATTAAAAACTTCTTTGAGTCTTATCTACCCATTCTGCACAATTACCCTGCAACAGGCCTCATCCAAATAGTATGCAGGCTGCTCAGAATTGTCACTCTGTGGATTTTAATTTCAATTGTGAAAATGGCTTTTCAAGTGAACTAATAAGAGAACACTGTTACCTGTGCAATTAGCTGGATTATGAATTCCACAAGAAGTTTGGATTCTTTGTTGAACATGCCCTGCCAAAGTTTATCTACCACACGCTGTGTAAAATAAAACACATTGTTCACCAGGACTTGGTAGCTTCCTCCACTTGTTATGGGCAGAGATGCATCTTCACCTAGGCAACAGCACAATAAAGCTTTCTTTATTAAAAAAGAATAAATCTGAATACATACATTGACATTAGCTTGTGTTTGTGCTTTCTGGACTTCTGTAAAAGAGAAGCAAAGACTCGGTCAAACAAAAGCTAAAAGTTAGTGGTTTACCTACACTGAACACGCAAGTGATTGTTTGAAATCGGCAGTGATACGGCCAAAACGAGAGGAGCAGGGCACACACTAAACTCCCACAGCAATCCTAGAAAATCCAGCATTACACTTCCCTATCCTACCACAGAATTGACATGGAATTACAACCCAGCATGCTTACTGGTACAGACCAGATGGTGTCAAAAAAAAATCAAAAAAAAACAAAACAAAAACAAACAAAAACAAACCCAACAGGGTAAAATACAAAAATCACTATGGATACTGCTAGTGGTCCATTCTTACAGGTGGAAGAGGTATGTTAACACTCCACTCCCTAAGTTTCCTTTCTGTATTAATGTCTGACAGCAGACCAAAACATCATCCAAGACTTTATTCAGGATTGCCTGTTGTTGCAGTTCAGTTGATTCTACCACCAGCAACAGATGCTGCATAAAGACATGATATGGAATACCAATAAAACCAGAACAACCATACTTCATATGTGGGTACACTCAACCTCCAATTTGAGAATCATCTGTTGGATCACTGCTTTCAAAAAACGATGCCATAAAACTCTACTCCAGTGCATTCCAATTCCACAGAACAAATGGTGCAATGACCCTGAGCTACCTAATATATTCCAGCAAATAAATTAATCTCACATACCACATTGGCACAAAAAAAATACATAAGTGAAACTATACTTGAACAACTAAGAAGATGTGAACTCTTCTGTCAAGTTGTTTACTCTATTTAAACATCAAGACCACCACACTGACTAAGAAAAAATCTTTGAGAGAATACTGGTTTCAAAAACAAATGCTTATGTAGGTTCACTGTCTGGGACAGAAATAGAAATTCCTTGTAAAAAATTGCTACAGCCTACGGTGATTCAGTGATCTCAGCAGGACACACGTCCACAATCTCCTGACACAGTTTCTCATAAATAACTTAATTCAAAGACAAACGAATATACCCAAAGGGATACATATATTCCAGAGTCTAGAAGAAATGATACTCCTGTGATTCTGAGGCATCACAGTAATGCATGGTGCTCCCTTTCATTTGAGCTGCATGTGTGCAGAACTACCTATAGCTTTTATAAAATTATTTGCCTTTTTAGAAATAAAAGTAACTTAAAAAAAAACATGAGATAATAAGTGATACCAGCTGGCATCACTGCTCCCTCACTGCACTTTGCTAAAGAAAGCTAGGAGTTGATGGGAATCAGTTGCATACGCCTGCCCAGCTACAGTGAAAACCACAGTACAAATGCTCCCAAAAAACCACCAGCAAGTGCCAATTTTGCTGGAAATTCCCTTACATTTATTAATTTGTTGCCCCATCTGCAACACAGCAACTGATTGCATCTCACGTGGAAGAAGTTGGCCATAACTCTGAAGAAAGAACATCGAGGGAAATCAAAGCTCCTGGTCTACATAAAGTGCTTAGAAGGGCAGAGGACTCTGAATAACCTGACTTAGAGCATCATGTAAATGATTCTGGAATTCTATGATATACTGCACTCAGATAAAGAAAAACTTGCTGTAGCAAAAGAAAGGAAGAGGCTTTACAAGTTTATCTTATCAGAAAAGTGTGCTGCCCCGTGACATCTAGGATTAAGGCAGAGCAGATCAGTAGCTACTGGCAAGTCCCTGAAATCCAGCTGCACGCCTGACCAGTGACATTCCTACCCGTGTCATTATCTATACACATGCTCTTCTAGGACAGTCCATCCTATAGACATACATGTTACAAGCTTTGCAAACTCTTCCTTTGCATTTCTTTTGGAGATGATTCAATCCCCAGCGGGATTTCTGGGGGTGCTGCTACAATAGGAGGAAAAGAAAAAAAGATAGCTTTTAAAAATCCCACCCATAATAAATTAACATAAGTTCCAGAATATCTGCCAAGGCAAGAAGGACAAGATAGATGATGCTGCGACAGCAAGGCCTAGTTTTATTTCATTCTGACAGGACTAAAATTTGGCTTACAAACCCAAAAGATTCATCCTCCATAGCTTCTTTGTATAACTTCAGTTTTACAGCTTTGGCACAATCAAGACCAAGAGGGAATGTAAAAGTTCAGCAATACCATTTACACATCAAAGGAAAGAAAAGGGCAGAACAAGAATATCAAACTCAGGATTTTCTATGATTCTAACAGGGAGATGATTGCATTTGATTTGTAACAGATGAGAGCATTAATAACGAAAAATAGTTTTTAAAAAATCATGAACTTTCCCTTAAGTGACACAGCTTGAGAATTAAACAGTTAGATTACCCAATAAAACATCGGCTGCAAGTAAGTGATCCATCACGCTATCCAAAACATAGGTCTGGAACTCCTTCTGCTGCGTTCGTGTCGATCTTTCAGGGGAAGCCTGATTCAAGAAATGCAATGAAAACATAATTAATATCTCTGAGAGAACCAAAACAGAGAAGGGGTGTTCTAGGTGAGTTTTTGCTTTCCCTTTCTCACAAGCTTTATCTAAAAACTTAGGAAGAGACATCAAATTCACAACAGCTGTATGCAATTTTATGGAGTGAGCAGTACTCCAATTCAAATCCATTAAATGCATGTTCTGCCAATATGTCAATGCATCTTCTATTACTTCCATAACAGGAAATGGAAAAGAACATACTCCTAAAACATGTACCAATTTGTAACTGAACACACAGTTCAGCTGTGATCTCCTCAGTTCACATAATGACTCCGTTCTGAAAACAAAGACATCTAAATTTACCATTACTTCTATGTGGGCTTTTGTATACCACAATATCAGCCTTGATATGGTCACATAATAGATGGATGCACCAAATCTTTATTTCCTTTGCACTTCATGGAGCTCTTGGAGCAGGCCCAGAGGAAGACCACTAAGATGATCAGAGGGCTGGAGCACCTTTCCTGTGAAGAAAGGTTGAGGGAACTGGGCTTGTTTAACTTGGAGAAGAGAAGGCTCTAGGGAAACTCATTGTGGCCTTCCAGTACTTGAAGGGAGCATAGAAACAGGAGGGGAAATGGCTGTTTACAAGGGTGGACAGTGATAGGACAAGGAGGAATGGTTTTAAACTGAGACAGGGGAGGTTTAGGTTAGATATCAGGAGGAAGTTTTTCACACAGAGGGCAGTGACACACTGGAACAGTTTGCCCAAGGAGGTTATGGATGTCCCATCCATGGATGCAATCGAGGCCAGGCTGGATGTGACTCTGGGCAATCTGGTCTAGTGACTGGTGACCCTGCACATAGTGGGGGGATTGAAACTAGATGATCATCGTGGTCCTTTTCAACCCAGGCCATTCTATGATTCTGTGACTCAAAGGAAAAAATACCATCACCTCATGGTGTTCCAGAACATATCGTCATATCTACTAAATGCTCCACTCAGAATTCCAGTGTTTTTTAGGGCTATTTATTTGAGCCTGCTTCATTTTGCACTCTAGAAGCTTAGCAGTGCGCGCATATCCTGCACTCTATGAGGGATTAGTAACAAACACTGACAAGTTTAAAGATTAAAACAGCAGCAAAGTAATGAGAACAGATTGACATGACCTCAAATACTCTTCCTGATATTTATGTAAAGCTGCACCAGTTGACAATTTATTTTTTGCTTTGTAAGAGATGTCCAGCTACCTCAGGAAATGTGTTAGGGGATCACGTAAGCACAATCCAAAATTCCAGCAACTGCTGAAGCAATCAGGGACACAGCAGCACAGGGATGAGGGTAACAAGTAGTTAGGGGCTGAGGGAGAATGTGAATCAATGCGAACTAAATGTTTCAAAATACACTGTGTGAAGATGGCATGGATATATCAGAGCAGTTAAACTCCTCATTGCCTGCCTAACAATTAACAGAAGGCTGCTTTGCACAGCTGTCACAAACCTGAATGGAGAATTCTGCAAGAAGATAACACAGTTACTCTGAATTTTTATAGCATATGGCACCAGATGTCCTGCCACTTTTTTTCCCTTTTTATCTAATATGAATAAAACATAGTACTTAATATTTCTTGAGGGATTTGTAAGGATTTTATATCTCGAGCAATAGCAATACAGTCATCACAGGCTAATAGATGTATAACAAATTAATCATACTCTGTAAGAATAGAATTAAAGAAAAGCTATGCAACTCATGCTGCACTGCTAAGTATCTACTGCTGCAAGCCAATTCCTGCATCACCAGATAAAAGGAGTTACTGGTTCAGATGCCAAAATGAGGTCTAAGGAGAGCACAAAATAGGAACAAAACCTTGACACAGTGTGCTCAGTTACATGTGCGGAAGCTAACAGAGCCATTTGACTGGCTAATTTAAAGCTAAGGAGCCCACAAACAAAACTGATAGTAGGGGAGAAGCAAGCATAGCAAGAAAAGATTCTATAAATAGCAAGAGGATTTTTTGATCAGGCATTTGAGGGTGTCTCTGACATATGTAAATGCTCTAATTCTTGCTTTCTTAGGTTTTCCAAATTGTTAAACAATTTTTGAGACAATTCTTTTCCTGCATCTCCTATTTAATGACAATTTCCAAGATTCTACTGAATGCCAGACAAAGGGAAAGAGAAACAGGGGTGGAAAAAAACTGTCACAGTAAGTCAAAATTCACTTTACCTCTAGAAGAAGATCCACCAGCGGAGTCTGTTTGCTGGCTGGTGTGAGACACAAATTGTCAATTATCAGCACACGCATGAAGTCGAACACAAACTTCTTGGCAGGATGATTCGTTAGGTATGTCTTGGTGCCAACATTGCAGTATTCTGACTGGCTCCTGTTCATCCCAGAATCAGCTGCAAAGGCTTTGAATTCTTCAGCTGGGGACCCGACCTCATCATCAAGATCAGTGACCTGTGAAAAGCAGCATGTCAAAGCTCCAGAGCTGAGCAAATTAACAGCAGTCATTCCACTCCTCTATCTTCCACTTACCATTTCAAGGCTATACACTTCAAATCTAGTTTCCCAACAACTCTTTTTTTTGTTTTCCAAAATTATTGTGTTCAGGATCAGGTCCAACAGGCAATGTATCCAAATTCTAGGTTCTCATTGCCATGGAAAAAAAGCCAGCAAAGGCTGGCATGAATTACCTGAGCTAGAGGCCACATTTAATATGAAAAATATCCATGAACAAGAATTCCTTGGGTAACTTCTAAATACTTTGCAAAAAAGTATATTCTCACTGCAAAAAAAAAGAAAAAAGAAAAAAAAGAAAAAGAAAAAGGCCCAAAGGCTTTGAAAAAGTTAGTAACTGAAGAATTAAAAGGTACTTTGCACTGAAAGTACTTAAAAATAACTCAGAGATGCAAGGCTCTTCTATACAGGCAAATGCCAAGTCAGCATTACCAGAACTCCTAGTATCTACTTCCGGTTAAAAGAAAAATAATCTGTATATCTTTATTAGATTCAGCAACATATACATGTAAATATTTTTGCCATACGCTAGTTATCACATTTGCCAACATGTAACCTAATTATCCTTTCACGTTCGTAGTGCAATTACCTTTAAATGCCAGCTAACAATAACTGTTTGTTTCCTTTCAAACTCTAGAAATAGCACAATTTATAAATAACAACTAGCTCAGAGAATACATAAGATCTAATAGAGAATACAGAAGATTAATAGCTTGTAATATTTCCTGCTTCAGGCAGCTATGCAATGAAAGCTGGATTCACACACTATCCTAGCTAGAGCTCAGCAGTTCCAGGTAAGACAAAAATACTGTTTTGTGGTTCAGCCACAGAAAAAGTGGGGGGAAGAAGCAGTTTAAGATTCTATCACATCCTCCAGAATGGAAAGGAGAAAGAGAAGCTGAGTCAGCCTTTTTCCTATTGTAAATCTGAGTTAATTTGATTCTTTTATGTGAGAGAACTAGCCCACTAGAAAACAAATAAGCAGTGTACGTTACCCCAGAAATGAAGCTTCAGTACCTGCCTTTTGGTTGAGCACACACCCCTCTCATTTTCAAAACGTAGATACAAATTTTCCAGTCCAGTCTTTAAAACCATCAATTTCTGCACAGCAAGCAGAGCTTTATCTTCATGAGATTTCTAATTGATAAAACCTCAAAAAGTGCATTTGTGGGAAAAAGAACAGAAAATCCAACTCACTGAATTTCCTACCATCTCAGAATAAGGTCGTATGTTGAAAGGAAATACGGTTGCTGCCAGCGCACACAGGAACTCTGGGCTCATCCACAAGGAAACAAGGTCTGGCACATTGTGATACAAATAGCGAAAGAATTGCATCAAGGTGACGGGATATTCTCGAAGCCAGGAGCCTTCCTCCTCAGACTGCCAGGGCTGGGTTGAAAAACAAACAGCACGTTAGTGCAGATGAAGCTATATGAGGAATACTCCCATCAGAGAAGAGCTGTGGGAGGAGGAATAGTGTGGCCAGAGATGGTGTGAAATGCATCAAAACTGGTCAAACACTTGTTCAAATAGAGCAGAACTGTTCACCAAACACAACAGTGTCAGAAAACAGATCTAGACCATGTCAGATGTGTTGGAGCATGTGTCAGAACAGACAACCAAACAGGGGTCCAGAGGACATGACTGAAGACACGGTGTCCAGACACATGAATCGATGTCTGATCAAATATGAGACAGAACACGTGTCTGAGAACCTCACTAAATTGTGAGGAATGAGGCACCACGTGTGACAAAACACTTGGCTGCTGAGCAGGGCACATGATGATGAACATCTGACCCCAACATGTGACCAAGGATATGAACACACAAGTCTGACACATCAACTCGTAACAGGAACTTCAGCAGGTCGCCAGGCCATGTTTTCTGGATATGTGTGCTGGTCACATCTGGACAAGCCAACACATGTGAAACATGTAGCCAACACTTCCCAGTGCATATTACAAACATGTCCCCTGCTTGGTCGTTACACCTGAAAAGGTACTGCTTTACATATGTTTCACAAGATCCTTTTCAGCAAATAAATGCTTTAGGACCTACTTGATACCAAAGTTTTCCACTAAGAAACCGACTTTCACTACTATTGACATTAGATTCAAAAATGAAAAGAACACATTTTTCTGGCAATAAGTTCATTTCCTCTAGTATGTGGCTATTAATAGTCAGGGGACTTCTCTGCATATGGAAGCTTCACACACAAAATCAGCAACTATCAGAGCTCTGAACAGATGGACTGGAGAGTCTCAAACATACTGCCATGATGTTAAGCAGGAAAAAAAAATCTGTTATCTCTGCCAAGGGCATTTTATCCTTCTGCTTCCTGGTTTTGCTTTATTTGCAGCAAAATGCAAAGCTTAGCCTTTTTGTGAAAAAGCAATGCTGATTTTACAGCCACCAATATTGCTACAGGTAACAAGAAACAAAATAAGACAGAATAACCCAATGACAACGATGGATTTTATGCAAGTATTATGAGCTTAAATGCTGGCTGGGTGTGTCATAACACTAAAACTTCACCTTTCCAATTTGGCTTTTCACCAGATGGTGGACTCAAGCAATTCTGTATGTTCAAATAAATGCAAAATACTTATGCTTACTGAATTCAGCATGCTCCTCAGCATTCCCAACAGCAAGAAGGCAGCTTCTGTGCAAACACTGTGTACTGAAGAGGTAACAGTGCCACAAGAGGCAGGAACTCCAAATATGAATGTCCAAATAGAATCTAAATCAAACTATAAGAGGTAAAAGAAGAGAAACACATAAAATAAACCCCTTCTGCAGTGCAATTTGATACCACTTTTTATTATATATATGACATTCACTTGACAGTATCTAAATAATATAAGACTACAGAATGTAAAAAGATAAATCCCCCAGAAATTCGTAGGGAGATCATGTGTCATGAGGCACTGAAGAAAATTCCTTCCAACCACAGAGCAACATAACTGCAGCTCCCTCCTTCTCCAAGCATTTACATCTTCTGAAACGAGACATGCCAGCACAAATGCTGCACAATCAACTCATTTTACTTCAGTATATCTAGCAACAAAACTAAGTGTCCCACAGAAACAAAACATGAGCAAAGCAAATATACCAAGCTGTATTTTCCAGTAATACATTTTAAAAAAACATTTAAAAATAAATAGAAAAATGACAAACTGCGCAAGCTCTAGCATTAAGAGCTCCACTGCCAGACATTTCAGATAGCTGCATTTCATTTCAGTATAACGTCACTGTATTTCAACACTGTAAGCAGAAGATGAGCTTCACAACTCTAAAACAGCATAGTGCTACATGTGCCATCAAGTATTTCTCTTGAGAAAACGTGGGCAGGATACCTTCTGATCCGTAATTTTTACCTCCAATTTCCCATTGAGAAGTGGATGTTGGCACTCTTGGTATCTGTTCTAAATGTATACCTTGTCAACAGCAGGCTTTTCTCCATATAAGACTACACTAAGGCTTCCTATTCATTTACATGCAATTAAAACAGGTTACAAATCATCCTGCTGAGAACGATAATACATTTTTCCCTTAAGAACTGTGATGTTTCCCTGAAAATACAATTATTTTTTTTTTAAATAACTGTCTTGTTTTGTTTGTAACCTTGTGACCTCTCCTTACCACAATCACTCCTAGTCTTCCAAAAAAGTCATACTCCATTCCACATCATCTTGACCCCAGAGCATCCAAGACAGAAAACAGCTGCAGCTCTGCCACAGCAAGCTGCCCTCCACACACTCCCATAGCATCTCATCCTCCCACTCCCAACACAGCATAAAACAGGATGCACTGTCTTTTGTGTCAGCTGCAGGGGATTGGGGGTGTTAATCCATTATTTTCTTTGACGACAGACAGAATAACACTTACATCTTACTAGGTAATCCCTACCTGTGAGCCCTGCTTACATCGGCCGCTGGCGATGGGCGCACTGACCTGCAGGTTTTCGGGCAGCTCAGTGACCGGCTGCTGCAGGAAAAGGGCCATGAGGAGGAAATAGAGCGCAGGTACATTTGTGTGCTTGGGGAGAAGGGACTGCAGGACAGGGAAGCCTGGGAAGTGACATGCATCACGGTTAATCTCTCGGACTGTCGATCTTCCACCAGCACTCCTGCCAACATTGAACCCTGAGAGAAAGGAAAACGCAAAAGCCAACAATGTTAACAGGGAAATGCCTGCGAAGCTCACCCATACTGAAGTGCTGAACTTAGGAGGGTACCTCCCCAAAAATTTCATGCTATAAAAACAAACTCTTAAATATATACATACACACTCAGATCCATATAGACATAAATGAAGAATCCAACTAATTAAACCCTTGCTACAGACCTGCACAAAGCCTATCAGCAAGATTAAACAAAAGTCAATCTCAGCAGGTTGCAGCAGAAATCTTGGAGTCAATGTTATATAATGCATTTAAAATAACAGAGTAATGAAAATTAAGGCAGTTGTATAGGTCACTGTCATTTGATTAGAAGCAATTTTTAAAATATCTCTTTGGCTACAATGTAGCTTGGCATCAGTTCAAATGATACATACCAAAATATGAAAAAAAACCAAAAAGGACAACTCCACATATGCTGTTCCAATATGACTATAAATACACATCTATTTTAGAAAGATTATGTGACTGAAGAAATTACTGAACATTTAAAAAAGACCATGAATTAGAAACAGTCCACAGCCTAAACTGTCAATGGGTTTCAAATTTTAAGGCACGTACATGCAAACATGAAGAAATTATTGCACAAAGTACAGATCTGAGTTAGCCAAACAACAGATGCTGCAGTATGTTCACAACAAATCTTTGCATATGTAATATGGTTTTTTAAAGACTGCCAAAGGTTTCCTAGTTCATTGCTGATGCAAAGACTGATCGTAATACCATGAGAGATACATTATGGGAAGCCACCGTAAAGAGACTGAATTCCCAGACAGATGATCTATGTGAAGAATGAGATTGCACAAGGCACTTTGACAGAATTCAAAGGGACAAAGCACAACAAGCTGGACATCGTATTTCACTAAAGTATACTAAAGTATACATTTCAGGAAAAGTCCTCCTTCAAAATTAAGAACAGTTCAAATTTTAACATCTATTTTCATATAATAAACCAGTTTGGAAATGTCTTTAGTGAAGAAACAGATTACCTACTGCTTTAACACAGAATAGTCGTTACTTGCACAGCCACCTTAGAAACAACAACTAAGCTGCGTTAACAGTAATTACAACTGCCCTGATCCAAAGCCAGCTCCAGCTCAAGGGAAGAGTGCCACTTAATTTTATTACATTTGAACAAGGGTCTAAACTGACAGCAATTTGAAAACTACTGTCTTTGTATTACTAAAAAAAAAAACAAAACAGACTCACTGAAGATATGGTATATCCTGATCAAGGTTACAAAAAAAAAAAATCCTTCAGATAACATAACAGAGGAAATAAAGTTAAAAACTTTCACAAACTTGTATAAAATACATTGCTTCTCTCCAAAGAGAGCCACTGTCACGGTGGAAACAGAAGAGGGGAGAAGTTATTCTTTGTGACAGCTTACCAAGCTTCTAAAATAATACTGACTTTAATATCAGGTACCATGTCTTGTTTTTCCTGAGAAACTCCATAGTAAATGCTTAAGATCCAGGAGATAAGGGATGAAAAGGAAAAGGAATACTGAAGTACTCCAAAAAACAAAAAAACAAAAAAAAACCAAACCAACCATGAAATACTGCTTTCTTGGTGGTCCTGTACTGCTATGGCAAGTGGGTGTTATGACAGGTTGCACTTTCTATTAAGATTTAAACTAGAATCTCCATAATTAAACTTCACAGCAAATAACTAAATGCCCTGAGCAAGCAGTGATGCATCCTATGCTTTTATTTTTCTCCCTTTTTAAATATTGTTGTCAAATGAAGATGATATAAAAAAGACACATTCTCATGGACATAAGCTCTGGGAGCCCTCCTGTCTCATGCTGCACCCCTTTAGAACAGTCTGTACAGAATCCTGTCAGTAGAGCTGGGGCAAACTACCAGCAACTAACTAATAAATTTCAGGGAATCAGAAGGGCAAAAGAACACCTACGCTGCCCGTTTACCAAAAACTAACATCCTTTATTTCAGACAGCTTAGAGATAGCTTAGAATATAGCATTAACACCTTATACCATTATCCATACCATATCCATTCTAGGTCCTGCAGGATAATGGTAAACTCTGGTAAGACTGGGTAAACAAGGCTTTAAGAACCCCCCAAAATAACCTTTAGTAGCAGCCAGGGGGCATACGTGTGCCCAAAGAAGGTATAACAGCAAGCTAAGCAGAGGAAAAGAAGGGCTGAAATGAAGCTGTACACACAGAAATTTCCCAGGTAGCACAAATCCAATTTGGTAACTCTAATTTGCATAGAACTCACTAAACAAAGCAGCACAGGTTTAACACTGCATGATGCTGTAACTAATGCAACTAATATTTTTTTCTGAATCTTCATTTGCTTGAGCATCTTGTGTGATGCCTTGGCGTTTAGCTCAGATGCACTTGCCCTCAGGACATAATTAACCATGCCTTGACAGTGATAAAAAACTGATTGTGGTTCAGGCTTCATGCAATACTGAACTATAACAACATCTGTGCAATGTCAACTGTGTAGAACTGCTCCCTTTTGCTTAGGAAATCTATTATATCTCAGAAAAATGAAGGGCAACAGCATCTGACCAGAGCAGAGACAACAGTAATAGGAAGGGTGCACCCATAAGAGAGTTTTCATACCATACCTAGCACAGTACCAATCTTATTGGTCAAGACAGAATCCGTCTGATCAAGCCAGCCTCCACCACTGAGACCTTCCTTGAATTTAATAAGGATGGACTGATTACTCAGCAGGACCACAAGAATTCGCATGGCAGCCGTGACCGTGGTGGAATGCAGATGTTCTTCCATAAACATCATAATCCAATCAAACCCCAGGGTCTTCACCAGTTCTTCACAAGCCCTAACAAAAGAGAAAAGGATCACACATTAAAGCATTTATCCTCCTACTACACAGTATAAGTCAGTGTCCTCCACTACAGAGCAAACTTCAAGACTGAAGAAAATTCAGATCTACCCAAGCATTTCCTGCATGCTAAAGTTAGCCTACCTCTGAACAAGGAATGTTACTCTGCAACTCTCACTAAAGAGAATCCAGAGAGCAACGTCAGTTTTCATTTAGGTAAAGGGCATGACTGAATATAGCTAACTCAGACAATTCTGACTGGGATAAGATTTCTTCAATTGCTGTTTCTGGAATGCTGACCTGAAAACATTTGTCAACAATTGTTCTTTCTCATTTCAACTTGCTGAGCTATACAGAGATATGAAGTTTTCCACAGGTATGCTTTTTAATAAACTATCTTGGTTTTAAAAAATATTTTATCTATTTGTTTTACTATGAAAATAGTTGCTTGGGAATATTTTAAGAAAATACTGACATGTAGGTTCCATCTGCTTATTACTATTATTATCATAGCACAACTGAGAACATAAAACTCAAGAATCATGAACTCTATTTCTTCCAGCCTATCCACAGTTTATTCAGCAACAGCTGTGTAAATCATTTAACAGTTCCTATAAAATTATACAATTTAAGCAATGAATGGAGTAGGGGTTTGTATAATTCTCTCCCTTCAAATTAGAAAATATTATCCTTGCTCTATCTTAAGTTCTTGGTACTTACTGCAAATTAACAGCTGTCTTTTCTTTGGAAGTATATAGAAGTTTCAGGAGGATATCTAAAAGCCTGTTCCGCAGTAGAATAAGATTAGCTGAAACAAGTCCTCCAAAATCATCCTCAGTTCCTAGACAGTAAGTACAAACCAAATTAAGCAAGATTAGACTTCTGGAACATGGACATTTTAAAGACTACTCATAACCTCCATACACAAGTAAACTCAATCTGTTCCTACTGAGATCAAGAGAAAGCTGTACTAAAGCACAGACAGCCTGCTACACTTGATCTGGTACACACTGCTGAGAAATGCTTGGTGCTTCCATTATTTTTTCACAAAGCATTTCTTGAGCTTTGAAGGATGGATAGAAGGATATTGCATCTTCTAAACTGTGGTGTTCTGCATTAGTTAAGCCAATTGGTACCTGACATGAAAAAATTAAAAAAAAAAAAAAAAAAAAACCAAAGAGAAAAGAAATTAGTAAAATCTCACAACAGTTAGATAAACATTATGCTTCCTGTGGGATAAAACAAAAAAGAACTATAGAAATTTTAAAAGGATAGTTTACAATTCCCTCGAAATGTAAGATACAGGAAGAGTGATTAATTTCCTTTTCTTTCAAGTCAGATCTCTGAACTCATCAGTTGAAAAACAAGTTTACTACAAGATGTACAAACAGCTCAAGATCAACTTTACTGCCATTTGTTGAATCCTTCTTATTGTACTTTATTATATTGAAGGAGGAACACTTTTCACAGTATTACAAAAAGAAATGCTTGAGGAGACACACGCAAAGAACAAGACATTCTGGAAACATTCTGTGTCCTAGTTTTGTGCATAAGCCACAGACAAGAAATCAGCATCTTCGAGGGCCACAATACAGCTTAAATATGAAATCTGATGCCTTCCATCTTACACTTCCCTCTTCACTCCTGTCCCAGAGCCATTCTACCCCATGTCTCTCCACTGCTCCAGGCAGGGAAAAAGCAACATAAGCTCTGGATAACCTGGGCCAGCACAGTGAAAACACAGATAGGGATCTCTCTCCTATACCCAAGTTATTGTTTTTTACTGATAAAAGCCAAAATGTCTTCATCTTTGAGACTGCAAAGAGAGAAAGTAAGGAGAGACATGAAACGCAGTGATAAATGTGCAGACTACCTAACATTGATCTGTAGGAAAAACAGACAAATAAAGCTCATAGGAAGTAGAAATCCATCCCTGCTACTTGTTCCTGACTACCACTATATTCCCAAGGGATACAGAAACTACAGCATCTTTGGGCATCCCATTCAGATATTGGTTCAAATCCACCATTTCTAAGGTCATTTCTCCCAGGGGACTCTGAGCAAAACAACAACAGTATAAGTATCTTTACTTTAAGAAACAGGGGTAGAAATATTCTCAAAACAATTAAATGTATGTATTATTGAAGACTAAATATATATGTGTGTATATATATTTTTTTTAACAGAAAAAGCTGGAAGGCAGATGTACATTGCACTTCCCTCTCCCATTCACATAATAAAGAGATACACAATTTAAGTAGCATGTTAGAGAAACAGAAGGACAAAGTGCAGTATTAAGTGAAGAAAAACAAAATTAGAGTGTGTGGTTTTTGCACTGCTTTGCATGCAATACTAAGAAGTGAAGTTTCACAGCTGTCAGCCACATTATAACAAAATGATACTGCTGTACATTTTAAGTATTTAAGTACAAAAGAGAAACTATTACTCTTCTACTGTTTCTAAGTCATGCAATAACCTACCACTGTCAGGTTTTTCTTCGTTATTTATTTCCATGACTACAAACTTCTCGCAGACTGCAAACGTAGGTAAAGTGGAAGAGATGAACTGTCCAAACCTTGATATACACAAAAAGAACATCGTGCATTGATATGACAGATGAATCCTCCCTTATCAATAATTTACATCCAACAAAATCAGAACACTAGTGAAAGGGCAATATACAAAAACTTTCTCATATTTAGAGGTTGATAAAACAGCCTAAATCTAAAGTTGCTAGCCAAAAACCAAAGCAATGTACATTACTAATTGGAATCTTGGCAGACAAGTTTGTAGTTATGGGACTCAGAAAACTTTAACATTCAGGAAGTGTAAAGATACCTCTAATTTCTGGTAAAAGGAATTTTGTAAGTTAAAGAAAAGAGAACACAACATTCACCAACAATTACAGCTGAGCTAGCAGTACATCAAAAAAACCATTCATATGGTATAACATTCATGCCTACAGCTTGAAGTGATACAACACAAGGTCACAGTTTTCAAGAACAAGATGATGATGAGCTGCTCTGAGAAAAGAGACAGAATATTCCTCTTTCCCCTGGAATTAACCTCAAAAGTTCCACAGCTATTTATTCTAAGCTATCCAATATGTTTATCTTTACTTCCAGGAAACAGAAAAGGTGATGTTGGAACACTCCAATTTGTACTGGAATTCCACAGGAATTTAAGAATTACACCTATGCTGTCTATTCTTGAACTGCTTTCTGATGTTTCTGATACCTTTGACTGTACTTTACATAAGAAGCTGAAAATAAAACCACTCATAAGAAAAAAACATCCAAGTCTGGTAATAGTTTATCAATTTCCATAATAATCAAATAGGAGATGAAAAAACCCAGTTAAGGAATTCAATTAATTTAAAAACATTTCACGTAATCTTGAATAGATGAGTTGCAACCATTAATGCAACTTTTACCAGTCTTAATTATGCAAAATAATACAATTATACATAATTACTATCATTATACCTAACAACCTTAAATATTTTTCTGTAGTGATGAATTAGAAAAAATCTTGACATTAACCTTTTGTGAGAGAGTCATCAAAGCTGGATTTTAACCAGAAGCATCCTCCTGCTCAACCTTGAGTAACAGTCAATTGAATTTAAAAGTGCTCAGCATTTCACATGAAAAATGAAGCAAGAATAAGGCCTCATTGTTACTTCACTGCAAAACTGAGCAAGTTCTATTGTTCAGTCACACCTCTTTAGATATAAACTGAATTTAATATTTAAATCAAGTTTAAAAAATGGTTATGCCTATGCCCTCAGTCACTTCTTGTAGGACAAAATTCAGTGCAGGAACTTTCTACGTTTGTTACTTCACAGTGGTTTAACTGTATTTTGATCAATATCAGCAACATAATGAAAACACCTAAACCAGACTCAACATGGGCGTGGGCTACCTGAGTAAGTCATAACTGCTGGGGAAGCCTTGAAGCAAGAAGCTCAGCACATTGCTAATTGCAGCGATAGTAGGCTGGGAGAGAGACATATCTCGAAGAGTCAAGAGCAGCCTTGGGATAAGTTGGAATTCTCTCATTAACTTCGCATTCTTTGCAGCTTCACTGAAAGAAGGAAGGAAAGGAGGTGTCAAATTAAAATTGGAGCAACCTCTTCATATTATCTAACCCTGCAAGCCTCATTAGTAGGCCAGCACCAGCTTATACCTGGACTCTGTGAGAAGTTCGATGAAGTGTTCAAATAATGACAGATGAAGTTCATAGGGTGCATGAAGCCAGACCTGAAATACAGAATAAACAATGGTTAAGGTTTGTATTCACATCCAGTTGAAGACTCTAAACTGACAAGCAAGCTTAATATACCAAAAGTTACAAAAGTCTTGAAGAGAAAAATTTTTACCTGGCCACTGTGCTCATAAGCCGACTGTAAGGTTCTCAATTATTTTTTCCTCAAATTCAGTTAAGTATTAAATATTCTAGTGCAGAACTAAAGTAACACACATTGGTACCAAAGACAGTCTCTGTAAACGTATCATGCGTGAAATTCAGAGTTACAGACAAAAATGTAAACGCTATCTGCAATTTTTTCCTTAGACAGATAGTAAACAGACCCAAAAGTTGTGTGTGATTTACAATGCTGATGTGAAATGCTGGATGGTACTGCTGTGTTTATTTGACTAAAGTGAAGATTGTCTGTTTGTGAAATTGATCTTCTTATCTTCTGTCTGCACAGAACTCATGGGCCTTCCCTTTTTTCTTTTTTTGCCTTCCTCTTTACCCTGTCTTTACCCAGCATTTTCTGCATAGTATTTTAAATGATTTCAATCTCCTAGCAAAAAAAAAATATACATGTATTCAAAAGAAAAAAATATATAAAACCAGAAAGTTCAATGTTACAGCTTCAGATCATAAAACTGATCTCCTATTGAATAAAAAAATGAATGTGTGCAAAACAAGCTGCAGTGAAAAATTATTTGCTTTTCCTTTTCTTCAAATCTTATCTGAAATGATCAGAACAGTCTTTCCCTTATTCTGCTTAGCACAAGAACAAGAACGCCAAATTGATCAGATTTTCATGAAATAATAAGAATCACTGATTTCTAAATACAGAAATAAAAAAATAGCAATAAAAAAATCACAAGTCAGGAAAAGTGACTTCTTGAGAGTTCTTGAAATTTTCTTCTGATTGAATCACAGACTTACTATGTGCTTTTTCTTTTTTAATTAATACTGTATGCTTACTCTTCCTCCTATTGTTCTTGGCCTTATGTGAAAAAACGTGACACTGAACTTTAAAGTATTAAATTGGATAATTCCAATAATAGTTTCTGAATGACTATAAAATTGATGGAATTTCTCATCTGGTTCCTTTTAACATAAAAAATAAGCCAAGAATATTCAGCAGAATTCACGGCTACACAAAGATCTTACTCTGTGTAAAAGGAGTTGGGCTGTGATTAACAGCCTTCTCTCTGCTAACCAGTTCATCCAGCTTAAGAGTCTACCACAAATAATATCTGAGGTAGATGCAATAGCCTCTATTAGGCTTATATTTAATTTTGTGAGCACAAAGGAATCATCACTGTAATTCAAATGGTTTGTTAAAAAATACAAAAAGAATTATTTTTTAAACAGCATAAACTTATTTCTAGTTTTAACATCCTTATCCAAAAAAAAAAAAAGAAGAAGAAATTTCACTTCTTGTTTTCATTCTGTAATTACAGTGTATTACTGATCTTGGCGAGAGTATTTTCTGCTTACATTAAAGTCCAGTTCTGTTAACGTGAAGGCAACAGGAGTATTTCCTAGACAGAACTCTTAAATAAAGATTCCAGGAGTGCATTTAAATGCTGAAATGCACATCTAAATCAGTAAAATTAGTAATTCGATGGTTTTTGTTTTATTTTTTTGAAGTAGGCGAGAATCACAACAGCTTCACTCAGATCACTGCATCAGATACAGATAATACAAAAGGAACAAATGGCAAAGAGTTCTATCAACGCCTAACATTGTCAATCAGCCTCTATCACAAATCATGTCTATTACATTTGCATTTCATTCTGAACTTGTCTAGTATCCTCACTTTAAAACAAGAAAACTTGAATATTTCATAGGTTGTGCAAGCAGAATTTTAACTCTTTTAACTACTTTATTATTATGTTTGTAGAAGACATATGATGAAGTGATTCCAATGTCCAGTGTTGAAAATTTACCTCCTACTGTTACTTTCATTGCATCTTTCATGCCTGAATATATTTACTGCAGTAAAATACAGATTAAAATAAAATTACTGTAGAACAGAAAACTACAAACATACAGGAGTTGGACTCAATTATCCTTCTGGGTCCATTCCAAGCTTGGGATATTCTGTGATTCTATGATTCTGTAATCTTCTAGTACAACAAAAAGCATGAACCAACCTTGGTGCCTGTGAATTGTTTCAAGAGCGAATCAAATACAAAAAGTTACCAATAATTTTGCACCTGAGCTATTTTACCATACAATATATAAAACAGTATGTTTGGAGGAGACTAACCTAATCTGCTGTTGTTCAGTACTAAAAGTGTGCTATGAGTTTGGCGAAGTACTCATTAACCAGTATCATCATTGCTTCTCACGTAGCTTTACATACCTCAAAGTCACAGAGCAGATCCTGGAAGGCAGTGGAATTTGGAATAATGGAGGTCTCATGCCCACTGTCAACAGTTCCCACCAAGGAAAAAGTCAGATGGAGTATGTGACTGTTCAGAAGGGATCGTTTCTTCTTTAACAGCATCGCCAGCAACTAAAATGAGGAAACAGATAAGGAACCCTATGACAATGCAGGCATGCCAACTAAGAATAACAAAGTGTGGGTAAAACGGCTGTCTGCCTTTTAAGAAGGTGCATAAAGTATTTCTAGTACTTGATAGTTTTGATGAACAAGCTTGAAAATGGCATTACTATTGATGAAAAACAGAAAGAAAAAAACCAAACAAGAGTACCTAGCATACCCTTCAGCTTATGAAACAGCTACCATTCTACATCGTAGAGAATAGCAAGTAGTAAGTCACAGTCTACAGGCTAAGAGGAATGAAATGTTTCAACATAACTATACTGATCTCTAGCATTAAAAGGTTTGTAAATATGCAGCCCAAACCACGGGTGCATTTTCAGTTTCAATAAAATAATCTTCATCAGAATCAGAAAATTCATTGGTCACATGAAGATATATATATATATATAAAGTCAAATGATTCTTTTGCATAAGTGATTCTGCCTACTCTACCTCAGTGGAGAATTAAAAAGTTTAAAGCTTGAAAATGACCAATATCACCAGTTATGAAGTCTATGCAATCATCTCAAAATAATAATTCTACGAGCCTGCTTTTTTGTTCAAGCTCTCTCTTGCTGGTAAACCACTGGTATAGAAGCTCCTATGTTTGTAGCAATGGGCTCATGTTAACAGCATTAAGTGCCATTTATGTTTGTAGCAACAGGCTCAGGTTAACAGGGTTAAGTGACGTAAGTTGTGCTCTTTCTTGCTGTATTAAGGAAGATGTTTCAGCAGAACAATTAAATTGGCAGATCTGATTAGAAGTTTTCCACCTTGCTCTTTAGAAGCTATCCAACTAACTAGTCTCTGTTAAACAGACAAGAGCTTGGTAAACCCAAGAGCACAAACTAAGGTCACTGCAACACAAGGGAATTGCTAGCAGAGACACTGAAAATCAACAAATCCAGTCTATTTTAAGGTATTTCTTACACACCTGGTAACCTCTGATTCTTTCCATTTCTTTGCTGGCTAGTGGATTGCTCTTTACCACACAGACTAAAGCCTTCACAGCTGCATACAGTCCCTCTACATCTGATGCCATGGCCACAAGTCCCAGAATAGCAGCAGCTCCACCAATGTACTGCAGAGTAGTGGCAACAGGCTTGGGAACAAATGTTCTTACTCCTGAGCAAAGGCAATGAAAATAAATTAATTAAAATCAAATCTTATAGGAAATCACTGGGAAATCATGTAAGTAATTTGCATTTTAGTACTGCTTGATTTATTAAAAGAATATCACCAGGAGCATTTTGACACCTCAGAAGAGGAGGTGATGGAAGTTCTGAACTGGAAAATAGTTTATGAACTAAAAAAACAGGTAAGTATTTCTATGTGAATGTACACATAGGAAGTGAAAAAAGCATTCCATACCACTAAAACAAAAAAGATGTCAATACAATATAAAAATGTAAAATAAATTTAATCATGCACCATAAACATCACATTAATCAATATGTGATTCATCTTCCAGCACTAAGTTCTTAACAACAATTCATTAATGATGTTTAAACTTCATAATTCTCAATTACTCAACTCACCCAAATATCCTATCAAAGCTGCACCAATGGAGCGTGCAGGTCCATTCAAGTGCCCCGCTGAGTTATGTAGCAGCTTCACAGGTGTGGCATTTTCATGAGAAGAAATTGCAAGCTTTAGAAAATAAGGAAAGAAAAAAAAGAAGAGGCACAGAAGGTTTTAACCTTTTCTACATGAGTCTGAACATAACCTGCGTATTTTTCTCCTGTGAGAGAGTAATACAAAACAAAATTAAACTACACCATAGTCATCAGGACATTCACTACTGTAGTCTCCAGAGTTCAGGGAGGATTAATCTAACTGAAAAACAAAATCCCAATATATGGTCCTCCGTATAAAGAATTTTCTCAAAGTAAAAAATGTAAACCAGTATTCAGATGTCCAAATGCAGTCAGATAACAATGCTATCAGATTTGTTCATCTGCAACAGCATAAGTATTTCTCAACTATATCATCTTAACTGTTTTTCTAAATGATTACAACTACTTTCTACATTAAAAAGCAAAAATACCTCCATAAAGAAGCCAACTACAAAGCTACTGGTAATTCCGAGAATAGGAATAAAATCTAGAGTCTCAAACCCCCCCCCCCTTTTTTTTTTTAAACCGTTGAAGTAATTACAGGTAACTCTTCTGATAAGGACATTATTGTTCCCAGTTCCTAAGAGCAAACTGTCTTGAAAAGTCATACAAATGAACTCATCTTCCAATATACCTGCTTGGCAATTGCTTTACTATCCAGTTTGTTGTAAACCTTCCTTATTTTTGCCACTGTAAAAGAAGAAACTGAGAGTGCATAGAGACCAAAGGAGACCTTCTCTTCTGGTACTAATGATACTGGACATGGGTTATTTCCTTCACACTTGGAATCTTTGCCTAAAAACACAATGAAAAAAGCATTGGTTTTCTCTTCAGTATTAACAGTAAAATATTGAAATCACACTAGAGGATATGTATTGGAAGAAAGCTTCTACAGTCACATTTGATTTTGATTTGATATTGCTTTTACATATTTTCCACAACACAGCCAAAACCAGATTGATGGCCTATTAGTCTACTGATGGCATAAAAATCCGCTATTTAAAAAAGAAGGATAAAATATAACAAACATTTTCTTTCAACATCTACTTAATGATAACAGGTAGCCTATGGCCTGGACCTGCAATAAAAGATGCAGTTCTTCTTAATCTCAATTTTTGGAAAGTAACATTACTCCTTTTCTCAGTTTGTACCCAGCCTAAGAGCTGTTCACTTTCTTTTCAATTTAAAGAAAAACGTGTTTGATTCATCTTTATGTGTGGCAACAGGCTTTATACAACATCTTGCTAAGATAACTACTTTAGAACATGGTACAAGAGATGCATGACTAATAAAGAAGCAAAAGGCTTAGGCATTGAAGAGAAGATCTATTCCAACCTTTCAATTTTTTCTTTTTTTTTTTAACCTTTGCTCCCATATTGGAGGCTTCTTGGAAGGCACTGCAAACACGAGTGACAGCTGTCTACAGTACTCAGAGGAATTGTGCAGAGCACCTGAAAGCTTTGCAGAAATTCTCTTGTACATCATCAATCCAAGTCAAAAGGTGCATCCAACACCAATGAAATATATTAATAGAATTGAAAAATCATGTATTTTATTTACCTAACACTGAAATAAGTGACAAGCTTGGCATCAACATAATTTTTCAATAAGAATCACATCTCAGTTGAGTCTCACTTGAGAGAATTTCAGATGTCTCAGTTTCCACTGAGAATGAAATTACTTGTGGAATTGTCTGCTCACACAGATGCCCTGAGAACATTCCTCCATTTCCACAAAGAAAGGAATCTATTCTACTGAACAAATTGCTCTTTGAGAGCTCTTCCCAAGGCCTCAAGAGTATCAGATCTTTCTCGCTTAAATATAGAACAAATCCTCAGAAGATGGCAACCTTGATTATCAAAATGAGAGACAGAACTTCTGATGTAAGTATGGCACAGTTAAATGGTAGGTCAGATAGAATTTCCTCTGAAAGAACAACAGTAGAAGATTGCAAGGACTCATTCCTCCTCCAGGATTCTCACAAATAACCATTGCATTAAGGAAAAGCAAACTTTTTGCGTAGAGATGCCAAGATAAAAGTCTACATTAAGGAGCTCCATAATGTAGCCTGTATCAGACTCTTCAGAGTTTGGCACAGTGCATGTATTGCAAACAGCTTTGCCCCAAACAGAAACACATCCTCTGTTCTGGAGCAGATTAGTCCTGAAACACAATGAATGGAGAAAAGCTCATGTAGGAGAAATATATTGCCATGCTTGACAAAGTCAACATGTTAAGAAACGAACTCTCTTAAACCACTGTAGGATTCCAGGTGAATTTGGACTGAGCATAAAGGCAGGAAAATTTTTTAATTCTTGGAAGTGAATGTACGTATCCATTAATGGAGTTTGCTCTGGTTAATGCAGTGATTACAAGTTGCACAAAGCTAACGTGCATTCCAGGAGAAATGGTAACTGACCAGCAGATACTCAAAACCAGAGTAAGTTGCTGGGTTTGAATCATTGTCAAAAAAGCAAGTAGTTGACACAGGTCTATACAGGACAAACAATTCCCTCTCACTCTCTGACTCAGGATACACAAGGAGAGCTACCTGCTTTTTCGTGATACTTTGGTATCTCACAACCTGAACAAATTCCACACTTGTTTTATTATGGTTTTTCTCTGCTACTGCCTATTTTCTTTTTCACACCTTTTCTGCCGCTGGATTCAACTAACTCAGACCATCTTACTGACTACCATTTGAATTACTTACACGGTACATATACTGCTTGAAAGCTTCCAACATAATTTGGTCCCAGTTCATAAATGGTGCTAACTCCTGGGGCAGGCAGAACTTCCTCCAGGAAGTGCGTAGGGCCCAAGCGCCACACCAAGGATGAGAGCTGGCGCTGTGCAGGCGGTGTGCCGATATAGGCATAGACAGTGCTGACTACAGGAGGATTGGCAGAACCAGAGCCACTGGGACTGCTATGAATATAGTGAAGCTGTAAGGCAGAAAAGTACAGTGAAGTTACTGAGAATATCCAGGTACCGTGAAAAGAAAGTAGATACTTTAGAAATTTAGGGAAGCATTCTGCAAACCAGGGGACATAGCAATTGATTGATACGTAACACGCGGTATTCTGACACTATATGGTAAAGGTAAAAGGCATTATCCAGATGGTAAATGCAAAGATCAGAAGTCTAGCGGTTTTCAAATGACCAGGGTGTGCAGAGAAACACAGGGTGAAAACACTGAGTTCTGTAGTTAAAAATGCAAAAGAGTGAGATTGTATTTTGCCTCTAAAAACATGGTACTTCATGACTGTCAGTGGTTGGGCTTTTTTTTCCCCAAATCAGTAAGACTACCTCATAATCTTGTGTCCTTTTTCTCTCCTTCTTCAATTTATTAAAATAAGCTTCTGATAATTACACCATTTTATGCTGAAGTGGATGTATAATCAACTCAAATTGATAAGTTTGTCAGACAACAGTAAACAAACGTATGGATAACATGCTGGCACATATATAACAGTAGTAAAAATCTTGCAGGCATTTTCCTCCTACAGTGTAAAAATTCTAAGACCAGCTACTGAATGTAATTATGTATGGTCAAATATAATCAGCACATCAAGGCAACTGGCATAATAAGAAAAGTTAATACAACGCTCTTTGCAGATGCAGTAATAAACACAAAATTTAAAAGCTAGAATATCCTTCTACCTATAGCAGTACACTAACCTAACTGATTTGCACCCCACAGTGCAATTAGCTTACTCCCTTCTTTAACACCCATGCCCGTCAGGTGCCAAATACTCTTTCATTATCAGTTATAGGTAAGGACAGTGTCCCAAGTGTTCTTCCATGTTCTCTGGATTTGGTCTACTAGTTTGTTCCAGCTGCTAAGAAAACACTGACAACTACATGCACGTCATCCACACTCAACTGGTAACATTTAAGATCTCAGTAGCAAACACTTGACAAGGGCTATTTCTTGGGGTGGCAAGATGGCTGGAAAAAGAGAAACCTGGATAAATGTGAAAACCTGGCTTTTTCTGTAATGTTGCTAATGTTCAAAAATTAGATTCTACTAAATGGTCCTGGAATAAGTCATATTCATCATTTTGTAGTTCTTTTAATCTAGTCACACTTGCCTCACATGCAATGCACCATGCCTGCTTCTCTTCAGTACTGCTATTGCTCAACCATAAGAAAACACTCATTATCTTCTCCTTAACAGAAATGAGGCTGGAAGCTGCATACTGAGCAAAGATCTTTTTGCAAGGATCCTCTTATTTTGTATGCATATACACACACAGAGAAAGAGATCACTCCACCCAATAAAAGTGATTATTTCAAGATTTATTTTACCTTAACAGTGTTAACAAGCTGTCCATCAAGGTACAGTGCTGCTGTACTATTCTTCAGCATGCCTTTACTCATGACCAGAACCAGGTGATGCCACTGGCCTTCTGCAATGAGCTCACCACAGCGAAAACGGGCACAACAAGGAAGAATTTCATAAAATGACGACTCTTCACTGAAATCATCAACTAAAAGGAAAGTACCAATTAGAGGGCAACAGGAAAAATGTTATTAGTTTGATTTTTATGTCATCAGAAAACGCAAAAATCCACAGCAAACACATTAAAGCCAGAATTTCAGTAAATACACAAAGATAAAGTAACCAAAAATACAACAAACATTGTGTGAGTTAAGTAATAAAACTAACAAGATCAGAATGTTTTAAATATTCCTTTCAAAATTTCAAGTACAAGAACTGAATGAATGACTTTATTTTTGAAGGACTCAAAACACATTATCACAGACTGAACTTCTACGAGTATTTGCATATAAGCCAATGAGAAGTTTTGTTGCTATCAATAATGTCTATCTGTTCTTCTGGCCCTAAAAATTCCCTAAGAAAATTCTCAGGATAACTTTAGAATGTCGAAAATTACATTTTATTTCTCTCCTTCTCTCTTCCCATTACTAACTTTCTCAGGTTTCTCTCTAACAGTCTCAGAAAATTCAAAGCTACTTTTTAATCTAACACACACCTTAGAAAGATATCCATACCTCTCATACTTCCTCCTGACACATTACCCTTCTCTGTGGGCTACAGTGTGATTGTGCTGCAGCATGGTCCTCCACAGAGGACATAGGGAAACCTGTACTCTGATGCCTGGAGCATCTCTCTCCTCCTGCTCTAATCTTCGTGTCCAAGGGGCTGTTTCTCTCAACCATTTTTCGCTACTCTTCACTCCACGCAAGTCTTTTCCCTTTCTTAGGTATCTGTCTTCAATGTATACTGCTGCCTTCAGTTCTCAATAAATATTTTTTTTATTATTGTTAATTCTACTTCTTCAAAAACACATCCTTTGACTTCACACTAGAAAGCATGATCAGTTTGCAATACTCAGGTCCATTAGTTTCTCCATCAGAATCACCTAAATTTCCCACTCTCTACTTGAAAGCCCAAAAAAGAAAAAAAGGCAAAGTTTGAAAATTCTACACTAGAGAGCATTTCAACTGAAAGCAGGAGTTTTTCAGATCTCTCTTCATTCTTTCAATGCTGAAGGAAAAGAAATTAATCCTCTCACTTCAATAACAGTGTATACAGAGAGAACACTACTGTCTTTAGAAATAGCACAAGGAAAAGGATAAAAGCAGAGTTCTTAGAACTGACTTCCAGATATGAAAATAATCTTTCCTTAACTTCTTTTTCTCCAGCCAAACACCTCAAAGTGCAACTCTCACTCACAAAAAGAATCCCTAAAGCACTCAGTTTATTCTCACAACAAATTGTCAGCACTGTCAATCCCACACACTGGCAGGCCAGCTATCTCTGCTCTTCGGGTAACGACCTGCTCAGGACTTGACTGCACACCATCAACTACTATAAGCCATCATAAGGCAGCAGATCACCAAAGCAAAGTATCCCATTCACTTGAAAAGGAATCTTTGTAGGTAGAGACATTCAAATCCTCTCTGTCAAAGCCTCTTCAAACCCAATATCTTTTAAAGAGTTAGATACGAGCTTACAAACTAAAAACGTATAATTTACTGCTCCAATGCAGGCTAAAGCAATTACTATGAACATAAGCTCAGGCTTATTCAGTCTGGAAAAGAGAAGGCTCCAAGGAGGTGCCAGGCCTTCCAGTAATTAAAAGAGAGATTAAAAACAAGAGGGAGGAAGACATTTTACATGGGCAGATAGTGACAGGACAATGGGGAACCGTTTTAAGCTCAGAGAGGGAAAATTTAGATTAAATGTTAGGTGGTAACTCTTTACTCAGAGGCACCAGAAGAGCTTGCCCGTAGAAGTTGTGGATGCCCCATCCCAGGACGTATTCAAGGCCAGACTGGATGGGCCCTGCGCAGCCTGATCTGGTGGATGGCAATCCCGCACACAGCAGGGGGTTGGAAACAGATGGGCTTTTAAGGTCCCTTCCAACCATTCCTTGACTATAAGAATTAAGCTTTCCAGGTAAGAAAAAGCTGTCACTATCTTTCTAATTTACGAGCTTTAGTTCTACCCCTGTACAATGAGTCTCCAAGTTCTCGTTAGGTTTTTAACATATTTTTCTTTGAGTTTCTACTTAGAGAAAATAGGAAATTATGCAAATGTTTATTTATCATGAAAGTAAAGAGTATCTATAATAGTCTGCTTATGTTTTTGTAAATACTTACAATTATGAAGAAAAAAAATATTAGTGCTTATTATTCAAAATAGAACAGAACGGGACAGAAGACTAAGACTGTGCTGGTTTGATAAAGTACTAAGCCTGAAATGCACAGAAGGCTCCTCCTCTGCCCCCTGTTCATCTTCAGTCATTGGCCTGAACTGAACAGCTGGCTTGGAAGCTCTACAGAAGGATAAAGCAGGAGACAGGAAATGGCTGAACCTGAGGCCTCCAACCACACTGACAGCACTCCCAAGCAAATTCAGCAGCCTCATCAGCTTCACTTTGCTTTTTATAGCACTTACTGTAATTCCTCTCTTGATCTCAGATGCCAAATGCACCAACAAACTGTTTCTGCAAACTGATCTCATCATTAAAACATAAAGGAAATGACTGACTGCCTTCAACTAGCCAGACAGCAAAGCAGATGAAGCTCCAAGTTCAGTCACGCAATTCCTACATATAAGACATTTGTCTAGTCTAGATCTAGACAATCATAACATTGTCAGGATTATCAGACAACACAACTACTCTTACCATAATTTTGAAGTAATTCTTCTTTGGTTGAAACAATTAGTGACCGGTCTTTTGCTGAGAGGATGATGGCAAGGCACACATAGTGCTGCTCCGAGGAGTTTGCGCGCCGCACTACAGTAAGAAGTCTGACAGGATGGTTATTAGGAGGAGTACTAAAATGTTCAATGCAAAACCAAGTTGAGTAGCTTAAACCGGATGGTGGTGGGAAAAATCGTTCACCTAAGAACAAAAAGGAAAACTCATTATATAGTTGGAATAGCCACTACTTTGTACACCTACATATTCCTATCTCATTTTTTTCCCCCAACTGCTTAGTTCCTCAGCTAATACTAGTTATGCCTTCTCAAGTTTTTCCTTTGTGAACTTGGATGCTGCTATTCCCACTTCCAACAGAAGCCTGCAGAAAGTCACATCAAGCTAGCTCAGAGGGACTTCTTTCAAAATCAGGCAAAGCAACAATTGAACACTATTCTTACCCTAAAGACAAAAATTAACTTTAAAGATGCGCTTGTTCAGAACACTCAAGCTTCAGTTCCCTAGACAAAAGAGGGGATTCTAAGAGAGAGTTAATATCACTATAGAATACATTATCCACAGGTGTGACTGATTTAGATCCATCCAGTCTTCCTTGCCAAAGATCTCTCTGCCAGATACACTCAATGCTTTTTAGTTTCCACAGGTACTCCCACAGAACAACAAAAAGCTCACAGAGTTCAATTGCTGTCTGACAGTAATCCCATCTTACTGCAGCAAAACCTCTGCTTTTTCCTTTTTTTTTTTAAATAAAGACTTATTTTGATCAACATATCATGTTCAGTTAGCCCATAACATACCAGGTCACTGTAGGCTGAATAGCTAGCAGTGAGCAAATATATGGGATGGAAAGCAATTTAGATGGGACTTTTAGAATTATATTTGTAACTACATCAGTAATACTGATTCAGGGAACAATTCAGCTGAAGTAAGCAACAAGGATGGCCTTACAATCCATCCTATGGTTCCTATGCTCTGGCCACTTAACACTGGCACCTACATTTGTTCTTAACACATAGTTTTATGTTCTCTTGAAAGCCTTGTACTTTGAAGCAATCGCACATTTGCATTTTGTATAGCTTTTCATTGCCTTACGAGCAAAAAGTAACAGCAACATAAAAATAAAGACACAAAGTTCTCAGTAGTGAACATGCAATATCCAACACCATAACATCACTTCATACCTGAACATCATCAGGTAAAAAATACTGCTAACAATAATACCCAAGTACTTACCAGTCCCAATTCCACTGACAACTGCACCATCAATAAGTCCTGTCGTGACAGCATTATTGGTGGGTGCATTGTGGGGAGCCAAACTTGGCAAGAACAGACAGCTGTTAAACAGAAAATCAGCATCACACTAGAGTATATGAAAGCAAGGACAATCAGAGTTCAACATACAGTACATGCAACCTAGAAAAATACATCATGAGTAAATCATCACTCTCTATTAATGCATGTATTTCTGAAAGGTGGAAATTAATTCTTAAGATTTCTCCTTGGGAGGTTAAACTATCTTTAGCACAGAGACCTTTGGTACTCTATGTCTTCAGTGCAAAGGCACAGAGACTTATGCTCATGTTGCACCATAGCATATTCTGTTCCCTCAAGGATGACCATAACTCTCTTCACACCCTTTGAGATACTCTGGACTCTCTGACAGACTGGATTAGATAAACATTCCAAGAATCTGGTAAACACCTGGTATGGTGTTCTTTTTCTAAATATGTGTCATGGTTTTATGGTTTTAAGGTTTTTTCTTTTTCCAGATATTTGGACTACACATAGTTTCCTACTTTACTTATGTTTCTGCCTTGCCTATTTCCTCATTTTCAAGTTCTTCGGCAACTTTAAGCAGGCTTCAGAGTATTTGGGTGGTTCAAAAGTCACATGGAAATTCTAGCAACAGCTGCTTTTCTGCAGGAGTATGACAGCACCCCTTTGTTATAGAAGGCCCATGAAATCCAGATCCAACAGAGTACTATTAAGACTGTGATACATGTGGACTTGCACTTTTACACGTGGCACGCATTAGCTTCAAGTCAGTGACACAATGGACATCTGTGGCATGAAGCATTACTTTCTTTTCTTTAAAAGATTCATCAATTCATTTCCAGACTGCAAACAGTCCATTAAAAATTTCAATCATTCCTTTGAAAGAAGAAAGTAACAGAACACTGCATTGTGCCCTATGCTTTTTGAGAGCACTATGGTACCTTACCCAAACCCTTCAAGAGATGTGTCAAATTCGATGAAGGCAGGAGTGACTGATGAGCCGTGAAGCCTGATATCATGGGGTGTTGTCATGGACACCAAGCACTTCACTCGCGTCAGGGGGACTGTGCTTCCTTCAGCTGGTTTGAGCAGGCTCCGACTGATCCGGTAGTGGCTGTCCTCATGCAAACTGAAGACGCTGTCTGAACCCAGACCTTCCATTGAGGTAACCATGCTATCTGCATTAAGAAATCAATACAAAATACAGTATTGCAAGGAGGCAGCATTTTCAGGCTTTTTATTGGGTCTCTCCAGAGCAACAGCTGAATGACAAATGACTGCCCACAAATTCAGCCTCTCATTAGAAGATCAAGAGTTGGAAAGCACTGCTCCCTCACTGGAATCATAGAATCATTAAGGTTGGAAAAGATCTCTAGGATCATCCAGTCCAATCCCAACCCAGCTCTACCATGCCCACTAACCACGTCCCTCAGTGACATATCTCCACAGTTCTTGAACACCTCCAGAAACAGTGACTCCACCACCTCCCTGGGCCATCTGTTCCAATGCCTTACCACTGTTTCCTAACATCCAACCAAATTATATAAGCTTTCAGCCTATATAATTCAGCTGAGGCAAACTGATTAACATCTTTGCAAGATGGCACAGAGATTTGGCAGGGCTATCAGAAACTGAGTGAACAACCCATCTCATTACCTCACACCAGCAAATGCTCCTTTCACATATGTCAGGAACATACCTATTATATGGCTTAGCAGACAGAAAAGAAACTGCTTGATGTTATTCAGATGCAATAGCTCTGAACTAAAAGCCTCAGAACTCAAAATAAGCAGAGAAGCTCAGATTTGCTCAGAGATTGAATGCAGTAACCTGCAGCATACCCACAAAGGTAGTTTTGCCTTCTCTTTCTTAGTCTAGTAATTTCTCAAATTCATATTTTCAGTTGTCACTGTTTATTCTTCCTCCATCCTTTAATAATACCCTATTAAACATAAATAAATAAAAGAATTCAGTGCTAGCCAAGAGAAATGGTTACTCTCTTTCCCTTCTCTCTTTTCCAGTGCACATAGTCTGATGACATAACACGAACAGAACAGAATGCAATTACTTAATCTTCTATCTCTGAAATTAAAATGAAACATGAGAGTTTTGTAGACACTGGAGAGAAGGTATTGTAATGCTTGTAACTTAACACCATTCAGGATACTTTTTAGTTCCTTTTAAATAACTCAAGCATTAAGCTGTGAACAATGCTTTACAACGCACTGTTTGATGACCAAATCAACATCCAGAAATAAATATCACATGCTTTGGAAACTCACCAACAACATGTTTGTACTACCACCCACTGAGACTTCCCTGTACTACGTGAATGGCTCTACAACTGATGAATAATAGGATGAATAATAGGAGAGAGGGGCACGTGTGGAAGAGAGGCTCAAGATCAGCTAGAGAAATCCACTGATATTAAATTCAAACAACCCGTTACAGACATTCAGCAAGGTTCACCAGGCTGATTTATTAAATAGCTGGAAAACATATGCAAGTGTTCTAGCACGAAAATTATAGCTGATGGGCCACTGCTGTATGAGGCACTCTATCAGACAGAACACAAAGAAATAATGAGAGTTTTCACAGAGCACGTATGTATGTATATCTACAATCTGACAATATCAAGTAAGTATTCTGACTCAGCAGCAGCAATTTCATCTGCCACCTTCCTGAATCCATGGGATCCATCTACACAGATGTAATGACATGATGTGAACCCTGAAGTACGTAGGTTGCTCTGATATTAACACCTCTTATTTATTTCCACAGAAAATACAGCAGATATAAGAAGCACAATAACACTAAGTGACAGTGTTATTCTCAGGTATAGAACACAATTTTTTAACACAGTCATTACCGTTAGCTACACACTTTTGCTAGCGACAAACAAGAACCTGTATGCTGCGCTGATCAAATCTGCACCAGTAAAGGTAGCCCACCGTTTCACCGCTGCTATGATGGCATTGTTGGTAGGAAAGTGTTGCCACACAGTCCAACTTCCACTGTGTTAATATCCACAAACGTTCCACAAGCACAGTGAATGTCAATGGGTACAATTTCTACCGTACAGAGGAATTCGGTTCCATACCTTTGCTTCATACACCCTTCCATGTCAGATGCCATGTGGTCAAATTGCCCCTCTGCTGCTGCCATCTGTCTCATGGCAACAAAATGTAACAATATTGGCAGGAAGGTTCAACCTCTATTGTCATTCCAACAACATCTGCCTCTGACATTATGGGCTAACACCATAAAATAGAAGGCATTACTTTCAGAGCAGTCCTCATATCTGAAAATAATATTTTTCCTTTTACTGTTAATCAGCTACAACCATAGCATCCACCAAAAACCTGAAAGCGAGCTAGTATCAAAGAATAGCAGAAGGGTTAAGGTTGGAATATCCCTCTGAAAGTCATCTGCTCTAGCAAGGGACATTCATAGCAGGGTACCCAGCCTGATGCCCATGTGGATTTTCAAGAGCTTCAAGAGACTCCACAACCTCTCTGAGCAACCTATGCCAGGGCTCCATCACCCAGACAATAAAGATGTTTTGTATTTAATTGCTACTATTTGTAAATTTAGAAATGTTGATTTCATACACATCTAGCGATGTAATTAAGTACCGTGTTCCCTCTTTTTTCCAGTTAAATTGTCCTGATGATTCCACATCCATACAATGCTGGGGCAAAGTTATTTCTTTCTGCATGTTTATGTACAAATATTTACATAAATATGCAGTTGAAGGATATGAAGTAGAGTGACCTTTACACAAACTTCTGGTACCTCAGCACTTACTTCTCATTTCTGGTTCAAAACTCAACGAGCTCGGTTTGTGCACACGGTACTGCTTCAACAGCTTTTTGTCCCAAGCTCCGCAATTCAGAGGATTTCCCAAGCGTAAAAATTCCCTAGGAAAGAAGACAAAAAAGAATTTGAGGATCATATTCAAGTTTTTATCCCTGAATGGTACCAAATACAATACCATTAAAGTTAGTTACTTCATAGAAACATAGGATGGCTTGGGTTGAAAAGGACCTCAAAATCATCTGTCTCAACCCCCTTGCTATGTGCAGAGTCTGCTCAGAGCCACATCCAGCCTGGCCTTGAATGCCTCCAGGGATGGGGCATCCACAACCTCTCTGGGCAGCCTGCTCCAGTGTGTCACCACCCTCTGGGGGAAAAACTTCCTCCTACTATCTAACTAAACCTCCTCTGTCTTAGTTTAAAACCATTCCCCCTTGTCCTATCACTAACTACCCATGTAAACAGTCATACCCCCTCCTGTTTGTATATTCTCTTCAAGTACTGGAAGGCCACAATGAGGTCTCCCCGGAGCCTTCTCCAAGCAACTTAAGTATATTTTTAACTAAAAATACTAAACAAAATAGAGAATAATTACACATGATTGATTTGAAACTTCAAACTTTGAAGACATGCTATCAAAAGTCAGTGTTATTTCAACTAATCAAAAAGGCTTTAATAAAGCAGACAACTTCTTGGCAATAAGGCTACTACATTCTTGGGGGAGAGGATCGGTATCCCTGCTGCATACTCAAAAAGCTGAGCTCACCTAGAAACCACAAGCTGACATGAAAAAGTCATCTCTGCACTGTTTCATCCATCTGTTCAGTTGCAATAGGAGGACAGCTTCAGAGCTACTAACATCTGTGCTTATAGATATCGACTGTATCTGTAGCTACAGCTATGTTATCAATATCTATGGCTTGGGGATGCTCAAGTCTCTGTGATGACAAGTGTGCACACTGAAGTGATTTTCAGTAATTCCAGATGCCACCAAAGGGAAGTGGCAAAGTGTTCTGATTGTATCTCAGCCACTTACCTACCCAAAGAGGATTAGAACATCAAATTCCTCATGCTAGGTGAGATCCAGCAAGAAACTCAAAAGCGTGACACAGCTGTGTAGGTATCAACAAATGGTTCCCAATATGCACACAATAAACTTTTCAACCTTCCTTCTCTAGCATCAGCACAGAAATATACGCAAATATTCATGCACTAACATACAGGAAGCTCAACTTTTTGATGTCGTGCTTCACAACAATAAGTAAATTCTCAATAAAGTCACTTCTTTTATTTATCCTTTCTATCTGTTCTCAGAATGCGTTACAGCAGAATCGGTCCAGAACAAGGCCAGGCAATGCCACCAAAGTTGAAGAAGAGGTCAATCAGCCCCACTCTTTCTATAAAGGCTCCATTTCTCCAGACATTTCTGCCATCACATCCCAGTGCTTCCTTCACACACGCTGAAGGGACAAATCAAACAGCTGCCCTGAAGCTTTTCCAGTCTGGGGTATTTAAAGCTACAAAGAAACATCTAGCGACTGACTCCCTTCTGTAGCACCATCAGCACCATCACTTTTACAATCTCTGCGTGTCCTCTTGGTGACAGCCTAGCCAGGGACTGCACAATGGATAGCCTCTCAGTATTTACAGGAAGGAAGTAAGCAACTTCAGTGCAATCTCTGTGGGGAAAAAAACACATTTCCTTCCATCATACTCCTTCTCCCTGATTCCCCATATCTCCAGGGCCACATGCTGATTAGCAGAAGCAAGACAGGCTATTTAAGGAGAAATAAAGCAGGATTCTGTGCCATCCGCTGCCACACAAGGCCGTTTATGCTCTCTAACAATCCAGGCTATTTACAGTCAGCCAGCCTCAGCACAGGCACAAGGGCCTGGCTCTGCAGGACTCAATAGTGTCGTTCTGACCTGAGCACCATGGGCTGCAATGCCTGGGAGGCCAGCCTTTCAAACATCCTCTGGAGCGGGGGATGCAGCGAATGGTCCTCATCAGCCAGAGCAGCGCTGCATCTCTGGAGAAGGCGTGCGTGGAGCCCAGCTTCACACATGACTTGCTGGTTCCTCTCCGTATGCACAAGGGACTGCAGGATGTTGGCCACTGCCAGCTGGAGGTCGAGCGCATGCTGAGATGAAACAAAAACAATGTGCAACTTCAGAAGAGACGAACTGAGAAAACCCTTATGCATAATAATCAAAGGGAAACCACCCTTGGCAATCAATACACAAAATGTCCTGTACTAAGTTGTGTGTGCACCTTGCAGGGACAATGAAAACCTGCATCACCTTCTTTTTTGAAAATAAAAGATAGGAGTTTGAGAGAAAAAAATGAAGTCAAGCTAACACAAAATGATTTCTATCAGACCTTTCCTACATAACTATTTAACTTGATAGTTCTGCAAATCTTACAAGTTTCTTGGCAGGAAGTAAGAGTACACTGCCTCTTTCTTATATCCTGTAACCATCCTTCTACACAGTCACTCCCAAGGCAGAAGACAGCAGAGATGTTTTGCCCACCTCTGGGTGTGTAGTTGATCCAACAGAGGCCAGAAGATCCAGCATCGCAAGCATAGCACCAGGGTGAATAACAACCGCGTCAGCGCTTTGCATGGATGTAGATCCCGCTTGGAGTTTCATATCAGGTATGTTTTTCTGAGGGCAAACAGGAGGTGTTGAAACAGAATGATATGCATGCCTGCAGGGAAAAAAACAACACACCATTACAACCTCCAGCTGCTACAATCTTTGTCGAGTTTTGGAGGGGTTTTTTGTTGGTTTGGGTTTTTTGTTTTGTTGTTTTTTTAGCAGCTGCTGTAAAGTCTAACTGGTACATGGATGTTACCAGTATTCCTTTCCCTTCTCTCAGGTCAACATACCAAGCACTTTTCTCAAGCCAATTGATGCATTTTCCCACAGACAACCCAGAAGAGTTTAAATTTCTCGAGGGCACTTTAATACTGTAGGAATCTGTCCCTAGGTGACGCACAACTTAAAGAACACAAAAGTTGCCTTTCTCATCCCTGTTCTCATCCTAGTTGCAGCAGCAGCACGCACAGGCAACCAATATTCCTGTTGAAAGGTGCATTCGTTCCAAAGAACCCATTTCTCCCCAGTTTCTTTAACAAATACTTATGAAATTTGCTAGCAAACAACTGTGGGCAACTTCCAACCAACTGGCAGGAACAATGTTTATCTTGGTGCACACCCTTGCCAGCAGCCCATATGCTCTCAATCTTACAGTGACTGTTGAAGCAATCTCATTTTACATGAATCTTCTTTAGTGTACATATGTACATACATACAAAGTGTTTAAGGTATACACCTACTTGTGAGAAGAAAGAAAACATACTCCTAGATAAGAGTTTTATTGAGAATCAAGTACTGCTTGTCATTTTACAGAAAGTGAGAGCTAAAACAGGGTCTCCCCTTCTATCCCATCAGTCAAGACAATCATTTTGTCCCTCCTGCTCCCAGTGAGGAAGATGTGCCTTCAACAGAAATAATGCTCACAGACTTTCGCTGTCTCAGCCATTAGGCACTTTTCATCAGGAAGCCTTTTTTCCCTGCTGAAACAGGACACACAGGGAAGGTGACAATGGCTGCAAGTACAGTTCTGTCCTAAATATTTCAGCGGTTGCATCTTGAACACACAAACCAGCAACAAAAAGGAAGATCATTTGTGGTGAAAGCTGGAGGCACTACTTATTTTAGCCAAAGACAGGACATTATAAAACACAGCACAATCTTCCTGTACTGGACAGAAAATAGGCTGTGTAAAGAGAGCTTCAAACAAAAGCATGCCCATCAGAAAGATTACAGACAGCTCAACGGAAATTTGGCATCTGAAAGAACCCTAGGGCACTTTTTACATACAACATTCTTTTTTAAAAGATGAAATTTCTGATGCTTAACTCCTGTGGCTAATACTTAGACCACACACAGAATAGTACAACGAATCTAAGGAAAAAAATCTGTCCGAATCAATTTTCCCAAAGATTTTTTTTTACCAACTCTTTAACCACCAAATTTCCAAACAAACTTCTCCAGCAGACTTAATGCTTGAAATACTTGGTAGATAGAAGCAGCCTTGCTTGTTTCTTTGAAAATTAAATATAATTAAGGACAGCAGAACAACTTGAAACAGTGTCGTACAGAGAAAGTCTCTTAACGTTTTCTTAACCTTTTCTCTTTCTTAAGACAGAAATTTAAATATATGCATTTTTTTTCTTGCAAAAGTCTTCCTCCCAATACCTGAAGATGAGAACTGCCATCTCTTTGCAACATAACCCTGATAACCGCCATGTAAGTTTTAGAGGACACAGTTTAGAAATCTGATTGTATTTAGCAATGCTTTTCAGTCTAATGAAATGCGTCTCTTCAAAGCACTCTTAGAGAAAACTTCCATCCTACTTTAAGCACAAATTTTACTTCTAAGTGTCCTAAATCAGCACTATCGTGTCCACCTTATTAAGTCAACTTTGAAACTGTAATACAGTAGTACAGGAAAAGCCTAATTAAACTCCCAGTCAATACTCAGAATGATGAACAAACAAGCAGATGGCCCTTGCCTCAATCTGCCTGCCCTTTGACATTGTATGCAACAAACTGATCAGAGGAAACAGTGGAGAGCAGGCAGTTGGCTTTCTCTGTCAACAACACAGCAGAAAGCTATAACCTAAAAGCAAACATTAGTAAGCTTTGCACGCCTCTTGAAAACACCTTAACTTCCCTATACAGTTTCCCATATGGAAGTATTTACATAAAAGCAACAAAGAGTCAGTTCAAAAACACTTCCCCTAGGCAGGGAAAAGACCACAGGTCTTACAAAATCCTGCCAAACTATCGATCAAATGTTATACATCAGCAAGTCAGTGCACACTCTGCAAAAAATTAATTTACTCATGCTTATACATTATTCACATTGTCCCCCTAAGGAGGGAAAGGAAGAAGCAGGCAGTGTAAGAAGCCACTCTGACGAAGTCTAACTGTTACAAATGAGCACTCTAACAAGCCATTGACCTTCTGACTAAAAGTACCTCTTCCTGAAAAATTAATTGAGTAAAACAATTGAGGAAAAACAAATCTTGCTGCATTACATTACAGACTAGCAGAGTCTGAATTTCTCTGAACTGCTCCTGATTGTTTTTACATTTCTTAGATCACATTCTACTCTAGACCTTTTGATTTGCGACCATTAACATAACTCAAAGTAATTTGAGACTCTGGAGAAATTTTTCTCTCGTATATTAGCAGAACTAAGTACAACTCATCATGAAATACACCCTGACATTCATTTCATCCAGTAAGCATACAAGCAAAAATGGACACCTCACAGATAGTAGCAACCGAGAGAAAAATGAGAATGAAGAAACAACAGTGAGAAACCAGAAGCAAGATGAACTTCTCTTAAAAGCATCGGTACCTTTTCCTTGACAAAGCTGGCGTACCCCAAGGAGAGGGGAGAGAGGTCTCATTTGTCAGGCAAGGAGGGATCTGTTCTGCACGACTACAGACAAAACAGACAGGGGTAGGACAGAGAGGTTAGAGAAGAAACCAGAGGTCGAAAGCTTGTTAGTTTTACACAGCCATCACCAGTGAAGTCTTTATTGGACTCATTCTTCAGAATCAACACAGATGACAAAGAACGTTGCTGAGTGGCACTCATCAGGTAAATGTATGGACATGCACAGCATGGCCCTGTCTTACGGCACGGCTCCGCAGTGCTCATTCATTACTTGGTAGAGTTATCAATATGACCACATCGGCAAAATAGAGCATCTCTCAATATTAAACAGCAGAAATTGAGAAGGAAAAGTAAAGCCTAAGTTAAATCGACGTGGTTAAGACAAAATCAACATAAACTTCACAAGGACTGATGATCAGAAAATTCAAGAATGGAAAAAGCTGTGACTGAAAATGACAACAAAATAGAAACTTGAGGTAGCTTATGCTGTGGCATTAAGGAATTTACTTACCCCACTGATTCTTCATGCTCTACTGCTAGTTAGTGCTATAACTTTCTACAGCATGCACAGCACTTTCTTAACACGCATTTTCCTCTCACAACCAGAATATTTTAATAATCTTTTAAAATGAGATTAAGAAATTAATTTCTGTTCTTGGTTTGTGAGGTATTTGTTTGTTTGCTGTTTTAAAAACCCAGAAAAGATTATTTGCTGCTTTGAAGGAAAATCTTTCACAAACCATGAAGTCTGGTGCTTCACCAGTCAACAACTTCAAGAACCTGACCAACCTCCAACTCTATTAATATCTCGACATATAAGATCACACCTGTAACACTTGGAAAAATCAGACTCTTACTTTGACTGTAAATCAGATGGTGCATCTTTGAATAACAGGACTAAATGCATTAAGTACCTGAGGTACACAAGCTTCAATACCCCATTTATGAAGTGGAGGGTCTATATCTTATTTTCTTGGACCTTGAATGATACATGAGAACTACCTTCAGATAAAGCAAATCTTAAATGCATATTTCAATATGTTTTACTGTCACTGTGAACAATCTCAAAAGACACGTTACTTTTCATTCCTCGTATCAGGTGTCACTTAAATTCTACCTGTTTAAATCTGACATCTTCCAGATAATTATTATTACTGACAGGTTAGATAGAACTTGAAGAACATGCCTATCTGTCTAAAACAAAATAAATTTGTCATATTCTCCACTGACTTACTTTAAAATCCCATGTTTCAATGGAAAGAAGTTAAGGTGTTACACTGAAAAGCCAATTTCTCATTTGACTTAATAAACACATCAACTTCTGGACATTCTGTATGATAAAGCAATCAGGTGGTCTGTCTATCAACCAGCAGGCTGCTTAAACTCATCAAACACAATCACAAGCAATATCTCAGTTTTAATTACTGCTGTGACAAGAACATTCAACATCAGAGGGAGTGTCTCATACTCCTGAGGACACCAGTAAGCCAAGTCAATATTTGGTGAGACAGAGACATCTTACTTCTCTCACTGAATAAAGGAACAAAGAAATAGATTTAAACAGATATACAAAAGCTTGCCATGAGTACATTTGAAGGAAATTACCTTGAGAAACACCAGGGAAAAAAGAACAGAGTTCATACCTGTCAAAAGAATCTGTTGCTACCTTGTAGAGGTATATAAAAAGTTTGCTGCAATGTCTTAGCGTAGGTGACACAGAATCCAGAGCGATTAGGTCATCCTCCAACAGTCTTTGAAATAATTGTGTATTTGAAGGAAAGACATTCAATGGACTTATTTTTCTTGAGTCTGAGAAGCAGCCAAGCAATCGAACAGCATCTGCCAGTTTTTCATACTGGATCTCTGTTTTGAAGAAATGAGAGTTGGCTGGCTCATAGCGCATTGCCGCAGTCAGTGTGCAGAACACCGTGTGAAGCAGTTCAAACACTTGATTCTGGTTTACTTTCTCCCAGCCATTCTTCGGTGGTGAGCACAGAGATCTTTCCATAGCAACGAGCAAAGATGTGACATACACAAATCCACCAACTTTTCTAAATACAGTTCTGGTGCGATGGCTTTCTCTTAGCACCGACAGGAGAGCCTACCGACAAAACAAATAATCAAAATGAAGAAGAAAATAGAACAGCATTACTGATTCCTTGAAAAAAAGATAGGAGCATTTCTGTTTGATATGCAAGCAAAACTATTGTCTTTTGTCAGAACTGGGTAACTCATCAAGTCTCCAAAGACCTCTGTATTTTAAAAGTCCACATCCTCAAGAACTTACAAAATAAAAAGACAAAGGGAAGGAAATAAAGCATTATCCCTAACTTAGAAATTACACATTGAAGAAAGAAGGGGCCAAGAGAAAAGATTTAGTCGAGTCTAGAGCAGAGCCCTAAATTATCACATAATTCTCTTAGTGATAAGGCAGAGAATACAGCTGCTAGAGAAGAATCTACTCTGCCATCATACTTCACAATTTGGAAAAAGAGGCAAACAACTGTAGGTAGCTATGAGAAATCAAAATACTTAAAACCTCAAAGCACACTAATACAGGCTGCAGTAATCCACAATGCATAAGCTTCTCGACAAAGCATTGCCAGCACTCAAAACTAAACAGCAATAATAAGTAAATAGTAAGAAAAGTATTAGATTTAATCTTTCTCTACTTAGTAATCCATAAATATTTGAGCTGAATGAAACATGGCTTTAAAAAAATTGCCCCAAAACAAACCTCAGAGAGAAACAATTATGCAGAAAATATTACTGATTGAAGGAAATACAAATATACAGCACAAACAGTGGAAACAATGTGGATCTCAATATCACAGAATAACACCCAAACTTCTGTGAAACGGGGAACTCAGTGATGATGTGACTCCCACACTACCTAAAAAAAGAAGCTGTCACAGGAAGTTTGACCCACTTGTAAATAAACAAAATAGAGGGAAAAAAAAATATCTCCATATCTAGTGTCACAGGCAGCAGGAAACTGTCACTGTTCCAGAAAAAAATAGAGCACAAAAATAAAGTAAATCTTCCATCACTGACTGCTCATTTCTTCATTATCACACTGTTTTGATGCACTCAAAGGATGGACAGTGAAACAGACTGTTTTACTCTTTCAAGGGCAATATCTCATTTCCTGCCAAACCTGGATCAAATTTATGGGACGTACCACTGCAACAGTCTCAGTTGTCAATTCCACACCAAAACAGCGCAAATGGAGGCAAATACAAGAGGTCAGACAAAGAGGACAAGAACCTTGACTTACCATAGTATTACCTATTGTTGTAACTTTTCTCTGCCTTTGAGTGACATGAATTAGATATACTTAAAACTAGAAGATGCTGACAGACAAAATACACTAACTGAATCGTTTTGTTATTAGCTTTCCCCTTTCTCTTTTAGAATAACATATGGCTGCTCATCTGTCAGAGGAATACTACAGCTCCTTCTAACAAGGATGAACCTAAATGTCTGCCAATTCTCTCGAGTAACACTCTTGTTTACCCAATACTACTTGCCTAGCTTTTCTAGCCTAACATAACAGTACTATGTCTATTTTCAAAATAATATTAGCTATTCTGAACAGAAATTGTGGGTTTAGATTAGCAGCCAAAAAGCTTGTAAGAAATAACAGTAGACAGTCTTCTTCCTCCACTGCCAGGCTTCTTTTGCAATATTTCTAGTTTTGCTTAAGGAAGCAATTTTTGGTGGTTTTTTTTTGTTTGTTTGTTTGGGTTTGTTTGTTGTTTTTTTTCCCCCTCATATAGACTTCTATTCTGTGGATACTAACATTTACATTGACACATTCAACTTTTAGAACTAACATACTGTGTTATATTTTAAAACAAGCATGTCCCAAGACAACACAAGCCAGTGCTGAAAATACACTTGTGTGTACATGCTTGATTTTTTTCCTATGTACTCTCAAAACATTTAACTAAATAATACTCTGCAGGGAAGATTATCATAGCTGTACAATCTCATCCCCTAAGGCTGATGGTACTAAAAACAAAATCACTCACTAGTTTTCATCTCTGTGATTCTGAAACCTGTCGTGGATGGACAGAAAAAAATAAAAGCATCAAATATACTAATTTCAATATATATATTCAGTATTCAATATATATATTTCAGTATATATATATATACTCCACAGACAATATACATGAAATCCCTTACTCAGAGTATTTTTTAAAAATTATAGATGAATGTCTTAAGAGGGAGTCCTAAGCAGTACTTCATTTACCCTTAAGATGTCCGTTTTCAGCTGCAGTTCTGTAGGTGGAGCAGAGTGCATCAGTCCCAGCAAAGTGCCCATATCATCTTCCCCACTAGGTGATAACACCAACTGCTGGATGATCATCAGAGCATGCTGTCGGCACTGTGGATACTTCACAATGTTGTGCACACATCTTGCACCACCAAACTCCCTGAAAATACCTATGCAGATTGGGGGGAGGGATGGGAAGGTTGTAAGGGTAGCAGCATGGGTAATAAAAAAAATAATATATAATCAGTGACAAATAACAACAAAGAAAACACAAAGACATTTTGATTCACTTCTAAAGATTGGATGACAGGGTTTTAGCTGTATGGATGCTTCATGACTTGTACTAGTACTTGCCTCTCACAACAAACAAAATAGAACTCCTCTTCAAATGTTTTCCATCAAAGGTGTTGAATATAAGGGGGCTGTTCTACAAGTCTCCTCAATAATTCAGCTACTTCAACAAATGTTATTCTTCTTGTGATACAGGTGAAAGAGTCGACTAAAACTAAAAGATGGAACAAAAGCTGCACCTTTAATGAAGACTATCAGCTGTTTTCATTAAGAATCGCACTTATTACTCTGGAGTAATTTGTTTCGTTGACAAAAACATAACTGAGCTGCTGGACAAGAGCAGCCAGCTATAAGCACTGATCTGCTCTGTCCACAAGAACTGCGAGATAATACACAAGCTTTCTTTTGCCAAGATTCATCTCTGCAGCAATAGAGCTTAAACAATTAACTGTTCTCAAACTTACTGGATATATAGAACACATGCAATATTAATTGAAAATTGTCCTAAAACCTCCCATCTCTGGAAACAGGCCACTGTGCTCACATCCCTGTCCTACAGCACAAACAGGGATTCCAACTTTTCTCAGAGTTGGTCTCTTCCCTCTTCCTATACAGCTCTGTCACACATCTGAGCTTGGAGCAAAAGACCAAAATACAGCCTTCAGCCTCTGCAGTCCTTACAAAAAACCTCTGTGGTTCCATGCCACAGCTCTGACATGTCTTAATTCTGTCTAATGAGAAAACCCAAGCTGAGCAATAAATGTTCAAGCTTATAATGGATTAATATGATTTACCTGTAATCTGCACTAATTCTCTGACATTCTTATTTTAGCCTAGTTGGTCTACTCTTCAATCACCATTCAAAAGAGTCCAACAACACTTTTTCCCCTCTCCCCTGACAGGATAACTAGCTTGTGCTGTTGTGCCCTTGTACCCATCATGTTATGTACCTCAACTTCAGTAAAGTTTCTGGCAGTATTTTCCCTTTCCACAGCATCTGCATAAACAGCCTGGCACAACAGTCTAAATGCAATCATGACAGACTAAATACAGAACTAATTGAAACAGCAATTCAGAGTAATGTCTGCTTCTCGACTGTGCCCTTCTGATTTGACAAAGAACACGCCACCCAGCTTGAATGCTGTGAATAATGCCTTTACTGATATAAGAATGAGCATATTTAGCAAGTATGTGGATAAAGTTGAGTTGGCAGATGTAAAAATCCAGTGTTGTGGACAAAATTCAAGAGTCAGCTCTAAAAAAAAAAAAACATAGCAATGAAATGGCTTAGACAACAGTGGAGATTTCAGAGGATTAGAAACTTACCATGAGGTAACTATGTTTAAATAGCACATGGGGAAAAAAAAGCAAATTAATATCATAGAACATTAACAATGATGCACTAGCAATGATGCACCCAAGACATAAGACAAAGATAGAAGTCATCCGGCATACACGTAGTTGTTTTAAAAACAATAGCTATCTGCTGTTGACTTCCAAGAGTGCTGGCAATGGGACAGATGACAAGAAGAAGACTTTAGCTTAACTCACAACAGAGAACACACTGTATATGAGGAAAAACAGAAGTAAGTCATTAAGACCATAGAGGGAGGAAAGCTATACAGAAGCCTGGTGTTCTTCAGTAGCTACACAAAACATCTACTCAGAATGACCTATACATAGGTTCAGCACACAGCACACAGACAGACTATATAACATCATACTCTTTCTTAAGTACCACTACATTTGTTCAATTTCAATAACTCATTCAGAAAATACCTAGATAGTATCTTTCTTTCCTCCAGAGTGCACTAAGATGCAGTTACTTTTCTACCCTGAATCTCAGCTGTTACTCCCAACTACAACTTTTGTTAGAATCTTTCAGAATCTGCAGTGCTATAATTCCTTGCTGCTAGCGAAATGAGACATGTTGGCACCCAGTTCTTGGCCTCTAGCAGAAAGAGGAGTTGTCTTCCACTTGCTTTCACTGATAACAGACATTTTTGCCCTACTCAGGCAAGATTTAAACTCCTCTGAAGGATTTGAATGACAACACAGAATTAACGTATTAAAGCATTTTTACCTACAAGGCAAAGAAACACTATCTACCAGAACTGCATTAGTCAAAAGCTCGAGGAAAGAGCTTTTCAATGAACGAGTACACTCCCACAAAACAGGAAAAACATCAAAAAACAAAGGAAAAAAAAACAAATGAAACTTCTTTTTTCCTGTAGGAAAAAAGCCTCTGTGTTCTGATTCAGTCCCCAGCAGAGCATGCAAGTGATAAAAGAAATCAGTTTTCCAAGTAAAGTTGTGATATGTTTTTGCATGCTATTAGTACTTAGGCACATGAACTTGCTTCTTAGTGTTATTGCCAGAAAAGACCATGGGTTTCAGATGAGAACAAGTACGTTCTCCACTCTTCTGTAGGAAAGGAGAAGAGATACAGTCAATTTTCCCTTGCTTTTTCTTAAAAGAGAACACTTCTCCCCAGTATATCCTCCTTAACCTGGAGGGAAGCCCTAAACTCCTAACTAGAGCTGCAGACTCCTTCAGCGAATCCTTATACCTAGTGGCAATAGGCTCATCCATATGACGGCTCTTGTCAATCCCTTAAAATTACTCTCATCTGTGGATTACAGGCAGAAAGCTATCACTTTACACCAGCTCTCCTGCACTTAAGAACACCTTTTTCGTCCAGTATTCCCTTGAGTTAATAAAGAGACAGCCATCAACTCAATGGAAATTCTTTCAGCAAGCCACTCTGCTTTCCATGACCATCTTGTTGAATCTAAGAAATAAAGCAGAGGGGCAGATAGAAAGTACATTAATTGCCAAAGGCAAAAGGACAAAATTGTTTTAGAAACCTCGAGGTAGTATAATCTTGCAAAATGTGAAAGGCATAAACTTGAAGATGTACTCCAGTCAGACTCATTCCCTGTTGATTCCCTCTTCCTTTTTTCATTTATTTTTCATCTAGAAGCAACTCACTTTTGTAAATATTACCCCTGAAACAGATATACACATTTCAATTCTCTTTTAGAGCCAACTGCTTTCAAATTTGTACTGCTTTCAAATTTGCTTTTATCGAGAAAAACTACACAGAAATATGAATGTACTCATCTATATAAAGACAACCATTGCAGGAGAAAAATTTAAAAACAGCAAAACTTTTTTTTTTTAAACAGAAGTTTGTTCAGCAAAGTACTCCAATTTGTCCAAAAGTTGTTGAACATTGAATCTGTATTTAGAGAAAACATTTTGCTTAATCAACAACAGAAAATAAAAAAGTTAGAAGCTTTCTGCCATTAGGCCAGGAGCTATGTTTATACAATGAGCCAGTTGAGCTGGACAGTTGTAAGATTTCATTCTTAGACATTTGTCACGGATTCTAACCTCTCACATTGAACTGAAAACAGGAACAAAACCAGAAGGGAGTAAGCAGCAGTCAGAATAGAGAAAACTAAAGAAGAAATGGGAGAAAAAGGCCTCTGTGGCCAGAAACTTCGTTTCTCCAAGGTTTTGTCCTTTTCCTCCCCTCGTCTTCTTCCTCTCATAAAGCAAAGCAAAAGGTTGCAATAACACCTATCACTTTTTCAGTTGCTTTAAGTTCCCAGAGACAATTTGTACTAATGTGAAATAAACATTTTCTTTTTTGATGTTGCTCTTTGTAAGATAAGGAAATAACGTACAGTGTAATCTGCCTCATTCAGAAAAATAGACACTTGTAACTGAGACCTACTTGTAGGTACTGATTAGGAAGGAATATACCTTCAAAAAAAGAAAACATCTTACACTATAGATGGCACATATTTCTAAATCAAATTTCAGTAGACATAACATTGTCAACAGAAAATTAGATGTCTAATTACGCGCTTACATTCGTGGTAAGAAAACCAGTGCTACAAGCCCTACTACAGATGACTGCAGTAATGTTTGAGGAGAAATGGATGTGTGTGGTTCTTTTTAAGTAAAAAATTGCCAAGAATATCAACTAAAACCAACCAACTAAAAAAACAAAAACAAAACTTAAATTCCTTTATTTTATGTACTCCAGGTTATGCTACTGATTTTCTCTTATGGAAGAAAACTTGGCAAGAAAGAAAAAGGATATTTCACTGTGTTTAATTGCCTGAAGATAGAAAATCAGGACTACTTTGTCTTTAGGCAAATTTCTCAATTGCATTATTATAAGTGCTTTGCTTTTATAACTGCTTTGCCAATGGTCTTTCTACTTACCTGCATTTGTGTTTGAGCCTTGTAGTAGAACCGTCAGGGTCTCCATAACCAACAGAGCCAACTGCTTTTGGTCCTCAAATGAACTGTTTCTTGAATCCCCTAAAAATAATTGCAGAAGTAGAGATATTGTAAAAATAAAAATTAAAAAAAAAAAAAAAGACTCTTTGCTAAGATGCTTCTTGATTTTTTCCACTTTTGAAAAAGAAATTTGCTTTGAATTTCTTTATTTCCCCAGAGAAAACAAACATTAGTTTGTTTTCAAAGCAAATTTCAAAGCAAGTAAGATTTAGTCTGCCTGAGCATCCACAGGAAAGCTTAATTATGAAATGTGTGAAAATGCCATTTATAAAACCAAGAATTTTAACAGAAGCTTTTGAGCTCTGTGAGCTCAGTGCCTGACAGTGCAGCTGTGTGTGTTGTTTCATATCCCCAAATATCGTTTCTTCAAGTCACAATGCCACATCATTGATGAAAACCAACAGGATCTGCTTTGTTCTCTAAATACTCAGAAAGAGAAATTCCACACAAAAGCACAAAACTACATCTACCTAAGTAATACAAATGTGTTGATGATGTGACAGGTGTAACAGATGAACCTACACTGCATATGGTATTTTAAGCACAGCATAACATTCCAGAAAAGAAGAATGATTAATAAGCTGCAAGGTGGAACATGAGGGCAACATCCAACAAGGCAGCACTCTGATCAGATGTCATCTTCATCCATTTATAGAGAAGCACTTCAGAAATTACATGCTTTCCAACAAAAGTTTCTGGCAATGTAGGTTTTTACACATAACCAACTGATTCACCAGCAAAGCTTCATACTATAAACCCAGGTAAATCAGTCAACAATTACACATAGAAGTGTCACTGACACATGCTAACTCTATTGCTGTTTGAGTAAAAAATATATTAAAAAGCATGCAAATATGGTTTGTACTTGCCAAGCAGCTAGTGACTTAACTCTGAGATTTCTAAATTGGGACATGAAAACACTTATACATAATTTTTTTTGTAATGTTCTTATTAGAATATAGACCTAACATCTTTTAAAAAAAAAGTCAGTAAACTTAAATACATAACTCCATAAAGAGCTTTACAGCACTCCTAGCAGGCCAGTCAAGAGAACTAGGGTGAAGCTCAGGAGAAATGGGCAGGCTATGTATTGTTTCTTCACTCTTTCTTTTGATGTACAGTAACTTTAACATTAAAAACAATACATCGAAAGTTTTTGAAAAAGTAAATTATGAACTCTTACTTTGATTTTCTGAGATTGCCTTGTGAAGGACAGAAAGGAAGAGGGAACCCCAGTGTGTTTATAGGATGGCACAGAAATACCTGCTAGAACTCTGCCCTTAAGATCCACATTCCAACTTTCTTTGTTTTCCTCATATTCCTTATCCTCCAACATTCCCAGCCAAAAATACATGCATTAGTAAAATGGAAGACCACACACTACCTTGATCATTCAAAGCCTGAGTGGGATCTTTCAGAAGGGCTGCATATTTATGAAGAAGATTTACCATCACCTCCAAAAGCCCCACCTCCCTGAAGACATCCTTAAAGATGTAGTCATGACGGGTGAATTTCAGGAGCGTCTTCATGGCAATGATGCTACAGTGATAAGAAGTGCTGGATTTTAAAAGGATGCTCACACTGATCAGTTCTTTACAGGGTATGTAATTCAAGCTGAAGACAACAAATTCCAGCATCTCAAAGTATTTGGTCTGCACTTCTGGAAGTTTAGAAATTTTCTCTGCAAACTGAGACAACGTGTGCTGTGATTCCAAAACGAAGTAATTGGCATTGTCCGCCATATAAATATTCGTGATGGCATCAAGGATAATTTGTGCTAGATAGCTAGTTTTTGCTTTCAAAAATGCATTCTGAAGGACGGAAAATGCTTGAATATTCCTCACGCTGTGACCTAAATTAGAAAACAAAGCGGGATGGGAAGAAAAAAGTGAAAGTTCTTGATTGTCTCAATGAGTACACTTACTAATAACATTCCATGCATTCTAATAAGCGTGGTTAAAATAACAGTCGTTACTTTTTTAATCAAAATGGGCTCTTCAAAGAAGCCTTTGCATAACCGATTATATTGCAAACCCTATGATTTACTACTCTTTCAAATGACGTCTTTGTAAGCAAGTGTTTACACATGCAGCTAAATGAATGATAGTTTCTTCCAAATGGGGAAGTAAGGTGACCTATTTTTAAAGTTTGCAAGGGGATACAGTTCTAGAGAAAAAAAATAAAGCCTGCATATCATCTATCTGGTGTGCAAGAAAACATTACAGAAGCGGTAAAACGTTCTGCACTCTGGAATACTGAAGACTACTACATCCTTCACAAGTTTTGGGTAGGCTAAGTTTAGAAGAACATGCATCTGATCACCTTCACTTAATAGAGCAATAAGCAATGACAAAGCCTTATCAGTTGAGTTCAAAGCTAAACAGCATGCATGGCCTCTGAGTTATCACACTCCGTTCACTCTTCGGAAATTCTGTGTGATAAAAGAGAGCTAAGTGCAGAGAAACTCCAGAGGGCTGCAGATGGCCTGTCTTCAACAGAGAGCATGCTCTTGCTCAGTTCTGCATAGAATTTTACACGAATAATCATACCAGTATCAGATGATGGCATTGGGGTGGCTTTTGGGAATCAGCCTGTGAATAAGAAAGCTTTGGCAAGGTCCATTACTATCAATAATCAGGAAATTAAAACAAATGGAAGAATTTGTACTAATACTACTGCTACAGTATGCTTTACACAAATACTTCCCATCTCTAAAAGCTAGATCAAACTTCTTTTAAGTGCCATAAATTTCAATCAGATCTCATTCATTTAGCCAAAGACCGCCTCGCTTACGTGTTCCTGTGGCACCAATAATTTTCAATGGGCAGTGTAGATATTACCCTAGCAGAAAGTCACCTCAAAGCTCAATGTAGTAACTTTTACAAGGATAGTACAACTCATAGTGGTCCAATCCCACTGTGTAAGAATCACCTCATGATAAATATCCTTTGGAAAAAAAAATACAAGTATAAAAGAAAATCAGAACACTCTAACAATAAAACCTTACCTCCAAACAAGCTAAAAGTAAACCATTAAAATGATTTCCAAACCTTTTGTAAAAGAAGAATCTTGATTTGTTGTGTATGCTCTGTGGAGTATTACTGTCTCCATCTTTTACAAACTCAGCTGTCCAATTTAAAAGAAAACTAAATTACCTCAATGTCTAACCTGACTACTTTCCCTGCTGTATTCCTCCAGACAGGAACAAGAAATTTCCTTGAAAAGTTGCATGCAACAGTTTCACTTACTGGAAGAATATTCACAGTAAATTGCAAGTCATATTCATTCATTTCTAAAAGAAGGTGTTCTGCATGCTTTCTTTGAAATTAAAAATGTTGGAAAGTGGATGGAGTTCAATAAACATGAAAGAAACATAGGCAGTGGCAGTGACAGACACAACTGGTTATGTTCTAATTGAGTATAAACAGTTGTTTCAGGCAATCAAGCAGATTAATGCATTATCTTTGATTGTTACAAGCACCCCTGAAGAAACCAAATCTTCAGCAGCTCTACAGAGTTCAAAACCTAAAAAGATTTAAATAAAAGCAATTAAGGAAATGTGTTAATACGTTCTCCACAGATAACTCATCAACAGAACTGAGAAATAAAAGGAACAGACAGATGTCATGACAAACATGATAAAATGAAATATGAGGTGGGATTTTTTTGAGAACGTAAGAGACAATGGGTTCTTATGTTACTATCTCATCAACACTGATTAGCTCAGGCAAAAAATCAGTGTTATTACCAGAACATGAATAAACTTAACTCTGCCTATATCATCTTTTCCTGTTTATTGCAAAGGGAAAACAGATTCCATGAATAATGAACTTTCTCAACACCAGAAAAGTGATTGTCCAAAGTGATTAGATACAGAGAAATAGTCAAAGTAAATCCATTAGAATACCAATCTATAAAGATCACCCTATCATATCACAAAACCTTTGCAAATATCTCCAACGTTACTAAAACCAGAGAGAAGCCCAAGAAGCAAGCTAGCTCCACAGTTACCTGCTAAACTCCACAGTCCTTTTCTTACATACAAAATCAAACTGCATTTTAAGTGTGTAGAATCAAAATTCTGTTTTTATAAAAATATTTCCCCTGCAAATTTTCTCAACCTTAGATCCGTATCATAATTCACTGTGGCTGCAAGCACACCACAGGTTTCACCACTCCCACCATTCTGAATACTCACTGGTGAAGAAACAACAGCTCATAAGATAGCTTTTGTCAGCTTTAGCAAGTGTAACAGAAAGCAAATCTCCACAATTAAAACAAAAAGCAAAAACAAAACAAAACAGAAACAAAACAAAACAAAAAAACAATAACAAACCACCATCAAAGCACCCTTCAGTAAGTTCTAAGTTTTGTGAGGTCTGATTAAACACTATAAATCAAATCCGTGCATCTTCCCATACCGATAATCCCTTAAAACATCCAAACAGAAATGATGGGCTTCGTGCAGATGTTTGACTTGCCCTATAATACTAAACAAACAAACAAAAACAAAACAAAAAACAGAAAAACCCACAAAACTGTACATTTACTTTTTTTAACTATTAAATCCAAAGAAAAAGAACCTCTAGGACAAGATAACCAAGGGTTTCAATAAGCAATCTTAGTAAAAGAACTTATCCTCAATAGCAAACAGTTTGCATAGTACACAGCTTCTCTGATTTTATTGTTTACATTTTAAAACATAGAGTGAAGGAGGGAAAAGACACACACCTTTGCCTGCAGGCTGCGGCACTGCAAATCCAGGTAGCAGGAAAGGTACCCCAGTGGTAACACCAGCTGGTTTCAATTCATTTACACCATATGTTGTTAAGGAAGTAATCAAATTAACCAAGTCCTTCAAAGCATCCTTTGATTCAGCCTCTTTTGCCTGTTCTAATCTAAAGGATATAAAAACAACAGAAGACTATGTTAGCACAAGTTCATTTCAACTCAAATCACTGTCATCAATGACTTCTTTCATTTTTCTGTTAACTTAGAGAATAACCTCAAGTACCCTGTACGTTATTTCACACGTTCGCCATTCACATTTCTAACCATTCAGTCAGTCAAACTTTAATGGATTTATGACAGCATACATTTATTTCACTTAGAAATTCACTTCATAAATCTTGCCATGAACTCAACAGCCTGCTAGAAAGCTGCACAGATATTAGAAATTATTTCTAAATTACTCAGAAGGCCAGTTGTATCCTGCATAAAAAGAGGAGTGGCAGCAGGGCAAGAGAGGTGAGGGGAGAGACTTTCTCTCTCTGCTCTGTTCTAGTGAGGCCCCATCTGGAGTATTCTATTCAAGCCTGGGACCCCCAGTACAGGAAGAATGCAAAGCTGTTGAAATGGGTCCAGAGGAGGGTCAAAAAAATGATCAGAGGGCTGGAGCACCTCTCCTATAGAGACAGGTTGAGAGAGCTGGGCTTGTTCAGCCCGGAGAAGAAAAGGCTCTGGGGAGAAACCTCATTGTGGCCTTCCAGTTCTTGAAGGGAGCTGGTGGCTGGCAACTAGTCCACAGCAGGGACACTGTAACTAGAGGGGTTTTAAGGTCCCTTCCAACCCAAACCATTCTATGACAAATGCTCTTATGAATAGGAAGCTGATAGACAAATACCTAGATAGTCTGTCAGTAAATAAACCTGCACTTAATCTACTGTGGGACATTCATAGCTGATAATTTGTGTTAAGGAAATAGTCTTATTAGAAACAGAATACCTAGAAGTGCACAGTCAAGTATCTTTTTCAGAACTACAGATTCTTTTAGAAATCCTGCAGAGTGGAAATTGTCACATCTAATTCTAATCACCACTTACTGATAGTAATTCAGTCAAGGAAAATTAAAAAAAAAAAAGAAGAAGAAGAAGAAAAAAAACCACAAACCATTAAAACCCAGATTATTCTTCTCAGTTCAAATCAACTGCTTACACATTCAAATCTTTTTATCCACGTATTACTGTTTCAGGAGGACAAAGCTAAGGAAGACAGCATGAGCAAACAGCTTTCTCTTAATCCCATGCAAATTGCCCACTTAAAGACCATGGGTCACACCCTGGGGCTGCAGTGACAGGGCAGAGGAAGGCAGCAAAGGGGTAGTTGGAACCAGCAGCACCAACAGGCCAGCTTGCTCCCAACATCATATCTGTCTGCATAACTCAGCAGAAAATCAACTGAACAACTGAATTGTTATGCAATTGTCTTCTAGCTGGGAAGGCACTTGAAAGTCACCAAATATTTCATTGCATACTAAGTCTCTACAGACCTGAGGAGAAAGACAAGAACCACAATCCCTTATTTACTTATGCAGTATAAGCAATATTTTTCTTCATGCTGATAAACTCATTCTGCATCCTGCATCTTCTCTGCAGTGAGACCTATGGCTGAACCTCTCATTCACACCACCATTACAGAAAGACCTTTGCCCATCCATTACTATGATGTGAATCCTCCACACACCCTGCCCATTGAAGTGAAAGTATATGCTCTCTCCTTTGTTCTTCACAGGTCTCTGGCAATATCTTATTAAGTCAATATCTTCACATACTATTTTGCCTTACCAGCTCCAAAGCCTTCCTTCTTTGTGACTGGACTCCCAGTGCCCACATTTCATACTCCTACATGACAGTCATCCTCATAACAGTACTGCATACTGGAAGACATTCTTCCAAGAATTTCTTGCAAGGTTTTTAGCAATTTTTCTGGAGACAGTTCACAAAGAAGTAAGGATAACACATTGCTGTGCTTTAACTCTGTCATGTCAAATGACAAACTGGTGTGCTGTGTGATTGTGCTCTCCTTTTTCAGACACACAAACACACTCCTCTAAACTCTTCTCATACATCTGCCAGGGAATCCCTACTCTGGCTGAAAAAATGAGCAAGCTCAGGAGAAAGTCAGTTTAAAACACTTGATGTACAGAGGATCGCTTTTATGCTTGAAAATGAAATTGCTGATGACAGCACATTCCTCAAATTCTGCCTAACCTCCAACTGACAGTTTGTAGAAAACAACAAGTTTCTTATATATAACAAAGCATTCATTCAAATAATTTAATTCATACTCAGAACCACAATTCATACTGAAAGAACAATAACATAACATGTATTGTAGCAATTTCGGCACAGATGGCAATTTATGCATGATTCTAACTGTCACTAAGGATTTCATACACCACGATAAAGTCTGATATTTTTAAAAACAAACAGACAAACATAAAAACATAACACATAATAGAAAATTAAGTTCTAATATTTGGGTACAAAAACCTAACAACCTAAAATCCAAAACAAAAAACAGAGTTAGCTCTTAACATTAATTCTTCTCATTAATGGCTATTACAGTGCTGTTTCCAACCATCTCTGACTCCCATATACGTGATAACATGTACATACAGATTCCATTCCTGCATTAGCAGCTTGTGTTTGAATAACAAACATCAGCACCAATACTACAGTATTCGCTTTCTTCTATCATAAAAGAGCACCAAGGATAATAACAATGTAGTTTCACAGCAGGACAAAAGCATGTAACTTGATGTTTTGGTCTTAAAGTCTTCATTTCATAGCAACCTACAACCATTATTTTCCATTTAAATCCATGGAATTATTCTTTAATAAGACATCTTTTTTTTTTTTTTAAAAAAAAAGAGCTCACAGCCATCTGTCTGCGTTCTTTTTACATACCTGAGGAGGAGATCACAGAGGAAGTTGTATCCTTGCCATATCCTAAAATCATCCAGTAGTGTTTGTGATACATCACTGGAATCTTTGAGAAAACAAGAAAGCCCAGCGAACATCTCAACTATTTCAAGGGGAGAAAGGTCATCAGATTGCTGCATGTTCTGAACACACGTGGACAAACATTCTTTTTCTGGAAAGAATTGTAAGAAATGTAGGATTTTACTGACATTAATCATTGAAATGAGAACAGTTTCTAAATGAAACATAGCAAAAAGTTAATGGTTACTTAATTATCTCTTATCATGCAACATGTAACCTGACAGAATGCCTAGAGATGAATAAGATTCTCCTGTAGCTTCAGATTCGATTCCAATCCTTTTTCTGCCAGCCCTGTCCTCCCTTGGATAATCTTTACCTCTCGAAGACGACGACTAAGCAGACAAATACCAACTTTTATTTGAAAAGTTCACCTGGGAAAATCAGTCAAACGAAAAAACAAATATGAACTGTTTTAATAATTCTAAAAGATCCTATTATGTATTTAAAAAACAGTTATAAAAAGCCCTAAACTATACTATGTTGCTGGTGTTATGTGTTAGGTCCAACCCAGAACATTAACTACATGGCTTCCCTGGTCAGCAATACCTTGGCTGGCAGTACATGCAGGCTCAAAGAATCCTGAGGCAAAGCAGACAGCTTGTCTCATTCTACACATTTCTTATGTTCCACTGGCACACTCCAAAAACCTTTCCCAAATCTATACTCAGATTTCAGGTTTCAAAGATATTCCTCTTCAGTGACTCCCTACTCAAACTTTCCAGTAAAAAGTTTCACAGAAAGGTGCGAGTATTTCTAGCTAGACTGATCAGAAAACTTCTCAGAAGTTCATATCAAAACCCAATACAGAGAGCATGTGAAGAAAAGCCTTAAATTTTCTCTAATATGAGTCTCCTGACACGCTATTATCTCTTAAGTGAGGTTCACTTCAGTGTACCATCATAAATCCATCAGAAGCTTGCTACAGTTGTATGTAAAGTAATTATCAGCTTTAAAATCCAATCCGAAAACATTTAACTGATGTCTAATTTGTGCTTCTACGAGATGCTGTACACTCACTTTTTTCTCACTGGAATTGAAAAGATGTTGCTAGTGCAAGAAAAAACAGAGATTAACATTTACTGTAAAGTATGCAGAGGCAGGATGACATCTTTCATAAATTGCCAAAAAGGTTTTGCAGCACCATGTAAAAATTTGCTTGCCAGAGTGTGGGGAAACAGTGACTTGTTTTCCCCCAGTAATCACAGACTACTATAATCTCTGGTAAGAATGTCAGCTCATTGAAACAAGCGTTCCAACTGAAAAAAAAATAAATATGTACTTAGATGGTACCACTGACTGAAAGCCCTAAATACAATGCCATAAATACGTCTTACCAAATTTCATATCTCAAACACTAAATAGCTCAACACTCATACAACTTTAAATTAATGCCACACCACTATTTTCATTCAGGTATTTGTTCTCAACGCTCTTCCCATGCATACTGTCCTCTCTGACACCAGTTGTCATTTCACTTTGCTCTGACAAGTCCTTTGCCACTAACCAGTGTGGCAGCAGCCCTTCTGAAGCAAACACTGAGCAATTCCTTTGAAGATGCACTGGGGGTAAAGTATTTGGTAAGTTAGCTTCTAAAATTTCTCACCATCTCCCCCTGTATGCTAGTTTCCATACCAAAAACAGGACACTTTCTCTCAAATAAGACCAGAAGGTAAACTGAATGATTCTGGCTCCCTCATTCTGTTGGTGGCTGGCACAGGAACTGAGAACAGTGCCCCTCTGAGAGGTGTGGGTAACAGCCAAGCAAAGGCCAGAGAGCCCTGGGCTAGGTGCTATGGATAATGTTTTTGGGCTTGGGGAGTTGGCAGGGCAGGCTGGATACAAGCTAGCTGTTCCAACACACCCTCAGTAAGTACCTGGGGGTTCCACATTCACACCACACTCCCTCAAGCATTTCCTAGTGTCTCTCTATTACCCAAGTTTCACTGTGTTCAGAGTATAACAGCCCCTTGATGTCCTGGATAACAGAGTAAACAGCAAATTACTGGTGGCTATATCAGTCTGACCCAGTACTTCCTGCAGAAGTGAAATGTCAAAGAACATTCTTTCAGCATATCTAAATTCGCTCTCCCTGATTTTCATAATGCACCAGTATTTACTACAGGGCAGATGCTTTTCTAGGCTTCTAATAACTCAAAATATGTCAGCAGAACACTCTGAGTTGGTTCCTCTTCCTGCAGCTTCTTCAGATGTCCCTACACTTGAGTTGCCAGCTAGTGCCTAGTACCTAGGCAAAGTGGCTGCTGCTAAATCAAACATCGGGCAGAAAGCAACAAAATTCCCTTAAGAATTAATTCTAGCAGCAAAAATGTCAAACCTATTCATCTGCACAATGAGCATTTTTCAGTAGAAGCAGTTACTGAAGTTACTCAAACAGTAGCAACAGTGAGACAGAATCTGTCTTCTTGGTTATCAGAAGCTCTGCAGCAAAGCAATAAGAAAACACTGCTGTTTTGTTTTAGATTGACATGCGTGAAACAAAATGAACTGAAAATACAAATGCCCTGAAATGAATGTCACATGTACATCAAGACCTAGGTCCAAACAAAAAGCCCGTGAGTTTTCTTTGATCTACAGTTTTCATGCCTATTTCAGCATTAGTAAAGCAATCAAAGATAAATAAATAACTAATACTGGAGAAAGACACATACCGTGAATGTATTTCACTACATTGACACTAAGGCCGTGACGCGATATGGTCATCAGAACTTCCCCTGCACTCTTCCTCCAAGGCAGATTATAGGGAGGGCACCATGACGTTATTGCACTGAATAAAAGCTGCAAATCATCCTTTTGAGCCAGTTCTTCCGCAGGGGACACAAAACTGCACAGTTTTACTAAGATCTGAAACAGTAAGTCAGTAAACGTCTAGCATTATTATCTTACTATTGGTATTGCCATTTCTGCCTAGACTTAGGAAAAGTTAAAACTTCCTTCCATGTAGTGTGCATGTTAGAAGCAATGTGCTTTTCTCCCTTTGCTTATTAATTTAAAATAGAAGAACAAAGACAAGGCTATTTAACACGTGGCTACTCCAGGACTCAATTCAGGTGAAGATTATTAGCAAAACACTAGCAGCAGAACTTAAATCTCTCAGGTAAAACAGCATGCTTGTTTTGGGTACCAGCATATTCCTTCCTTCTATAATCAGTCACTGACTGACTCACAGGTTTGAATCCTGCAGTGGCCCAAAGGCTCCGAGAGGCAAATCATTATGTTCCTTCCTAATGCAGGGAATTTTACTGAAAAGCTACTGGCAAAGCAACATCTGTACCTTCTCAATCAACAAAAACAGCCCAGAAAGCTTGATAGGGCTGTAGTGTTGCTGTAGCCTTTCCTATCTGAAGCCTGGATCTGAATTGCCAGATTACCTTAAACAAGACAATACAGAATCACAGATCATAGAATTGCTCAGGTTGGAAAAGATCTTAAAGATCATCAAGTCCAACCATGACCTAACCATTCTACTCTAACTAGCAACCCTCCACTAAACTACATCCCTGAGCAAAGGCAGGTTATATATATATATATGTAATATGCAGCAGTGCAGCCTGTCAGTACACTATGTGTTCTCTTCTGTGCATTTTCTAAGGACATTTATTGTTCACTTTCTGTTTTCTGCAGCAAGCTGAGGCTCTTTCCCAGAAAACATAAGGAAGATTTTGGAAAGCTACCTGCAACCCGAGGAGTTAAAACAAAAAGCAGAGCATGGGGGCTACCTGAAGCCTCACCCATTCCAGCTAACTCATTTCAGAGCACTACTTGATGGCCTTTGATGAGGGATAGAAAAGAGCAGAGAAGTAGCATATTAGGGAAACAGTATTTAGGTAGCTTCCACCATTTTTTAACTCCGCCAACTGAAATACAGCAATGCAATTTCTGAAGGGTAGCTCAAAGCACATCACGATTTCTGCTTCAGAAGAAAAAGTGCTGTACCAGGACAAAAAAAGCCAAAAGAAGAAAATGGCTACGTTCCAATGTAGTGACTGTCACTGGGCAGATAGTGTAGCTAGTGATTGTGAGAATAAGTCTGATCTTTATTTTTGTAGCACAGGCATCAAAATGCTGCACAAATTTACACTTACAAATCTCAGCACTGCCTTCATATCACTGAAGGTGATGATTACCAACAGGCTCCTACAGTTTTGTGTGTGTGGTTACGTAGTTCCTTCCAATGTGTATGTAGAAACTGACAGTATGACCATTGAGCCTGCTCCTTCTAATAGTTTAGCCATGAGAACATATGGAAATTCCTTCACAAAAACTCCATTTGAAACTTGGAAAGCAGGAGCAGGTTCCCTGGTCTCCCTGGCAAATCTGTAGAAAAGCATCTGGAAAAACATGAGGGATAACTCTAACAGTAAATGCAAGCTAAGATGGTTTACCCTCATAGTTAAATTATTTCCAAATGCATGATTTACTTCTTTAAGTAAAAGGAAATCAGGATATGTTAAATTAACTCACAGATAGTTAACAGTACTCATATTTTTTACTATGTCTATTTCAATCAACAATGGCCAAAGATACCATACATCAGACTAAAGCAGAGCAATAGCAAACGCTTTGCTCCCTTTAGAAAGCTGTGTGAAAGAGGTGCAGTAATTTTTTTTTGAAGAAACACTTGCTGAGGACAGAAATCACAGGACAAACAGGACAAGACTTTAACCTCATCTGTGCTTCCAGAAACTCTAAGACTGCAGTTTGCAAAGAATCAAGTGAGAGCAGTTTCTGGAGATTTCTCATGAAGCATTTCCCCTCTTTTTGTAAAATCTATGACCTATTTTACCTTTCTTACCTGTACAAAGACTTTCTGTAGTAGCGCTCGGCGCTCTGCGAGAGGTAGCTCATTCTGTGCTCCTCCAACTACCTCAGGCACGTGTGGAAGGTCAAAAAACAGATACAGACATTTAACGAGTGTGGAAGGCACTGACATTGTAGTCATGCAGTCCACAGTTTTCTGGGGAGAAAGAAAATAGAGCAAAACCACAGCTGAGCAGATTATTACATTCAAAATGTTATGCTCCTGTAATACAGTTGACTCAAACACTGGTTTTTCCTTCTAACACTTCCAAGCTGTCCAGGTGGCAGTACAGACTGACCATCTATTTGCAAACACCTACCTAAATCGTAACCTTAAAAATAGCATCCTAATTTATTTACACTACAATAGCACCTAACAGCCACAGTCAGAAGCAGTCCCTACAGAAACTAAAACCAACAGCCTCTGCCAATAGGAGCTTGCAAGTTGATTACAAAAGTTCAGCCAAACCCTCATTAACTGGCTACTTAACAGTAGGAATGAGCATACAATTAGTCAATACACGCATTTGGATGGCAAGAAGTTAGAAGTAGGAATAAGGAGCAAAGCAGAAGAAAATAAGAAAGCATCATCGGTAAGGAAAGCCAAATTGGGCAGAGACTGGTGACATATTAAATGTATGGCAGACAACATGCTGAATAATAATGGCAAATTAGAGCAGAAAGAGCAAACCACACAGCAGCCTGTATGTTGCCACAGATTGGTTCTCGAACGTGGGCAAAGAGCGGAACCAAAGGCAGAAGCAGTAATGTTTGTGATACCATTTGTTCGTCATTGCTTTTGGCTTCCCCTTCTAGTAATGCATCCTACATAAATTGGGGGGCAGGCATGTATTGAGACTGAGCGATTTAGGTAGTGCATGTGACATGAATCTCTTTGGAGGCTAAGCAGCAGCATGTTCAAGAAGCCTTTGGGGAACAATAACAATTGCCTGCAATAATTCTAACTTCAAGTTCCAAAAGAACAACTTTTAGGCAATTGAAACCACCAGGAGCTGAAGCGGAAACTCTGTGGCAACGCAGCAGAAAAAAAAAACCTTAACACAGGAAGTAGAAAGTAGCCTAGAACATCATTTAGTGTGTGTTCTCACAGTTCATTATTGTGATTCTTGTGCATCTCCAAGCCCACAACATTCATTAAGCATTGCTGTTTAAGACTAACCTGTCCTGACGAAGCTAGCAAATTAATTGTAGTGAGCAACATCCAACCTCTACTTGCTTCTTCACTTTGATTGATCTCCAGAAACTGGACGATAGCACGACTTGCAGCCTCTGTAAGGGGAACAAGGTGAAAAGAAGGGAAAAGAAATAAAAATTTAGTTTTGAAGTCTGTAGCATGGAAAACTTCCTCTCAACAGTCTGTGCACTAAGCATGAATTCAGCTCTAAAGCAATGCTTGCAGGAAAAAAAAAGTAATAATCAAAAAAAGGCAAGAAAAGGACTAGGTTCAGGCCTATTCTCTCTCAACAGGCATTCTTGTCTTCCACGTGCACTTGGCTTTGACACTAATCTAGGCTGTAAAAAGTATTATGTTTTCAACCAGCAGTCAAATTGTGCAGTTGCAAGCAGCAACTGTTCTTTAAGTATTTTGGGTTTACCAAACACGATTTACTCTTTTTCAGGTGTATTAATTCACTATCACTTAAGAGTTTCAGTGGGAAAAGCCAATATTCATGGCCTAGGGCCAGAGGGAAAAAGGGGGGAACTGCACTGAAACAACAGTATGGAGAATAATTGGACAGGACTAAAGGGAAAGAGATGCAAAAAGCCAGAAGGAATAAAAACAGGAAAATAAAAAAGGTAAAAAAGACCAACAACTACCTCAGCACCATCCTACTGGGTTTTTTTTGTGAGATGAAAATGCTAACAACTTATGGTTACTTAGCATGAAGAAGGGAACACTTTTGGAATCAGAAGTCATTCTACACCAATGAGAGCATAAGTTAAATATTCAGCTTGGGAAATAAGTTATCATCCTAATACGAGCAAAATACAATACGAACAAGAATATAAATGAACTAAAAATGAAGTCACTGCTGTCTATATATATGTGTGTTAAGACATCTGTAACGCCAATAATGGGAAGTGCCCAAAATGCTTAAGGAAAATCTAAAATCGTTTTGCATTAATACTGTACATCAATCATCTTCAAAGCTTTCAATGTCAGCTAGAACAGAAAAAGAAGTAATACTGATGAAGAGAGGAATTACAATGAAATTACAAAACAAGAAAGAAGTCTGCAGTTGAATCCAACTTTAATGTTGTTTTGTCTGCTCCATCTTCTGTCAGATTCCCCACAATATACCTGTGCAGGAGCTTGTTCTAAGGTAAATGCACCCCGTACTTGAAACTTGCTGGAGAATATCTTGAGTGTTATGCCCAGCTTTGGTCCCACCCCAGTACAGGAAAAATGATGATGAAAAGGAGTCAGCAGAGGACAACCGAAACATCAGAGCACTGCCCTGTGAGGAGAGGCTAAAGAAAACCACGACCCACTCAGCACAAGGAGAGATGGCCCTCTGCCCACAGAGAGCAGCCCCAGTGCTGACAGCAGGGATGCTACGAAGAGTCGGAGCCTGGCTTTTCACAGAGACCCAAGGCAGGAGACACATGGCTTAAACTGAAACAGAGACCAGACTGTGTGTAAGGAGACCTTCCCCCTCTGCAGGCAGCCAGACACTGGGACTGTACTGGTTCCAGCCTTGGAGGTTTTCAAGGCCTAAGAGGCCTTGCAAAGAAAATGTGGTTTTCACTTATGTCCAGAAAAAAAAAAAAACAACCTTTGAAGTCATAATCCTAAAGAAAAAGAGTCAGAAAGAAAGATCACAGGTAAAAATTAACACTTGTTCTGGTTTTGTAAAGGTTGTTTTTCAAAGAATTTGTTTTTGCAGCCTTATTTTGCCCTACAATTTTTCTGTACAAACCACCGGGTTTTCCAAGTCTGGAATTAAAGTAAGGAGAGGTATTCACCAAATCCCTGAATGGGACTGACCAAAATAAAATCAGACAGGTCTTCCCTTCACTTTGATATTGCAGGTTCCAAATGGTGGACACAGCAAACAACCACTTAGTTGCCAACTTACCATTCCGGGTGGGCAGTTTGTTTTCTGAAATAATTGGTCCTAAAAATTGGCCATAAACAGGAAAGAGTGGTACAGAACAAACAGGGTACCAACAGCCTCCTTGGGACACAGCTTACAAAAGCCACCTGTGGAACACAGGCTCTCTTGGTATCTTTGAAAGTGAGAGACTGAGAGGTTAGGTATGTGCTTCTGAAAAAGCTGCCACGCTGCTGGCATTCTAAACAGCAGAGCAGTCAAGCACTATAAATAGTTACTTCATAACTGTCAGTCTTAATTGAGCAGTACCTAAAACACAGACAGGATTTAAAGTGCAGGAATACATTCTTTTGTCATCTGCTCTGAGCAAATTTGACAGCACTGCTATTCAGGATTCACTTCTGTCGTCAGCACTAGCCTTACTTTATTGCTTGTAATTTTTCCTTGTTTTGCAGTGCTCAAGAAATCCTTTTGATACAACACTCTGTGTGCCTGACCCAACGGCCTCAGTCCTTTAACGTCTGCACAAGAAGCCACAGAATCTAGAATTTGGATGTGATAGCTAATAACAGCAAGGAAGCAAAGAGATAAAGAACTTGAACGTAACATCCAGACATAAATACCTTGACAATTCTACAGGCATGGGTGGATAACTATGATCACAGTTATGACCATAGTGAGTACATAGTGAGTCAGATTTTTCAACACTGAGCTGGTAAATACAGTAAAGAGGCTTGGTAGAATACAGTGACCAAAGAAATTTCATACAGAAGAGGCAGGCAGGGATGCTTTGTGTCTCCGATTTCAGAAAAGCAGCAGATAGAGACCTACAGGATAAGCTCTATTCAGATTGCTAACAAAAGCAGCGCTGCATTAAAGGAAATGTTCCTGCCTATAGCAACAGCAGTAAGGATTAATTCAGCATTTACGTAGACATTCTAGTAAACAGAACAATATCACTGCGCTATTTCATATTGTACTGCTATCTTTAGTATAGTATTAATGGCAAAAGCCTAGGTAAGGTAGGTAAGGAAAGTATCCATATGCACACCAGAGTGCGTGTTGGCAGTAGGGCTTTTCACGGACCCCTCTTCTAAGCAAGCCCCCACTGCTCTACAAGAAGAATACCTGGAAATACACTCAGATGCCCAAGGGAGCATATAGTTTCAGTGGGACAAGTAAGAGAAGCATCAACTTAAACTAAAGAGGCAATAAACCTTTGTTCCATCAGGAACAATGCAGTGTTGTCATCACAAGCAAGAGATATGAAGGGGCTGATCCTTTTGCCACGTTAAAGAATGGGAGGGCTTGCTCAGCAAAAGATAAACAATTCAATGGTGCCAGCACTTCACTAACCCAGCTGATAAAAGAATCAGCTTTCCAGGATGTCACACTTCACTTACCTCATGTAAGATCTAATAAATAGCGTCTAAGATTAATTAAAAGGTTAACAGAAAGAAATAAGATGCACCGTCACTGACCAAGACTGATTCCTCATGGCTAACAGATAGGGCTCTGCTTCCCCTTTGGAGCTGCTTCTGTAAATTCAAAATACAATCACCGTGTAAAGCTAAGTCACCTACAGGTCAAGGGGAAAACACAAGGAAGAAAACAGGATAATGTAGTTACAGCAGGTCAGCTCACCTTCAGCCTACTACTCTATGCTCAACAAACAGCTAACTAGCATGTCTCTGTGTAGCCCCTAACTCCTCTGTTAGCAAGATACAGCCCCAGTGCTTCCAAGAGATGCAGACACTACAAATAACACTATCAGAAAAACTTCAGACCTCAACGCGGAAGAAGCCTGAAAGGCCACTTGTAGAAGATACGCATTCTTAAACGGCCATCTACAACGCCTAACAAAAACAAGATGCACTTGGACAACACAAAATATCATTTAGCACTTACCAATTTAAAATAAACATTCAGTTCTGCTGATAGTGGCAGATGCCAACCGTAGTAAAAATGCAAAATACGGGCAGAGTTTGCAGATCAATAGAATTTAAAAGGGAAAAATAAAGGCAGATATTGTCAGAGGCTGAATATAAACCACTGATGTGGTTTTCTACTACAGCTAAACATTATGATGAGGAATGTTATCAATTTGGTCTCCCAACATGGCTTTTAAGATAGATAATGGCTGTCTTTTAGCTTGTGAACTACAGAAATGCAAAAGTTAAAATATTTTTCTTTTACTGGTCAAACAGTTTGATTAAAAAAGGGGAGAAAAAAAACAACAACAATAGGGTGTAAATAATAAATTAAGAAGTTGTTTCTGAAGGGAAGGAGGGATTAGTTTAACAGTCTTGAGCCATGGTAAAACAAGTGAATTTAGTATGAATTTGTAAATACTGTGACAGATTCACAGAGAGCGTTGCAAATATGGAATGATATGTTGCTTAAAATTAACAAGGTGAGACAAAAAAGAGAATTTAAAAGCTGCCTAAAACAGTGATGTACACAGAGTAGAACCTACACTGAATAATTTAAAAAAGAAAAGAAAAAAACCAACACTTGAAATTCACCTTAAAAGGGGTTAAAATATTCCAGCCCTATGATGAATCTTTTTATTTTCTCACTCTGGGACTTCCTGGGCAGAAGGTACAGTACTCAGTGGAACGACAACCCAAAAGGTCTTTGGCTTGTGGCAGCTGTGCCCCAAGGAGCAGCTCTCCCATCCCATCGCACAGCAGCCAGCTCAGCACAGAAGGCCTGGGGTAGCACCCTGCCCTACACTGACCCAGCTGCAATCCTTCAACATACACGCAAGTTCTGATGCCTGAACTCATTTTTGCTGCCATTTTTGCCCCAGGCACAAATTATAATGATAGGCCAAATGTATTAGGGCATGTTGTTGAAATACCTAGGCTATATATTTATTTCATCTTGCAGCAGTGGTGATATAACAGGAAGAGCTTGCCTCCAAGGTATGTGTTTTGCAAAATACATAAGATGAAGTGATACTTGGTCCCCATCATCTGTAGCCAAAGTGGCTGTTAGCAACCACATTCATTCTATCAACATTCCAACAGTCTCTGCACCTCGTTTCAGCAATCTATCTTTTCCAACTCAGAGCCAGATGCTCCCAAAAGGTTTTTTTTTTCAGAACAGACTATGCAAGAGACAGAGGAGATTAGCCATCAATTTTAGTATAGCACCACCATGATCTTTCAATCAATTCAGACATGAAATGAGATGCATTTGTTGAAAATCTGACAGCTAAAACCCTCAAGAATTCAGTAACCCCACCACCTTCCCAAACAAAATAAGTTGAGGCAAGGGAAAGCACACATCAGTTCTCATAGAGATGGTGACTGCAGTCACCTGCAAATCATGACTGCTCTACAGGACAGACCTCAGAGTGAAAGAAAATCTAACAGTTCTAATGTCCTCATCTTTATTACTCCATGGCATTCATACTGCAGAAATGGTACAGCTGAAACTGTAGTTCAACACTACAATGGCAGTGTTAAGAGACTACGTAAGATAGAATGCTGGCACAGTTACTACTGAATCATGAAATGCTGTTCCGAGAAAATAACTGCAGTTTGCCAAGAATAACTGAGATGTGTCTGTGATGGCAGGCATTATTCACACAGCTACTACTTTAAGTATTAAAAGATCTGATGAAAAAACTGCACTGTGCTCCATCACAAGACCAAAAAAAATCAGGTAACATTTATCATACCACAGTCCCAACTAAGAAACACTGCCAACTGCATTTACATCTTTAAAGAGAAAAAGCAAGTTCTTTGAAAATTCCTTCCCTTTTGTTAACTAAAAGGGAAGTTCACTTCTAATAATCTTTGTGGGGAAATCTTGTTTCTAAAAACAAGCTCAGCAATTTTGTTCATTTAAACATGACATGAAGAACTTGCATTCAGACATTCTCAGAGATATTTCTCACATAGAGCTGTTACTCTAAAAGCATGCTGGAAGATACAGTTACCTACTAATAGCTATTAGGATACACTGTGTTATATTGTTTCATAGAAAAAGGACCTTTACAACATTTAAGCATAATTATTTTGTCTCCGAAAGAGACAGTACTTTTAAAAAGCCTAGCTCTTTTCAGTGTTACAGGGGACATTCACCTAGCTCTAAACAGTTCAGCACAGCAGCACAAAAAACATGAATTTTAACAGTTTGTTAACTGGACATTGACAGAGAGCAAAATGCAACTCTGTGGCCTGGCCAAGAGTCACAGTGCATGGAGCTCGCTACAAGGGCTTCCCACACTCAATCTAAAAAAATTGTATCAATGGACATGATGGCACTCTCAACTGTAGCAAAAAATACAGTACTGTTTTCCTCCTAATAAAACTATTCCTACTCATAATATTAAAGCTTACAAGAGTACTAACCTGTGTTTTTAAGTCACTGTGGTTATGTTTCCTAGCAAAGAAAAGAACAAAAGAAAAGCCCCAAAGCTCAACAAAAAAAAAAACTAACTTCTGGGGCTGCAAGGATGCAAACTGGGCCATCTTGGAGCAGCCTGGCAGAGATAATGGGTGAAGAACTAAATAAATAGATGGCCGTTCTTAGCAAGATCCAGCAGAGAGGTGTGACAAAAAGGTCCCCGGCAAAAAGAACATTCAAGCCAACACCACCCTTCTGCTGGCTGGACATTCATGTCTCTTGTATACACATGAACACTGTGCTCCTGCTTTCCCCACAGAGTACAGGTTCTATCTGCCGTAGCTGTTTGTCCCTCCAGGATACCTTCCTGTTATTCACTCTACTTAAAATTGAAAGAAATTACAATCGGCACAATTTGTGACTCCTGACATCACGTGTAATACTTTGCAGAGCCTTTTTTAGCTCGCTATTTCCTCATTTGCCACCAAATCCAAACTGAGAAGCCAGGAGAGAACTTAAAACCATCTGGAAGGCAAAAAAACTTGATATTGCTCAGAAAAACTCTCCTCTTGCCAGGAAACAATGCTCAGATAAGGAAGTCAAAGAGGAAGGTTAAGGCAACACACCTTCCCAGCACATCATCCTTCAAAATGCAACTTCCAGAAAGTAGTCAGGGTCTTACACACCAATGGTTCAGCACAGAACGAAGTCTCCCTCAGGCATTCAACAAACAGACCTTAAAGAGGGGCCAAGACATATCTTCTCAGTGCTGGGGATGCTGGTCCTAATGTTCTGCTCACCATAATTCCGCATCTTTCTATTAGCTTTCAGGCCAACAGCTAATTTAAAGGTACAATTTAAATACAAACATATCTGAGGGACAAAACAACACCAAGAGACACAATGAGGAAGCTACAGCGGCCATCTCCATGATCTTTTGTGTCCTCCTACTAGATGAGGCATCTCAGTGTACTCCCATCTTCAACATGTTATCAAGTTTGTGGAACTTAATTGTCTTTATATTCAACTCAGGAGGACTATACTCAGGAGGACTCAACTTGCCTCATTCTCTCAGTCCAAAGAAACAGAACATGTTTTCCCTGTTAAGACTTCAGTGTCCACACTTCATCACATACAAAAGCTCAACTCTGTGCCCCATGCAGTACCTGTGGATTTATTCGATGCTCTCCGTCGAATTTCAGTCACCATCAATCGTGACACTTGAGTAGTGAATTGTAAGAGATCAGAAAATTTTTCTGTCATTGTACTTGGAGGAGCATTTCCAAACACCTAAAATAAAAGAAAAATAAATAAATTTTAAAAATCGTACTACTTACATGGATCATTATAAACTGCCACTTCCTCACTGCAAACAGAAGATATCACTACTGAGATCACTTTTTTTTCTGCTGCATTATTCATCCTTGTACTGTTTTTTCACAGTGCACATTATAAGATATAAGTATACATGAAATTATGTCATCATACAGGGAGGAAAGATCTGACAAATAAAGGGGGAAAAAAGAGAACCATGAATTTTCTTGCATAACAAAAAACTCCCAGAGTGGGAAAGACCAGATTGCACACTAAGTGATCCCACAGGACTTCTGTTTTAAGAGCAACTGTTTCCTGGACCAACACATCCCATGGGGTGAACTCCAAGTACAGAATGATAAGCATGAAACATTCCAGAAGACTATCCCAGGAAGCCCCACAGGTCCCACACATCCCAACACCTCATTTGCCTTTCTCGAGATCCTCCTTAATCACAGAAAATCACAGAACGGCCAGGGTTGGAAGGGACCTCAAGGATCATGAATCTCCAACCCCCCGCCATAGGCAGGGCCACCAACCTCCACATCCAATACTAGACCACACTGCCCAGGGCCCCATCCAACCTGGCCTTGAACACCTCCAGGGACGGGGCATCCACAACCTCTCTGGGCAGCCTGTTCCAGTACCTCACCACTCTCTCTGTAAAGAACTTCCCCCTGACATCCAACCTAAATCTTCCCTCCTTCAACTTAAAACCATTTCCCCTTGTCCTGCATAACACATAACATTAGTAGTCATTAACAATTTTTTTAAAATTAATTGTTGCTTAATTCTACTAATTTACTCTTCATGATTAAATATTGGTTTGATGATAAAATCACCTGTTGATTCACAATTAACAGCAAGATACTTGTTAACTCTATAGAACTGCACAAAGTTATAGAACATGAAATTATCTTGGAAAGAGTTCAAAGTTGCTTTGGTAATTCACTTGTCATAAAAGACTACACCCAACAAGGAGTCTCTATCTGCTTATCTGAGGTACTCATCTCACAAAACAAGAGAGTCCCAAGAAAGGCATGTTAGATATTAATTACTGAAAGAAACATCTCTTCCACATTCTGGTGCCATCACTTGTGTCAGTGCTGAAAAAATACAATAGCCTTCTGAATATCTGAGTATCTGAGTAGGGTAGGGAGGCCCTTCAGAGGGATTTAGATAAGCTGGATCGCTGGACTGAGGTGAATGGGATGAGGTTCAACAAGGCCAAGTGCCGGGTCCTGCACTTTGGCCACAATAACCCCGTGCAGTGTTATAGGCTTGGGGATGAGTGTCTGGATGACTGTGAAGAGGAAAGGGACCTGGGGGTGTTGGTTGATGCTCGGCTGAACATGAGCCAACAGTGTGCCCAAGAGGGCCAATGGCATCCTGGCCTGCATTAAAAATAGTGTGGCCAGCAGGAGCAGGGAGGTGATCATCCCCCTGTACTCAGCACTGGTGAGGCCGCACCTCGAGTATTGTGTTCAGTTTTGGGCCCTTCACTACAGGAAAGACATTGAGGCCCTGGAGCGTGTCCAGAGAAGGGCAACGAAACTGGTGAGGGGTCTGGAGCACGAGTCCTATGAGGAGTGGCTGTGGGAGGTGGGATTGTTTAGTCTGGAAAAGAGAAGGCTCAGGGGAGACGTCATCACACTCTACAACTTCCTGAAGGGAGGTTGTGGTGAAGAGGGGTTTGGCCTCTTCTCCCAGGCAACAGACAGGACTCAGGGAAATGGCCGCAAGTTGTATCAGGGGAGGTTTAGGTTGGACATGAGGAAAAACTTTTTCTCTCATAGAGAGGTCAGGCACTGCCATGGCTGCCGAGGGAGGTGGGGAAGTCGCTGTCCCTGGCAGTGTTCAAGAGGCGTCTGGATGAGGAGCTGCAAGATCTGGCTTAGTAGCTTGTGGTAGCAGTGGTAACAGGAAGACGGTTGGACTAGATGATCTTATAGGTTGTTTCCAACCTTGTGATTCTATGATTTAGATGTGTATCTTGGTACTTCTCTGCCTGTTGACTTCCCCCCCCCCTCTCCTGGCTAATTGCATATCCTGTAAGAGCATCGCTAACAAGCCAGGGTACTTGGATAACATTTGTTTTTAACTTTTTTTTTTTTTAAGTAACATTTTAGGTCAACATGTCATATTCACTTCTCAACAAGGGAATGAAATCACTAACAGCAGATTTGGACTCAAATGCTCTTCAGCCTCTTCTCCCTTTCTCCTTTATTGGTGCTACTGTTGCAGGTGAGCTGTTGACATATCTGAGGTCACTCGGAAGTCTGGGTTCCTTCAATGACATCCAGAACATCACAGTGAACAGGGATGCAAGGCAATTGTGGCACTGAGTAGCTCTGCAATTGACAAGTTACTTAAAAAAAAGTCTAATAAGCTAGAAGATTAAATGATCTTTCTTAAGGGCATTTTCTCCAATCTTCCCCCTCCCAGTGCTTTAGCAGGAGGTTGGATTCGATGATCTCTCCCTTCCAACTGCTGCAATTCTGTGATTCAATTCTGTGTGTAAAGTTTTATTTCTTACTCCTTCACTCAGTGTCAATAGTTCTGGCATGTTAGAGAACAGCCAAAAATATTTCTCCTGCCTACTTGCATTTCAAAGACATGCTGAAACAGAGCCAGAAATACAAAATTAAAATTAAACACTATTTCCGCACTATAAAAATAGTTTTCACCAGAAACTTAGGTGTTTCTAACATAGGAAATTTCAGCTGCCATTACCAATGAAAAAAGCAGCCCAGGCACTGGAGGCAGTGGTTGACTAAGAAACACCTGCAAACTGAGACTGCAAAGCAGGGAGCATTCCAGCATCTTTCACAAAACTGACAGGCTACAAAAGGTGAGGAGGGCCCCAACGCGTTCACATTCCCTGCCATGACCTACTCAAGATCAGTCAGACTAGAACATACTGGCAGAGTACCTTGTTATCGCTTACTGCTTAAAGCTCAGACCAAGGAAAGAAGAAAATGGATTGGCACACTCTCTGTCTTAAGATGGCTAATTGCCAAAAGATCATAAGAAAGGCAGAGTGTTCACAGCTGCAATGAATGGCTGACTGAGGAGATCTAGTTTGAAATGTTTTGCCTCACAACCGAGGTTGCACTAAAATAAGCACGTTGGCATACTCCTTGACTAAAGGCAGTAACATACATGGAACAGGATACGAAGCATTTTAACAGTAAGTTGTCTTTTTTTTTTTTTTAATAACAAAAGGTGTGGTTCTTCCCAGAAAATTTAAGTAATTCACTGTATTCAAACATCACTTATTCAAAATATTAGCCTCTCCATCCATCCATTCACTTCTTTCATATACCTCAGGAGCTTTGGTAGTACGAAGTAGCACAAGGTGCTGTAAGCACCACACCGCTTCTGAGAACTGAGCTCGTATGGATGCAGATCTCTGAAAGGAAGCTTCTGAAAACTTTTCCAGAGTACCGATATTTCATGATTTACGTACTGATTTAGCTTTTTGTTACTTCATGATTTGCTATTTCACAAGCCTCCCTGAACAATGAGGAAACAAATGTTCCAAACACCCATTCATTAACAAAAGTAAGATAGTTTATGCTGCAGCAAGCTTCAGACACCCCACATCTATAAACAGATGGCTGCTCTTGCACCTCTGATTAATAATCCTCAAAATAATCAGATAGAACCTCATTCCACACAACATTTCAGTTATCTCTGCCAAATCAATCAGTCTTAGGTGGTTAAGCAAAAAAGCACCTGATTCATTAGCTGCCTGATGCTAGCCACATGCATACCCATGCAATGCAGGCTAATGCCTCACCCTAGGTCTCTGCATCCAGTAAAAATCACCATCGTGTGCTTGGCTTATGGCAGCACTACTACAAGTACACAATCTACTTTATACAACGTAACTGAAGGATTCGGGATCCAATTCAACCAAGTTATTAACTGATACCATGAAATGTTTGCAGCCATTATCTTTGAGAAACAAGATTCTTAAAAAAAAAAAAAAGGAATATCTGGCAATGTTCTGATGTTTTCTTTCAACAGAAGCAGGTCTCACAGGAAAGCCACCTCCAAATTTAGTGTCCATCAAGCCATCTCAGAATCAACATTCACCAGTTCTTCCACTGAACATTCTATGTAAGGCTTGTAATTAAAAGAAATATTTCACCCCTTCTAATTTTTTTTTATTTCAATCAACTTCTGACTTTGCCTTAGTCTGTCTTGCTAAACTGATGGGATTTTCCCAACATAGTCAGCTGATACTCCAAAAAACACAGGTCTAGATATGCCAAGAAAACCACCTGCAGACTTCAGGCATAATCCTCAAAAGAAGGCGGCATTAACCAGCAACCTAAAAAAGAGAAACTACAGAATTCAAAATAAATAGATGACATTGCAATTCTTCAACCTCTTACACACAAGATGACAAAAATGAATTTGTGCAAAAAGCACAGGGAAAAAAGCCTGCAATAGATAAGATTTGAGTGAAATCAGTTTTGTTTGTGCTACACTAACAGTTTGTTGATAACTCATAATGTTTATCAGTGACTGCACAATTAGGAAGAAAAGAGCACAAATAATATGTGATTTCAACACTGCACTAGACAAAGGTTCTGAATTTACAGAGGCTGGAAAATGAAGGGACCACATCTGACAAAGGCCTCCATTTGAGGCAAAAGGATAACTTCAGTATAAAGTTCACCAAGGAAAGGAAACTAAAGGTTCTTCAGGATTTAGGAAATTAAGAGCCTATCAACAAAGTTCAATGACATACAGTGGAGGAGAGACATGCATAATTTAGGGAAGGAAAACCTGAAAAAACAGGGAAAAGAGTAGCCAAAATGCCCTCCTACAAACGGAAACAGCTGAAGACACGCATACCATCTTGAAATCTTTAGACTTGGTGTCTGAGAACAGGTAGGCAAGAGCTGATTGTGAGTAGAAAGAAACTTACAGTTAGTGGATTTGGGGGGTTTTTTGTTTGTTTGTTTGTTTTTTCAGAACACTTGTTCAATGTAAGTTGAGCAAGAAACGGTGAGTGAGAACAAATGATGCAAAGACATGGGATAACTAAAATTGAGATATAACAGGATTAAGAAGAGACAAAGAAGTATTAGATGGAAAAGCAGGAGAGTTGGAAGAAAGTGGAGTAATAAAGAGAAATTTTAAACTCCCTTTTTATCAAGTCTAATTAAAGACATAAGTAGGACACCGACTGCTGCACCATACTCCTGCAAACTCAGCTGTATCACCAACTGGGGGGTTCTGTAACTACAGTGCTACAACTAAGCACTACCAGGGCTCAGGAACAAACAGTTTCTTTGCCTGCAGACTACAACGCAGTGCTGAAGTGAATACAGTTGGTATCCTTCCCTCTCAGAGGCATCAGCCACCTGAAACCACCAGAGGGAGAATTCCAGGTGTAATTGCAACAAAACATTATTCACAGGCTCAAGCCAAGATTCCACTGTGCATGTTTGTAAAAAAAAAAAAAAAAAACCAAAAAACAATTAAGAAAGTTTATGGCTAGAGGGCATACAAGCCATGCAGATAAATTAAGGAGGAAGTGGATGAACTGAGTTTTTTTCTCCAAGGCTCACACAACAGGTTACCTGCAGCACTAGGAATAAGACCCACAGCAAAAGAATGACATTTAGGGAGGTTTATCTACTGAAGCATACTCTTGAGTAGCCTGAAAATCTTATTAGCACTATATCTAGGCAAGGATTGCTTTTTCTACACAACATGCAAGCAGTCCAATGTGTAACACCATCAAAAGCCATATGTTCAACAAAACATCAATCTAGAAAAAGAACTGGTTTTCCAATTAAGTTTTTCCCTTTTATAGCTTAATCAATGATTCCACTTCTCCACAGTAGCACACATGACCAGAAATCCATCATTCAAGAGGAGATTCAGTAAAAAGAGCTCAGGTCACAGCAGGAAAAAGATAAATGTAGATCTCTGTATGTACTGCTCAATCAAGAGCCTAAAGCCACTGCTGAAGTTATTAGGCTCAACGAAGCGGCAAAGGAACTAAAAGGGATATAAGGCATGGAGAGGATTTAGCTCCTATCAATGCCAGTAGCAGCAGTCACAGCCCTGCTCCAAGCCATCTCAGTGCCTGAGCACAGGGGGCAGTAAAATAGGAATGTCACTGCACATGCAGCTATTGGATCCTCGCTGAAACTCCTCTTGCCTAAGAAGAGTAAAACAGATTCACATACGAAAAAGGCTGCGAGAGCAATCAGAATAGAGAATTTATCACATGAGAAAAGATAAAAAATGTTCAGCTTGCACAGCCTTGCAAAACCAAATCTGACAAGAGAGAGCATGATTGTTATCTCTAAATATGCATTAATACAGTAAGTGTCAAGAAAGGAGAAGTGTGATTTAGGCTCAAGGACAGTGCTGACACACAAACAGATGGGTACAAACCTGCCACAGCTAATCTTAAGCTAGAAATCACCTCTAAAAGAGAATAAAGACTGCTGCAGCAGACAACTTCACCCTGGAAAACATTGCATAGGGTACTCTGTTTCCCAGAAGATAAAGGTGCCTACAAAAACAGTAAGTTGTGCAGGAAAGCTGTCTGAAGCTACATCCCGCCATGGGGTGCATCTCAGAAACAGTCCTGACAGAAGAAAATCTCCAATGAGGGGTTCATCCACTTACACAACAATACACGAGGAAAAGATGGAAAAAAGATACAGGATGCCAACAAAAGAGCAAGTTCTATTCTGCTAGAACCAGAGATCCTGAGGAAACACAATAAGAGCAGTTGGTTACAAGAAAGCAAAAGTCTCTCACAGACTCTCTGGCTTACCCTATTAAATACCGGCAGCATCATGTACAGTTTTTCCTCCTGTTCTTTCTGGGTCATATGCCGGGGAGGGTGGCAGAGCTCTGTGAAGAGGCGCCGCAGGTGCATCAGCCCCAGTGCATTGTCCTGGGGGCTGCACTCCTCCTGCCGGGGCCGGCCCATGATCCTCTTCACCATATTCATCCTGACTGGCGTCTGGAGCTCCCCTGTGTCCTGTGCAGAAACAAACACAATTGAGTGCAAGAAAGTCAGGAGCCATCCCATCACAGCTTGCAAATGCACAGCAGCCCCTCTTGCAGCAAAGTTCCATGCCACAGTTAGCACCATTAGGTAATTGTACGTGCCAGGAATTGATTAGCACGTGCCTGCAGGGTTTGAAGCAGACAGCTTGCAACAGGGCAACACCCAACACCCTCCAGCACCAATCACAGCTGCACAGCAAAACACTTTGGTGCAGTTTCTGAGATGGTTTTGTGATTCTTCAACGTTCATCTCAGAGCATTTACAGAAATACAATTGACATGTTGTAAATTATTCTCAAAATAATTCTAGAATACAATTAGTACCAGTTCTATACGTTACACTGTAACCAAACAAGGCCTTCACACCTTCTCGGACATTGACTTTATCAATACAAAGGCACAAGTAGTTTTTTTTATGTAGGGCAAGCAGACACTCCCTTCCTAGAGACTTATTGCTGACCTCGCACCACAGCTGTCCAATCCACAGGAAAGCTCCCCCCATCATCTCCCTCCTGGAGCACAAGTAGCTCACTGTAACACTTCTCACTGACACCAGGTAGTGCCTGTGTGCAGCCCTGCACTATTCTGGAAAGCAGCATGGGCCACTCTCATCTGTACCTGAGACTGAAGTCTGAACAAGAATCTTGGAAGGGAATTGAGTGGCTCAGAGTAGATCAATCACTCAGATGTAGCCTGTTGTACACTTCTGCAAAAGGGACCATTGTCCTGCTCACCTTCAGGTATGGGAAGGAGTGAAGGGGAACAGAAAATGATTTCTATACATGAATTTATGGAGACCAAAAATGAAAGAGTCAATGGAATTACAGCGTCCACTTCAGAGTGCTTAAAGAGTGTTAAGAAACTGAAGAAGGTCAGTAAAAGTGATAAAAATTATTCAAGGATAGAAAATGCCTTACAGCAAGAAATGTCAAGAAGTTGATCTATTTAAATTACCAAAAAAAGAGGTCATCATGAAGGGTCAATTATGAAAAAGAAAAAGTGATTATACCAAAGGTGCTGCAACTGGAATAACAGAGGGAAATACCAGTTACTGAGGAACCATTAAGCCCAGAGACAAAGTCATAAGACAGCAGGTGGGGAAAAAAAAAGAGGGGGGAGGAACATCCTCATTACAAACTAGAATGAAGTTTCTAATACTGAAGATAATTAACCAACTGCCAGTAGGAGGAATTTAACAAGAAGAACTACGTCTTCTGCCTAAGTCAAGATGAAATACCCTCCTGGAATGTATTGGTAAAACTGTATTTTAATCTCAGGTTAAAAAAAAAAAAAAATCAAAAAAAAGATAGCAATGAATATTGTGGTATAAAAAACACACCAAAAAAAAAAAAAAAAAGAACCAAGAAGTCACTAAAAAAACAACTAAGCTTTTCTAACGTACGTCCCAGCAACTGTAGCCAGCCTATGCTGGAAATTAGCACTGACCTTTCATATTTCAAGAGAAATGATACGAAAGAGGCTGTGGTCTTTTACTCTGCTATCTCAAGAAATAAAAGAGGTTACAGACAAGGTCAGGAAGATACATACAGTATAGGATGAAATGAATAGGACAGGATGAGAGGTAACAGCCTTAAGCTGCACCAGGGGAGGTTCAGGTTGGATATTAGGAAATATTTCTTCTCAAAAAGAGCAGTGAGGCATTGGCACAGGCTGCCCAGGGAGGTGATGCAGTCACTGTCCCTGGAGGTGCTCTCAGAAACTGCGGAGATGTGGCACTGAGGGAGGACGTGGTCAGTGGCCATGGTGGGGATGGGTTGGGGTTGAACCAGATTGTCTTACTGGTCTTTTCCAACTTGTATGATCCCATAAAACAATGCAGTTCCTGAAGGAATCCCAAACCTTTTCCCAAACTGTTCAGACTGAGAGTTCTTCTCACACTATGACAACAGGATAATTGATCTAAATGAAATATGGAATAGTGCACCTGAGACAAAACTTTGCTGCCTGAGCAGTGGTGGGGGAGGGAAGGAAGCTGTATTTTAGTGTTATTAAACTCTTTCATAGATGATACTTGAAATTTCTTTTAGTGACTCACACAATACTGGTAACTCCATATATAATACACAAAATACGCTGTCATTCCACCCACCACTGCTGTTGACTTCTGCTACTTCTGCCAGTTCTTCTATTAAATCAGCAATATCCCATGACTTCATTTAGCCTAAGCACACACTGAGAATGACAGTTTGCACTGCTTCAGCCACCCAGCTGTACTTCAAGAATTGGCTATTCTAGCATCGTCCAAGAAATCCAACTTAATGGTGTGTGCTGTATGTATCACTCTTGAAATTATGCTGGAAATGAGTCCCATTGTATTTCTGTCAGAAAACAGGTGATCAGGGGGTCCATGCAACAGCATCACTGAGAAGTGAATATATATCTGAGGCATTCTTTCAAATTTTTTTCTACTCCAAATATAGTCTATCCTTACTATTAAGGATAATAAAACATCCATGGAAATACAGAAAGATAACCATATACTCTGAATTAGGTCTCAAGATATATGAGAAAGACAATTCATTATTTACAGAAGGTAAAGCTTCCTTACTGTGAATCTGAATAGCAGTATTTACTTATCCTGTTTCAACACTGAGATGTTTAAGCTCATCTAAAATTTTTTTAAAAATACTGGGAGAAATGATACACAAGAAATACTGCACTGAGAAGGAATACAGCTGTTTGCTGAGTGGAAGGACAGCCACTGATTGGGATTATACCCCATACAAATATTTTGACTGGAGTTGTTTGTTTTGTCTTATGACCACCAACAGAAAGTAGTACACCTCAAACTTTCACTGCCAACAGATCGTCCAGAACAAAGGCACTCCCTATTGTACCACCTGAAAACATCTACGCCATCTTCTTCCAGCCAGCACCACACATGACTTGGATTCAGCTCTAAGGCTGATACTCTCTTTTATGTCATAATCAAACTAGTCCAGGATTTGCAGTAACAGCCAGAGCCACCTGTTCATACCTGCTTACTCAAAGCACGCAGAAATCAATGAACATTGCACAGCCAAAGTCTACATCACCCTGCACCCCCTGCATCACCCCACACTGTCATGGTGCTGATACCCACAGGCCATCAGCAGGAAGCATTTGGAAGCCAAATCCAACAATGCACTGGGGCTCTATAAGCAGTGCTCCACAAAGGTTTGATCAGAAGAACAAACCGAGCCCACCCAGGCCATACTTTCCTGTGCCAGCTCCATTCACAGACACTGCACAGAGCAGCAGAGATGATGATGGATGCCGCACACTCACAAAACACTTGAACTCCATTTGCAGAGGTGAAAGCAACTTTTTGGGGTGCAAGATTTTCAGTGGGCCAGGTCAGCACATATTGCATTCTGGCACGAGCACTGGGAATTCACTGTGTAAGGATGGCGTGCTCTCCTCTCCTGCTCTTCCTGTCAGCTCCTCCCAATTACACACATGTATTTTGCAGATGCATTTCCATTTACCTTTACACAAATACATAAAAACTTAAGTTTGATTTGAGTAAAGCAATTTTAAATTGATAGCATTCCAATGGTGCCCATGCTAACCCTGTTTCTAAGACAGCAAACCAAGTGCCTCACACAGGACGTGGGGAGAGGCGTGGCAGTTACAAACCAAAAGGTTGTTTCTGCAGATGCTCTCTGGTACTCACAGCACTGACCTCTATAGCATTCCTGGGATCGGGGCCAACAGCCTCAGGAAAACAGAGCCCATTCCTTTCTGAGGTTCCTCTTCAAGAGCAATGCTGTCCATTCACTGGGAAAGGGAAGAAAAGAACAGAGGTTAGAACACAAACATGCCAATAATAGCAGAGCTTTGCTATGCTGCAAAGAGCCGTTGCTCCTAGGATATCTGTGAGAGCAATGATTTCAGCTCTGATTCCCAACCTGCCATGTTCAGCACCATCAGTGTAGGTGCCTATGCCATGGTACAGCCATACTCCACATCAACAAGGAAAACCTTGTAGCAACACAAATATACACTTAGTAAATTTTATTTTGTACAGTAAAAATAACGAAGATTTTAGGAGAAAAAAAAAAAACAGAAGTGAAAAGCAGCAGCATATGATCACTGTGCCTTCAGAAGGCTTTGCCAGAGAGGTAGCATTCACACAACTCTTGGCTCAAAAGGATGTGATGCATAATAACTATACAGTGTTTTGATTGAACCTCACTGCAAGCACTGAAAATAGAAATCAACTTGTTGGCAGGTTCATGAGCTCAGCAGTAATAGCCACACCTTTGTATATCATGAACAAGTTCTTTGGTTAGGAACTATTTTTTTTTAATTTTTATTTTTAAATACAGTCAATGGAAATCTTACGTATGGGCGGCAAATCAGAACAAATTGCATTTAGGCCAGGCTTAATTAGCACTGCCTATATTGCCAAAGCTCAACTGACCAGCTGTTGCACTGCAAGCATCCAAACACTGTGAGCTTGCTTGAGCAGAAATCAGAGTGCAGCATCAGCAGTTCCTCCAGCTTCCATCAAAAAATAAAACAACAAATCGTCGTGTTAGGAAGTGAAACCACATAGACAGCTTCTGACCCCCCTTCCGCAGGCATTACTTAGTGTGAAATAAGAAATAGTTAGAAATCCTGTGGGAGCACTGATTAGGGTCTGCACACACCTAACTGCCTGTTCTATGAACACTTTCCACAGCATGCATGGAGCACCTTGTCTCCGTAAATCTCGATCCCTTACACTGCCCTACTTCCGTATTAGAAGTGCATCAGGGCCACACTGACCTAAGAAATACGTGGTCGCAGAATGGGACAGCTCTGATCCACAGTCTCAAAACCAAAAGGCACAGGGGACAGGAGGGGCTGTGTGAACACATCTCACAGGAGCTGAACAGCTCTCTCAGTGCCAAAAATAAACCACTCCCACTTTAATTATGTCAACTAATCTTTAGCATCGGTCAAACTCAAATTCTCTCTTGTCATCAGCAGAATCACCAACAGTCGCTGCAAAGCCAATGGCACGCCCTGTTTATTCCACAACAACAAGCAGACAAAAGGAAGAAGGCAGCTCAGAAAAATGTGAATTTTGAGTATGCCAGAAGTTTGACATCATCAGAAGTGTAACTAAATCAAGCAACACTACAGCTCAGTTTTCAGCATCCTGACCACAACAGCAATGCTCTGTGAGCAGCCAGCAAAGCTCAGGCTCTATCGGCTTCTCCATTTTCCTCCTCCAGGGAAGCAAGGTGGCAGACCCACACATATCCGAGCACACAGAGAGCAGGGACAGACAGCAGCACTGTTTTCCCAGCATGCCAGACATGGACAAAAACAGTGCCACACATTCTGAGAATGCAGAACCACTTCCGACCAGTCTTCACAGCATTGCCTGGCCTGGCCTGCTTCCTTGGTTCCTCCCATGTCTCCTCTGTAAAGGATCAACACCTCAGGGAAATGCAATGGTACAGCAAGTGCAGAAAACAAAACCCTTCCTCTTCATTGTTGAGGCAAAGATCTGTGTTCTCCCAACAATCCAGACTCACATTCATCCATCTTAAAGGATCATTTGGGCACACAGCAAACAGCCCTATCCATCTACTCCTGTTCCTTGCAGGCACAACAAAGTTCTCCTGGTCTAACAGCAGGTACCTAAAGGATTCTGCAGTCATTCTACATATGGACCTTCCATGGCAGCCTCAGCCACTGACAGAGTGCCAAGCAGAGAAGCAAGGCAATACTGAATAGGGCTGCACTGATCCAGGTATACAAGGAGCAGAGACGTGGCACCTCACTTACTGCTGACAGCTCTCTCCTTGGGAACCTCAGATGGCCCATAGAGCTCTGACACCCAATACTGAAGAGGAGCACACAAAGACTCAAACTGGACATTCAACAATAGAAGCCTTCTCATAATCATTTTGGAAACATGTAAGTAGGAATTATGTCCTGAAAAAGGAAATGACACGCAACACTATTACAGGATATCACCAAGTTTCCGCCTGCTGAGCACAACACTACCTCAGTGATCCCTCACCCACCAGAGCACATCCTCACCTATGCATGCACATGCAGGGCATGGCTCAGCAGGTGCCAGCACCATGGAGAATCCAACATCGTATCTCCTGACTTTATTTTCATGGCCCACCACTGACACTGGTGAGCAGTGAGCACATCTACTGTTTTCCAGAAACCAGGAGTCGTTCAGGAAAAAAAAGTTTCAGTGTCTGAAACACCTCTGCTCCCATGCAAGCCCTGCACAAAGCTCCTGCTGCGCTGTAGTGTGACCTTTGAGTTCAAGGAGTGACAACGTATCATTTCCAATCACCTTCCCAAAGCATAGAATCGGGGTGGTCAGCTTCAACAGGACTGATAAAACCCTAACTGACACTTTGCAGTAATTTTCGGAAGAGTTCAGGTTGACAGGCACTCCTTGAAGAGCTTACTTACATTTTTTGAATAATTATGAACAGTTATTCCTTCTCCCATCAAAAATGTTTTTCCAGCAGATGAATACAATTTTTCTTCTGGTGTTATTTAAATCACACAATGCATTGGTCAGTACATATTAAATTCAAAGCACTTTTTGTTACTTTAAAAACAAACAAAAAAAAAAACCAAAGGCCAATTGAACTTTGACTACAGCATTTCCAAACATTTTTCTTTAGAACTGGTAGCGATAAGTATAAATTCACATCCAACGATGCAGAAGTGATTTCTGGCTTGGATAGTGCCTATGAGCTGTCACTACTTCTTCCTCCCTGTCCATTTCAGTACTTTGCTTGTTTTGACACAGAACATTGGCAGCGCTGCAGTGACCTCCCAAGCACAGATTTCCGTTCTGTCCCTAATTTTACGTATTTCCCTACTTGCTAGACACTCACTTATGAAACTCCAAAAACCAACACAACTTGCTGCTTCCCTCACCAGACACCCCACAAAGAATGCTGGATCTCAAATCACTCTGTTCTTAGGAAGAAGCAAACAGAGCAAGAACTGCCATAAAATCCACTCATTTCCCCCCCTCTCGCTTCTGAAATCCATAAAAGAAGCACAAGCACTATCCAGTTCAGCTATATCGCCCTCACTTCACCACTCAGCAGACAAAGGATGTTTACCAAGTTGTGACATACTGTATTGGTGCCATCACCATATAAAAATGAGAGCCCTAAAAAAGCATCACGTATTTTGTTACATACCACAGGTGTTCAACAGAAACCTATTCAGACCTCAGCAGCCTTTTCACTACGCACTGGCACGTTCTGCCGAGTTACAAAAAGCCATATGCGTGTTATGCCAGAGAAATGTCTTACTACAGAAAACCAAAACGTGTCAGTGCAAGAAGAGAAAAGCACTGATCATAGAATCTCCAAAGTTGGAAAAGACCTCCAAGATCACCCAGTCCAATCATCCACCTATCACCAAGATTCCCTACTAAACCACATCCCTCAGTACAACATCTGAACGTTTCCTAAACACCTCCAGGGTCGGTGACTCCACCACCTCCCTGGGCAGCCCATTCTTCACCCGACCACTCTCTAGAGAAGAAGCATTTCCTAACATCCAACCTGAATCTCCCCTGGTGCTACTTGAGGCCATTCCCTCTTGCCCTGATACTGAAGCCTGAGCTGCTGGAAATTAAATACAGCATTCGAGTGCTGGTAGCCTATGTAATTGAGATTAAAATACTGCTTCTAACTGAAAACAAAGGCACTGCAGCATTACATGCAATGCAGGTCCAATTTCTGCCTGTTCCAGCAGTGACACACACCTAGAACACATGTTCCAGACCATGGGCAGTACAAGGGACATGAATGTAGAGCACACTACTTGGACAGGCCAGGCTCAGGAGGTCAGGACCACACCTTGCCAGTAGGAGCCAGTGTCTGAATTCTCATGAATTGCATTCCAGTCATGCTGCCAAACAGGCTCCATTGACCTCATGAACTGGGAAGATGAAGGAGGAAAATGCATCCCTGCACACATTTCACCTTCTCATAGACAGAGCCTAGAAGTTTACAGCAGAAAACACCAAAAATGACACAGAGGAGCATACTGGCATTTATCATCATAGTCTCTTAAACGTTTCTTACCAAATATTACTTCATCCATCTTCTTAACTTAGACAGAACATGGCACTCCATAACTCAGTGTTGACCCTCTTCCCAAGAGCTGTAGTAATGAAGCTCAGAAAGCAGGGAATATGAGAAGAATTGTACCAGATAGGGCAGGGAACATCCCACACACCCCACAGCCAACCACCACCACTGCCTGAAACACAATGTTACCAGCATAGAGGAGGGGATCTGGCATGCTGTGATCTCAATCACAGACATCTCTGCCATATGACTGTGTGACAAAGCATGATTTGAGGCACAACATTCTGCTCTGATGCACAATTCCATGCTCTCTCCAAGCTCCAAACATATACGTAAGCACTGATAAGCACTGTAACCATGTTAAGCCTCTGCTTTTCACACACAGTGACAGATATACTGCCTGATGCCAGTTATAACTGAACTAAAGATAATGCAAATGCCTCAGCTGGTATTCCCTACAATTAACAGTATTTGGGGAAGGGGGGTAGGGAGGTGGGAAGCAAACTATTCCAAATCCAGCAGCAAATCTCAAAACACTTCCAAATTCAACTGCAGAAGGAAGGATGACAACAAAAGAGGGTCATAATGACCAAGTATTACAGCCAGCTTCCCAGATACAACTGCTAAGAATTGCTCCCTGTCACTGAACTCACTCATGAGTGACCAAAAAAAACCAAACACAAAACAGCCAAGCCCTCCTCAAACAATGCTGCATTCTCCAGATAGGCCCCTCATCTTCCTATGCCTTTCAAGCAATTCTCATGTATTCCAGAAAAATCCCAATCTTGCACAGGTTTTACTTCAGCCTGACTCATCTCAACACTGTAAAGCATGGAGAAGATAAATGCAAGGTGTTGATGAGGTAAAACAGAAGAAGCCCCAACCTTACAGAGCTGCATACATGTTTCCTCCAGAAGCAGCCCATATGCAGAGGCAGAACAACACAGAATCTCCACACTTTAGCAGAGTAGGCTTCACGAGCAATGATAGTTAAACACCATCAACTCAGACTTTTAAAAAGGAACATGGAAGTCAAGGAAACAAAGCAGGTCTTATTCAGTTTAGGCAAGTTCTATGGGACAGCCTAGGTCTTGCCTCAGTGCTGATGCAGTCATTGAAAGAGTCACAAAGATGTAATGCAACCCCTGATCTCTATGCCACTGGAAGGAAGAAGAAATGCTCCATCAGTTGAGCATTTACATTAAGCCAAGGCCAAAATTACACTGGAAAAAGGAATAAGAAAATTTTAGCGTTCACTCAATGTTATTTTGCTCTTTAATTACTTCCTAATTAAATTTGCAAGCTTTGATAACATCTACACTTCTATAAGCTGATGCTCCAAATGGAAATAAATGCTAATTCCCTCTCAAAATGAACCATCAAAAACTTGTACATTTAAATAAATTAGGAAAATTCATTTCAAGTTGTCTTCAGAATATTCTCACGTACTGCATTCAATCCCTAACTTACAAAACTCCCTGCCAAGGAGACATTAATCCACTATCACTCGGGCTGCCTTCTGCTCTTATGAGCAAAAAATGTGCTTCTTGAACAGAGAAATCAGAATCTGTCAGGATTAAGAAATTCACCTCAAGATGCTCTCTATATAGATACATTAAACTGACTTGCACATCACTTGCAGCACTGAACTTAAATTAATTACAGTGCTTGAAAGCAAGCATTAAGCTTTTAAGTAGAGGTTTTCAAATTCAGTAATTAGGTCTTATTACAGCACTGACTCCTATCATGGAAATGCTGGCTACTCTTTGTATTTAAGTACAGAACAACACAGGTTGGAAGGCATCCATTGAAGGTGAAATGCTCCAACCTTGTTTTGGCACAGGGTCAGCTCAGATCAGGTTGCTTGGAGCCACACTGAACTCCAAGCATCTCCAAGGATGGAAATCTCTGAGAAACAGGCTCTGGTGCTTGGCTGCTATCACAGTGTAGCTGGAAATTTTTGTTGTAGGTGTTATTTACCTCGTCAAGTGCCTCTCATCCCTGTGCAAGAGATGCACCTAAGAGACCAGACAGGCAAGCTTTCTACAGTGGTCATCCCAACTGAAATCAAGGTTGGCACTGATGTACATACCTGAAGTTGATCAAATACCAACAGAGAAGACATAAATTAAATCAATCAAATATACATTCTAACAACAACTCTGTTACTTAAAGAACCTTTAATTTTGTGTTTGAAAGAATAATAAAAAAAAATCTTCCTGAATAAACATAACATTTTGCTTCATCAAATCAGAATCCAGTAAAACAGAGAGGGATTCTGTTCATTTCAGAGAGTTAATGCTTTGCTAATCCTTTAGCTCTCCACAGAAATAAATACATATATAAAACCTTTGGATACAGAGGCAAGCCCTGATTACCTAAATTTCTAAGACCTGGGAGGTCAGCTGTCTCCGTGAGGACAGAAGCTCTGGCAGCTTCAATGATATTTTGAAGAGTTGCAAAACAGTTTTAGGTGCTATTTTACAACGTCTTGGGGTCACAGCAGGATGCTATTTCTTTGTTTCAGTAAGAAGTGTTCAAGTTGTTCCAAATAATACAAAAGTAAGTAAAGATTTTTCCCTCTTAATTAGAGTCAACGTGCCAGTTTGCTCAATACAGCCCAACTCAGTGGTGCTGTATTACATAATGCAATCGATATATCAGTACACTACCCCAGCTGCTAATTTGAAGCTCATATTAGTTGTTATTTACCCTTTAATTAATCACAAAAATATAATCTCCTAACAGGGACTGAGGGCTGACCTATATTAAAAAGCCACAGGCTATCGGCAGAACAAAGATGAAGCCAGGCTCTTCACAACAACCAATGCACAGTGGGAAAATGAGACAGTAAGCATGACCTGAAACAACAGAGGCTACAACTGCTTGTAAAGGAGTAACGTTCTCCCTGAGGACAATCACGCAAGGAATTAGTGCTGAGGAAGGAGAAGTATGGATGAAGGGCCGGCCAGGCCGCACGCAGTTCCCATCAGTGCTCCTGCTCTGGGCTCAGCACACTGCTCACACCACTTCTGGGCTGCACAGCTCTCATCCACATGTTCTCTGGGGCTGGGAATGAATTGCTTGCAGGACAGCTTTGATTTCATGAGCTCACTATTTCTGGTCTGAACAACAGCCTTCCTGGTCAGCAACCTTAGGCTTTAAGGGCATGTCTTGCAAGAGATGGCTTCCCCTCTAAATAAAATGTCGCTGTTCAGGGAAGGCTGTACCTCTTTTTGCTGTGTACTGTTCAGTGCTGTTCACTATTCAGAGTGGAAATGGCAGCAACTGAGCAAGTTGAGGGTGACGGTATACACAGATCCTAAAAATAAAGCCTCGCTTCTTTGTTTCATCATAGACTACATCAGAAATCTTCAATGGTGCAGCGACAAGAGGTTTCAGTTTCCCAGCACCCACCTACAAAATAAACAGCACTAAATGTCCCAGTAACCTTCTGGGCCTGCAGTGCAAAATCAGAGAGGAGCACTTAAAGTGAAAGACCGCTGTCCCATTGGGAGATCTCAAATCTGAAAAGAGGAATTCCACAGCCCATGCTACTCAGCAGTGGCACTCAGATTGAGGAAATTTATTTCTCCTCTAACGAAAGAGAACAAAAAGGACCACACATTCAGCTCTAAAATAAATACAAGAAGGATACGCACACAGTCGCTCCAAAAGTTATGCACAGCACTTCTGCTGGTGTGCTCCTTCCTCATTTTTCTCAAAGTAGTGCTCTGCAGTTTTAACTCAGCAGCCCAAGCTTCTGAGAAAGGCTTCATTTTGCAACAGGAACAGTTCAAAGGAATGATCAGATGATGGGCTTTCATTTGCTCAAGCACTGTAACTAAATTTTAACTTTGTGCTTCTCTAAAAGAGCCTCCACACAGCAGACCTCATGCTGTTAAATTCACATTCAAAATTCAACCCAACTTTCCTCCATGTCTCCCCTGACAACTCCTCTGTTCATCATTTCATTCACTGCTTTCTCCTCTCCTCTGAGATAGCAGATGAGAGAGGTTTCTGGCCAAAGCCATCTCACTAGGCACATTTCTGACCATAATTAGTGTGGATCACATTCAGATCAGAAAATAACACCCATTTTTATTCTCTACTTCACTATGTAGCTTCATACATTGCCTAGAAGTCCTAAAAAGCACAGAAGAGAAGCATGCAGTTCACATTTAGTTCCCAAAGTTCCATTTCTGTCAAAGCACGTATCCTGCACCAAGGAAACCCATTCTGCTGAGAGTTCAGACATGCACTGTGTAAAGAACATGAGTGAATGAGAACCTTGCCTCAAAGCACAAGGCCACAACAAGATCCAGCGGGAAGTAAGCTTCAGCCCCAAATCATTACAGAACGGGCACATTTTGACAGACATGGGAAAAAAAATTAACAAGATGGAATGATCTAAACCAAGGAAACATCATTTTCCAATGCGGAGTTGTGATCTCTCTCTTCACACATGCAGTAACCTCACTACTACAGTGGTCCATGTGCTCAGTCACAAAGAGAAACGTTAAGAGAGAAACACCAACAGATCAAAATTTTAACTTACTTTCCACGTCATCCAGTTCTCCCTGTTAGCACAGGCACAGGATCACACCTTAATCAGCAATTATTTCCAAGAGTTTGTAGTTAGTGGGTTTGTGAATGTGCAAATTCCAAGTGTGGATCTGCAGCTGTGCTGTGCTTACTGTGAGAAGGCATGAGGGATCCTCTCTGCCTTTTTTTTTTTTTTCCTTTTCTTCTATTTTTTTTTGTTTCCATTTGCTGATGGAAGGCGGGGAGGGTGACTCACAGGGAGGAGGATGCAGCAGCTGACCCATGGTACAGCCTGAACCCTCCTTCCCCTCAGCGTGCTCTTACTCAACTTCCTCAAGATGTATTTTGAAGGATCTGTTCCTCCTTTATGACAGCCTCATCACTGCTCTTCTACAATTTCATTCTCTACTACTACTCCTCTGAAACATAACAATACAAAAGCCCTACAAGTCCACTAAATGGAATCCAAGTTGGTCACAGTCATTTCTCCTATTGTAAAGTTAAAACTCATAAATAATAATTTTTAAAATTCATAGTAATGGCTGAAGTGATTTTTGGCAAAACCAAAGCAATAAAAAAAATATATCCATAAAGGGGGAAAAAAGGACCTAATATCTAACATCTCATTATAATTCTACTGCCTAAGAAATAACTGAACATGAAAAAAAAGATAAAAGCTGTCAAGATATAAATCCTGCCTGTTAAAGCTATTTAAACTCTTGCTTATTTGTGTTCTGATATGTTTTTCAGGGGAAAGAAAGTACAACAGAAACAGAATGTCAGTGCACAAACACCAACCGCAGGAGCACTGGGTTAGGTTGGATGGATTACTGCCATTCAGGCACAGGCTCATCATGGTGCGATGCCTGCAGCTTCCAACAGATGCTGTACAGAAATGGCACACTTGGCCTGCTGCCCGCGCCATTAAAATTAGCGTTAATAAAGCCAACCATGGGCAGTGCTATTTTGAAGGAATTGCACTGAAAAGCACCATCACAACTCTTTCAGCTCATGATACGGAAACAAACTGCCAACACCACAAATTAACAGAATAGCCACATTTGCAAAATGAGATAGATTTCATCAGAACTCAAGAAACACCACAGAAGTAATAGAGCTTGTATGTAGGAAGAAGTTTTTCACTCAGAGGGTGGTGACGCACTGGAACAGGTTGCCCAAGGAGGTTGTGGATGCCCCACCTCTGGAAGCATTCAAGGCCAGGCTGAATGTGGCTCTGGGCAGCCTGGTCTGCTGGTTGGTAACCCTGCACATAGCAGGAGGTTGAAACTAGATGATCTTTGGTTTTGTTCCTGATCAAATATGAAACAGAAAGCAGTTTTAAACAGCGTGAACAAATACCACTCTGATAGAAATTATTTTCATGTCTACTTAACGGTAACAGGTTAGATTTAATGTTAATACAGGGTAGATTTACAGAGTGAAGGTGCAATGGATAGGAGTTTGAAGTAGTTTTTAAGAAGATGGTCATTTTATGGATTTATGGATATGTTTTTTGTAAGTTTTCCAGCAGCAATCCACAGAGGAGAATTCATAGCTCAGTCTGTGATGCTGCCAAGAGCTGTACTGACCATAAAGTATCCTGCTCCTCATATCCAGCACCACGCTCACAGCTCCACAAGCTAACCCCTATCTGTAACTTGAAACTCATGTAGAAATGTCCTTTTCCATTGTCTGTGACAAAAAATAAAACCTCCAGTAACCAACTCAAGAGTGCACTGAGTCAAGAAGGAGATGTAGACAACAGCAGCTTGGAAAAGAAACCACCAGATTTAAAGAAAGAAAAAAACCAACCACTCTCTAAAGCAGCCAAGAAACCACTTCCTCCTAAATTGCTTAATTTCTAGCTCAACTGCTGACTACTTTGGAACCTACTAAAGAAAAAGAGCCTTTCAAGTTATTATTCTTTATTAGATCCCAATTAATGTGCCACCACGACCAAAGAGTTGTACTCCCGAAGTTATGTATATTTTGCTTTACTTATCAAAACTGCTAGAAAGTGATTAAAACTTTCTTGGGGGGGGTATTACCTCCTATCACCAAACGAGCCAACCCCAAGGACCACATGTCAAGACAGGCATCGGGAGGCAAAACAGAATCTCTTAAGAACATCCTGATTCAAATAATCATCTTCTCTCTTGCAGTGAACAAGGCAGAGAGAGACTCCTAGCAAGATGCTTAACTTCAGGTTCTTAAGGAATAGCCATTACTATGGATTTTGGTGAAGCTCTGAGGCAAGATCCTCAACTAAGCAGATTTTGAGATAAAAATGGATCTGACACACATCTCAAAACCAAACTCATGCGTGCCAGCTTCCACTGCACTGTGCTTCAGGCATTTGTTTTGGCAAGCTGGAAGTACTGTGCAAAGACATTTGCCACAAATATGCTCTGTTCAGGGTGCCAACACATTATCCAAAGTGCTTTGTGGCAGGTCTGTAGGTGCTAGCTAGTCAGTTAGAAATTGATTTCCAAATTCCTTCCGTTGCTGCATTAATTAAATAAATAAAAAACAACTGCACTTATAGTGCCAGAACTGTGGGGCCGAGGTCTGAGCTTCAATGGTCTTCAGCAGCTACAGAAGCAATGCATTAGTGACAAGTGTGATCACCAGAAATTGACTGAATATGCACAGCAGAGTGAGGTTAGAAACCAGAAATGAATGTTCCTCCCATGAAAAATCTGGGGAGTAGAGGTATGAACAGAAGAGACTGGAATACACGTCACACATTCACTCTCTCAGCTACAAAAGAGAACACCTTCTGCATATACAGTATAAAGCAGACTGAAGCACGCTTCCACAAAAGCAACTCCAACAAAACCAGCTCACACCAAGGGGACAGTCTGCTATGATAGACAGCACTTGCACAGACCTCTACCCAAATTTTCAGCCTCCAGTGCAGACAGTAAGCAAGAAAATGCATCTTTTGCATTGCTTCTTTAGCATAACGCTTACTGACTCAATACAGATTTTAAACGTTTGATGCCCAAATTGCTTCCTGGCATTGGACATTAATTGCTAGAGCCTATTTATGACTGATACAGATCACATTTGGTATGGAAACCCAAGATATTCAGTAACCAACATGCTATCACAGATCAACCACCTCTTCTCATCTATTGGGACCACACAGAGTATGCTCAGTTTATCTGTAAGCAAAAACCTGCAAGACAGGTTCCCAAGGGCTCCTGTCCCACCGTCCTGTGCCACACACATATCTGAAAGCCTAAACAGATCAGAATGACCCACCTGGGGTCACTGAAACTACACACAACCTCAGAGATAGCATGACACCTGAAAATGAAGTGCAAATAAGGCAAGATTTATAGTAGTTTTACAAAGCACTCATTGTATTATTGTATGTGATTATTCTATTGCCATTATTACTGCAGCGCGATCACTCGGCTGGAAAAGATTTACAACTGACTCATTTTATACATGGGAGAGCTGTATGTTATTTAGGGATCCAAAGTGCGTGTGCACATGGAGGGGAGTAGTGGGAAGAAGAGTAGAAAGAAACGTATCCCAGGCCCATCCTCTGAAGGATGAAAAAACACCAGATATTTACTTTATTCTAATATCGTGAGAACAGGAAATCATAACTTTTGACCTTAGCTTAGGCAAAGGCCATTTGTAGCAAAATTTCATTCGGATCTAAGCAAATGTCTGGCTTTGTTTTTTGTTTTCTTTCTAATGACATCTATAAAGTACAAAGCAATTCTCATGAAAAACTAACCTTTCTCTATCCATTTTGCATTTTAAATGATACACAAGGGCAGCTTTATTTTGCAGCACACTGAACTGAAGAAAAAAAACAAATGGGACACTGACAGACACTGGGGAGAGTAGGAAACAACAGCATGAGAAAGAAAATAAGTATGCAAGAGAAACAGGCTGGAGGGGTTGGGGGTAAGAGGGAGAAGATGATTTTAAAAACACCAAGCAGCAAGCAGCAGCTGGTGCCCAGGGACTGGGAAGGACTTGGGCTCCACAACAACAGCGACAGTTGCATAATCACTGCTGCCTGAGAGCTTATACAATGTCCGCCCCTATCCTCATCGCGAAACAAATTAGCAACAAAAAACATCCTTTCAGCCCACAGTGCAAGTAAGTGAACTGCCACATGTTAAACGCTACTACAGACAAGAGCCTCTAGTTCCAAATGCTACTTTTTAGCTTTCTTGAACACAAAACATTAATTCCTACCTTACTCCTCACTAAAAAACGTCTTATTTTCCCTAAAAACATGTCCTGTTACCACTGCCAAGCCACAAGAATTTACCACCTGGCCTCTCCAGCCCTGCTCTTAAATGACACATCCGTGCTGCAGGAAGCTGCACGAAAGGCCAAGCTGCAGGAATCAAGAGCTCTGCTGTCACCGCAGAACTTCATGAATTCGGAGGCTTCTGGAACACTGGAGACCAAGAAACCTCAAGTACTAACGCCTGTAGTTGGATATTTTGCAGATACCTACTGCAGAAGACACAATATATTTCTAACAGAAACAGAGATGAAAGAACCACAGAAGAACTTCACATTGCTTAAGATGGGCAGAGGAGCTTTTCCCCACATGGCTGTGCATTGCACATACCTGTGTGCTGTGCTATGGCACAAAGCAGGAAAGGGAGGTTTGACTCAAGTGTAACAGACCACTGCATGCTGATTAAAGAGCAGTTGACTTGCAGCTTGCCAGCACTGAATCAATACAGATAACTCTAACCTAATTACAGTCCTCTCATTCAGGTCTTGAACACAAGAACAGAAGCTTTACCTCCTCTTGCAAAGATCTGCATTTCTCCAATTGCCTCTCCTCTGCTCTAGTCTCGTCCCTTTGGTTCTTCCAACCTCTGGGTCAGGAGGTTTACATCTTCCCACTGTGATTTGGGCTCACGGCCCAACGCTGCTGCATTGCAGAGTCAGCAAAGACATGATGCAGCAATATTCTTGAATTTCTTTGGATATGAAAATAGATGTCATTGCTGCCAGACATTGAAAGCCATCCAGAGACCCCAAGGCACTTCAGAAAAAAAATGAAAACCCACAGCAGTGACGCCAAGATGGTTGTCCTGGCTATTTTAAGTCCTGTTAGTGCTCTGAATATTGCAGAATTCTCTGACGGTGCAAGTACAGCTCAACCATTTGCTTGCCTGCTCATTGCTACAACCCCAAGAAGCAGCCTTTGCTCAGCAAGGACGACTACCAGCAGCGGTGGCAGGAATCTGTGGTTCCCCTTGGGGTGGAAATACCATGATCTGTGTTCCAGTGGTAGCACAGATGAAGTAGGGAAGAAAGCGAGACGCTTAACGTGTTGCCCATAAGCCACTTTGGACTGATGGCTTCTGAATAAATAAACAGATGAAAACAGACCCATCTCTAGCAAAGGGAAACAGAGAAGTTTCTAGCCCCAGTGCCTCTGTACACACAAGATATTCAGAGATGGGAAACTATATGAAGGCCTGCTCTTCTCCACTCAATTCTTGAATTCCAAAGGGGCCTCAGGCAAATGACACAGATGTTACTTGAGTTCACCTTACAAGAGGAGACATGAACAC